ATTATGGTATTCTGGTATTTCGTCGATTTTAAAATAAACTAATTGTTTCTATCGTATTTTTTGTTAGAATGGGCATAATCAAGAGTGCTACTCATACCGTATTGTAAAAATAAGGTAATTAAGGGCTTATTTTTTGGTATTTATTATAATTTTGCTAATATGTTCGGTTTGAAAGAAGATATCAAGATGCGGTTTTCGCTGACTTTTTAAACTTTTACTACTCTTTAATATCAGCTAAAATGACTTATACTATTGTATTTAATTTTTTTGAAAAAACGCGCAATGTTTGTTAAATTGTAAGACAACGCCCCCTAGCGTCTATGTTGAAAAGCTTATTATTATTGTGTATATAGAGTAAGAAACGCTCTTTTAAACGAGCCGTCGGTTGTTGGATTCCGATAATCCAGTCCAGAGTTATTAATATTTAAATAAAAACATATCTAACCTTCCCCCACCACTTTATTTTGGTATATAGGGGAAAATGGCTCGAACAAAAAATATTCAAAATTTACTGAAGATTAAGAAGCTATTACTTATAGTACACCTTATCTAGGCAAAATTGTGTAAAAACTCCATTTTCTTATTTTTTGTTGCAGTTGCGCCCCCTAGCGGTCGTTCTACAAACTTGAAAATAATTTCCAGCAATTTCTCATAGCCCTCTTTAGTTATAAATATTTTTTTCCGCAGCCCCTACGGCTAATACTTTCCGAGATACAGCCGAGAGCTCTCTTCTTCTTAGTGGGACACCCTGTACTTAACTTTGCTATAAATATTGTAATCTTAAACTATACAGGGTGTAAATCATACAGGATATTCAAAATTCTACACCAAACTTTCTAAAATATAAAATAATTTTTCTTCGTTTTTTTTAATGGAACACCCTGTATATTATTTTTTCAATAGATGGAGAATTAAAAAATGAAAATTTTTTCTATTTAGAATATTTCAATGGCAAGTTTCACAGTAAATTTTTATCAAAGCCACCCAGAGATTTTACTCTGGTATTTTACTGTTGAAAGAGCCATATGAAATAATACTGCATGTATTTGCGAAACCATTAAAAATTTAGAAATTCTTTAAATACAAAAAATGTTCATTTTTTAATTCTCCATCTAATAAAACTAAAATACAGGGTGTTTTATTTAAAAAAAACAAAGAAAAATTATTTTATATTTTAGAAAATTTGGCGTAGAATTTTGAACCTTCTGTAGGATTTAATATTACGATATTTATAGCAAAGTAAGTATAGACCATCTAAAGTAAATACCTAATCTAGTTTTGATTTCAGAACAGGTTTTTGTATTTGTAGTAATTTTTTTAATGAAGGTTGAAAAATATATATTTTTTATTTATTTATTAATATTTCTGACTCTATTGAAATATATTTACTCATATCTTAGGATTGTGTAAAGTGATCTGAAAGGAAGCCAAAAATGCAATAATATATAGAGTGTTCCATTTAAAAAAATCATCCCATACCACTCACACTTTTTCGAGCCCACCCATAGAAGTTAAAATATTTTCCTGAAATGCATCCTCGTACATACTTTATGTTTTCACTTAACAAAATTCCCAAGTGTTTTATTCTAGAAGCTATAGATATGCCCGACGTACTATTGGCGGACCCTGTATAAACATCTCATTAGATATTCTATGGCTAATTAACTGAACAAAAACATGATATAGCATTCTATTTAAAAAATGACAGCTTTAGAGCAAAATACGTTTGTATACTACTGTATATTATAATAATAATAATAATAATAATAAATGGCTTTATTAAAGGAAAAGTAACAAAATACATACTCCTTCTTCAGGCAAAGTCTAGCCCATGGCTACTCTACTTAACCTGTTCAAAGAGAAAAAAAAAATAAATATACAATTACAGTTAGCACCACCTGCACTACAACAATTAGTAAATCAGACAGAAAATAACCAGAAAAACAAAGAAATATTTATAAAAAAATAAAATAATTTAACAAAAAAAAATCATATATTATGACAATAAAAAAACAAAACTGATAAAAAAAGTGATCTGGATTAGGGAGACGTCAAATCTGTTGGCTCATGTAAACCTCTTTAAGCTTTTTCCGAAAAGTGCTTAGAGACATTTTCTTAACATTATTTTCGATATTATTAAACAATAAAATTGCATTATATAGATAGGAGCGGCGAAAGATAGAGGAGCTGTAAACAGGAAACTCCAGTTTATTTGGATATCGCAAGGTTCTGTTTACATCACTGCGAAATATAAATCTGTCAAATAAATATGAGGGTGTCTTTGTGGAAATAATTTTTGTGTAAAATTACATGTCTGATACTTATACATGTTATCTATTTTGAGCCATTGTAGTATATTTATTTTTTCAGAAATATGGTCGTACTTCCGCAAGCAAATACAAACCTACAACATGAATTTTGTAGTTTTTGCAGTCGATTTTGGAATTTTTATCTAAGCAGTTATAAAATGAAACGAGGCAATACGCAATTATAGGAAATATAAGAGACTCACATAATTTTTTCGGATTTTAAAATTTAGGAGATATTTATTCATATATAACGATTTTAAGACACAATAAGATTTTTTTCAGAATATTTGCTATATGACTTTTAAACCGCATGTCCACGTCAAAGACGACGCCTAGATTTTTGATAGCTTAACACAATTTAGGGATGTACCATTCAAGTTGACCTTTAGCTGTGATGAAACAGATTCGTAACGACGCGCAGAACAAAAGCACATCAAAGAACATTTATTAATATTTAACTTTAAGTTATTTTCAGCAGAGTACTCAGATATCAGTTTAAGATCATGAGTAATCTTAGTTATAGCAGTTTCTGTTTCATTTGGATTAAATGACATAAGTAATTGTGTATCATCAGCATATGATATCATGTTACAATAAGACGACTTTTGAAGTAAGTCTGCCGTGTAAATTAAAAATAAGATAGGACCAAGGACAGAGCCCTGAGGCACTCCAGAAGTAACACAATTTGAGGATGAAAAATTGTCATCAATTTGAACAACTTGTTTTCTATCCGAGAGATAGCACCGAAAAAACTTCAGTGATATGTCAGAAAATCCATAAAACGCCAGTTTGCTACACAATAACTCGTGGTCCAGCGTGTCAAACGCTTTAGAAAAATCCAGTAAAATTAGAGCCAAAGCTTCGCCATCATCCATACTATTCAAAATATTATCTATTACATACGATAGCACAGTGGCAGTGTTATGGCCTTGCCTGAAACCAGATTGATGAGCTGGTATTATTTTATTAAAAACTGCATACTGGTAGATTAGAGGTTTTAAAAAAATTTCAAGTATTTTTGATAAGACCGGTATTAAAGCTATAGGTCTGAAGTCTGAAAGTTCTGCCGGCTTATTTGATTTTGGGAGTGGTTTAACCAAAGAAAGTTTCCAAGCAGTTGGAAAATATCCCGTTTCAAGACATAAATTAACAATATGAGTTAGAGGTAAAGCAACGCAGGGCAAACAGTATTGTAACATAACAGTAGTAATACCATTATAGCCAGCTGCATTGGATTTTAATGATGTAACAATTTTAATTATCTCCCACTCCTCGGCCAATCTGAATTTAAAACAAATAGTGTCATTAAATTTCTTTAATTTTAAAGATTCAGCAGTTAGTTTGCAGCTGTTATATTGACTGTAGACTGAAGCGAAGTAATCATTAAGATTATTGACATTTTTAAATTTATCGGGAATAGATTCTGTTTGCTTAGATTTAATATTCAAAGTTTTTAGAGCTTTCCAAAGTATTTTGCTGTTTGTGTTAGAGTCGTGTAAATTTAAGAAAGCCCTTTTCTCCTGACGTACTATATTGGTAACTAGATTACGAAGTGATTTATAATAGGCCAAATCTGACGTAGATTTAGATTTTTTGTATTTTGTCAAGGCGTTATTTCTCTCCTTAATTAACAATTTTGTATTACATGACAACCACGGAGCACATGGCTTCGTCACTCGCCTAGACAAAAGAGGCGCATGCATATTAAATAGGTCAATAATTTTATTTGACAGAAAGTTTACTTTTTCGTCGATGTTTTTCATGTAGTAAATAGAATTCCAGTTAACAGCATGTAAATCATTCAAAAAGCTTGCCCTAGAGAAATACTTAAAGTCTCTAAACACAATTTCACGCGGTAAAGTTTTAGGCAAATTCAAATCCAAAGAACAATAAAGTAAACTGTGGTCTGAAATGTCATCTGCAGGAGTAACGCCAGAAGATGTTACCATATCTGAAAGTACCGAGCTTAAACAAATAACATCGATACAAGATTGCGAACAGACTGTAGTACGTGTAGGTTCTTTAATAAGAGAAATCATGTCAAAAGGCGATATGCAGTCCAGAAAACTGTTATCTGTTAGCTGATTTATATTTATATCTCCGGTAAAACATATATGGTCATATTGCGGTCATATATATTAAAAAATATAAAGTGCTTGTCCGTTCTACCATTGGGCTCATATTTTGCGAAAAATTTGAATCTCTGTATACGTCATACATATTATTTCTTTGTTTTATCGCGTTACACTTAATATATTACTACCGAAAATATTTATAAATAATAACTAATTATTGAAATATTTGACATTGATGAAATATTTATATAATATCGCACTAATAACATTTTATGTAGCATTTTATTTTAACTTAGTCCGATTAATTTAATCGATCTGTTTTTATAAAAGAGTCTGAGATAAATTATGAGTGTTACTTCATCTGTTATACACGTGATGCATGTAAGATTCATATTCAATGTATATGTTGCTGGCCATATTTAATCCACATTTTGCAAGAAAAAAAAACAGACCAAGAGAATGCTATTCCGCTGGTTGTTTTAATTATGTTTTGTCATTGAATTTCGAATATGGTACTCGAATATTAGTAAGTTTTGAATTAATAATGTATCGTGTTTTTATCTGATCGTTTGAGAGATATATTGTTAGATTTTACTGATAGTTGCTTTCTTTACAGTACAATGCAACGGAGTCTGCATCGGATAGGCGGTGCTTCCACCAATAATGGTTCTTCTGATCTTCATGGATCTCTTTTAAGGTAAGAAATATCACTATATAGTTTATTTTTCTGTTTAGTATAAACTTTAAAGATTTATATATGTATATTATGTTTACATTATATTTCTTTATCATATTGTAGTATTGCCAACTCTAATTACTTACATGCTGTTAGATTTAAACAACGTAAATAATGCTATATATCATTTAATTCATGTCATGGTTAATTATAAAATATAATTAATTATTAATGCTCTGAATACCTGAACAGAAACATTCATGAACAATCTATTGTTAAAGACTTTTTATTAATGCATTATGTATTTGTTTTTATAATAAGCGATTGATATGATTACGATTAATCTAGATTCCTATGCTGACAGGAGCAATGTTTTATTTACAACTTAAAAACTGAAAGTTAGGCCTAGTTTTTTTATTAATTAGTATATTATTTTTAGTACCTCGATGAAAAATAGAGAAAACAATTCTCTGTGATCATATGTGATATTTAAAAAAAAAGATGGAATTTGGAATAAAACCTCTTTATGGCTACCATTTTGAAAAGTAATGCCAATTTATGATATTTTCTTGGCACCCGGTATATACTCCTGAAGACCAATTTCCTATACCGGGTGCGTCTCGAAAGTGGCTCACCCCTGCAAGTTATAATTTCAAATAATAAATAATAAAATGTCAAAAGTTGACATATGATGTCATTCTATTCAGAGTGTTATTTTCTATCGAATAAAGTAAAAAAATACGGAGGGTGCCATTTAAAAATCAAAAGTTGTAGTCATTTCCGATGAAACAGGAAGTGACCGAAAACAACTGAATACATCAATCAATCCTAATTTATGTCATATACTAACATACCAAATCTCGTTTTTTTTAACTGAAAAAATAAAGAAGTTATAGGGGTGAGCCACTTTTGAGACGCACCCGGTATATTTAAATATATCCAGTGGCGGTTCGAAAATAAATGCACATGTTTACGTGAATTTCTAAATTTAGTGCATTTTCTTCAGAAAATACCTACTAATTTAAATTTTATCATTATTTAAATAATTCTATTTATTTCAAAAACGAATCGGCATATAGCCTATAAATTTATACGTCGCCGTTCGCGTTGACTCTCTAACTTCATCAGGGCGAGTCTGAAACATGCTATTAAAGGGGGAAATGGTCGTTTCCGGCTTACTTACCAGCTGCTTCTAATAATGAACTCTCCCTAAATGTATAGACATTATCACCATGTGCGTATTTAGTAAATACATCCTTTTTCAAAAAAAAATAAGATTATTTGGCTAAATATTTACGCATTTTCAAACTTATAAATATTATTAACTTTTTTTTATAAAATTATCTCACCCTGTACAGTGTGTCCCATTTTGGTTGAAATCATAGGGTATCTCTCCGTTATTAGTGAAGATAGAAAGGTGCGGTTTGCACAACCCTGTCCCACTTTTTCGTCAAACGGAAGATGCTGCAAACAAAATTTTCATAGCCCTCTTCATTTCTAAGCTACAGGGTCTTTTCAAAAATTTTGCAATTTGAGACACCCCCTGTATCTCTGTTATTGTTAAAGGTATCGAGAAGGTGAAAACTGCTTATTGTAGAACTTTTTACGTAGAATACAGTGGCGTAGTCTGTTTTTCTACCAAAAAAATATTTTTGAAAATATGAACTAAAGTTATGGTTTTTCAAATGGAACACACTTTATATTTATAAATCATATGATCTGTCTTGCTACGAGCTTCTCAAAAATATATATCACTCTATATTTATTTTCACTATTTACTGCAATATTTAAAATATATCATTTTCTTATTAGTAGGCCGTGATAAATAACAAAAAATCAAAATGGTATTTACTAAAATAGTCATACACATATTAAAATTTATTTGGGATTGATATATTTTACTTTTGAAATAACACTGAAACTGTGAATCTTAGAACTATCGGCTTCCCTTATTTTTAGTTATATTTTTCTTTTTTTTATAACGGGATGGGTTTGCAAATATCTAAATCTTGAATTATTAAAGCATTTTTCAGATGTTCGCCATTGTTGTAGTGCCCACGATATATTTCGTATTTCAAAAATCCCCAAAATCAGAAATCGAGAACGGCGAAATCTGGGAATCGAGGAGGCTATCAATATGCGTTTATTGGTTCCAATTCATTGATTTGAAAAATAATAATTTAACAGTATTCTAATATTTCCATAGTTATGAGGGGGAATGTTCCCCATCTTGCTGAAAGTATATTTCACGTAAATTAGCTAAAGGAATATCTAAAATTTCCGATACGATAGATTATTCTTACGTATACACGTATTCCAAGATTTACAAATAGCGGTAGAGAGTTAAGTTTCCCTAATATATAAAGAATTTATTAGCGGCTCCCAAAATAAAACAAGAGACAGATAGCAGTATACTTTTAATAATTCTTTAGTTTCTTTTATTATCAATCATGGCCTACTAATAAATATGATCTTTTAATAAAAACTTTTAAATATTGCAGTAAATAGTGAAAATAAATATAGAGTGATATATATTTTTGAGAAGCTTATGGCAAGACAGATCATGATTTATAAATATACAGGGTGTTCCATTTAAAAAAACATAACTTTAGTTCATATTTTCAAAAATATTTTTTTGGTAGAAAAACAGACTACGCCACTGTATTCTACGTAAAAAGTTCTACAATAAGCAGTTTTCACCTTCACGATAGCTTTAACAATAACAGAGATACAGGAGGTGTCCCAAATTGCAAAATTTTCAAAAAGACCCTGTAGCTCGGAAACGAAGAGGGCTATGAAAATTTTGTTTACGGCATCTTCCGTTTGACAAAAAAGTGAGACAGGTTTGTGCAAACCGCACCCTTCTATCTTCACTAATAACGGAGATACCGTATGATTTCAACCAAAATGGGACACCCTGTACATGTATAACGTGATACGAGTAACGTGTTTCAAGTCTACGCATAGCATTATTATGATAGGACCTTAGATTAACAATAAGATAAGACTCGTCCTTTAAATGATTTTTGCAAAAGAGATTATTGAAAAACCCGTTCCTCTATTTTGATCCAAAGCCATTCATAATAATTATTGAATATTTCAGATAACAATATTATTGATCGTAGATTGTAATACTATCTCTGAACTGCTACTATGGAGTAGGAGGACTTTATTTTCTTTGGCTGATTTGTTCAATTTCTCTAGGCATTCTTTGACCAACTTTTAATTGATGTTGCTTGACTATCGATGCTTTTTAATGCTGCTTTACTATTGGATAAGATGGTAATTTCTTTTTTCCGATAGTCTAAGATCTAAGAGAAGTTGTACGCATCTTTCGATAGCGTAGATTTTTACCTAAAGGGTGCTGTGTAGGTGGCCATTGGTTCGGAGTATGTAGTTTTTCCAAATACTCCTATCCCTGTAGTTGCTTTGGTTTTGGAACCATCAGTATACCACATTATGGTTTATGGTATGGTCTTTTACCTGCTGAGCAAACGTTTCTCTCTTCCAATCCTTTTTATTGCTCAAAACTACAGTGAGGTGTTTCTCAAAGTGGTACATTTTTGGTATGTCATCCACTCGGAGTTGTAAGAGTAGAATTGTAGGAATGGAATTTTCTTTTTGAGGGTGTTCCAAGTTCTGAGCTGACAATTCTCCCAGTACTGTTTAGCGACAATGATTAGTCGCATTGGGATATCTACTGATGACAATGTGCCGTGGTGTTAGATCTAGAATGACCTCCATTGCTGCGGTTGGGCATGTTCTCTTAATTGCTATTAGGTAGTAATTGTTAATTTCAAATTTGACTAATTCGATCTAGCGACCGTCTGTCAGAAAGTGTTTTATTATTTAGTCATTTTTTACATGGAAGAATTACAGAAAAGTGTGTGTCTTTGTATTCCAAACCCAGTCGCATTTTGCAAGAAAGATATTTTTTCATTCCCTGTTTTGGTGGCGAAATACATTTCCACTATTAATAATTATTTTTAAATATATTAAATCAGTCTTATTTTTTACAGGGCAAGCAACAGACCTTACGACGGAAAGATAGCTGGACTTTATGATCTGGAAGAGACTCTAGGGCGTGGACATTTCGCAGTAGTCAAATTAGCCCGACATGTGTTTACAGGTGAAAAAGTAGCCGTCAAGGTCATAGACAAGAGCAAGTTAGATGAAGTATCCAAAGCCCATCTGTTTCAAGAGGTAGGTACATTCTCCAAGAAAGAATTGTACAGTTTCTTGGTATATAATACAAACATGTAATATTTCTTTGAATGTGGTAGACAATAATTCAGTATTGAAACAAAAAGAATTGCATTAATACAAAGTTTCGGGCAGAAGGATCACTGATCGTTATCATGTGTGAACTAATCTAATTCCTGAAACTACAGAGCCTTTATACTACAGCCAGGTATTCACCCGGCCGTGAGGAAGTGAGGTTGGAGTCAACCGTGAGGTTGTCCACTTAGAATGTCTATATTGGTGCGTTTTATCAGTGGTTACCATATCGTAGATTTTTTGCTACTAGGATTGCTAAAGATATTATTATTGCTCGGGTTGTCCACAGGCAACGTCATTGGGAAAAGCGTAAATTTAAAGAAGCCGTTTTTGTAGCAAACAATAATAACATCTTTAGCTACACTATCAGGTCTTAACACAGCTAGTGTTAGCCACCTTAAATTTAAAACAAATATATTTTTTTGTATTGTTTCCTATAATTAATACACAGGGTGGTCCGAACTGTATTCCGGAAATTTTGGCAGCAGGAAATATTCTGCAGATAAAAATAAGTAAAACAGTTTTTATAAATGTATGTCCTAAAATGCTTAGTTTCGGAGATACAGGGTGTAGTTTCATTTTTATTTCGATTTTTTCCAAATAATTTCTGAATTATCGTTAATATTTGGATAAAAATTGGTGTCTGGGAGTTTTTTGACATGAAAAATTTGATTTTGTTGTCAATATTACTCCTACTTGTAGAGGGCGCCATCGCCATCTACATATTTTTTAATTGGTTTGAAGAGTAATAACTTTTCGTCCGTACCTGTATAAACCTACTGTGTAAAGAAATATACATTTAAGACGTTTTTTTACGTAAAAAAGGTCTCTTTGTAAAAAATTCGTTACAAGTAATGGCTCTCGAGATATTTGGAAACGAAATTATCAATACCTGTCATCATTGACAGGTATTGATAATTTCGCATTAAGCATGTTGACTAAATAGTTATTAGACTGAAATCATAAATTTGAAATGTTTTTGTACCAAAACTTCAACAGACACTGTTTTATCATCATTTTTTCGAAATAAAAATATGATTAATTAAAAAAACAAAAAGTTAGGTTAGTTTGTAGAAAAATTAATTCCAAAAATTCCCAAATTTATCATTTCAGTCAAATAACTATCTACTCAACATGTTTATTTTTTGTCAATAATGACATGTATTGATTATTTCCATTTTCCATTCTAAATATCTTGAAAACGGTTGCTCGTAACGATTTTTACCAAGAGACATTTTTTACGTAGAAAATCACGGAAATGTATATTTTTTCACTCGGTGGTTTTATACAGATACGGACGAAAAGTTATTACTCTTCAAAACAGTTACAACAGATGTAGGTTGCGCCCCTTACAAATAAGAGTCTTATTGACATCAAAATCATATTTCTTATGTCAAAAAACGCACGGACGCCAATTTTCATCCAAATATTGACGTTACTTCAGAAATTAATTGGAAAAAATCAAAATAAAAATGAAATTTCTACACCCTCTATCTCCGAAACTAAGCATTATGGAACATACATTTATACAAACTTTTTTACTTATTTTTATCTGCAGAATATGCTGCCGAAGTTTCCGGAATACAGTTCGGACCACCCTGTAGAAAAGAAAAATCGTGGGGACTTGTATCGCTGAAAAGAAACAATTTTATTTTGTGCGACATTGCGTGTCATTCCCTTCAAAAAAATTGCATACACTCTTGCTTGCGAATCACAGCACAACGGAATTTACAGATAGTCATCCATTCAAACGTTCACCTCAATAATCAATCGAGTATATTATATCTTGTATATTAATCTAAATCCCCTGATCTAACCATTCCTTTTTTCTCTTCAGGTCCGATGTATGAAACTAGTCCAACACCCCAACGTCGTCAGACTGTACGAAGTGATAGACACGGCCACCAAGCTCTATCTCATCCTGGAATTAGGCGACGGCGGCGACCTCTACGAGTACATCATCAGACACGACCAGGGCCTGCCCGAGGAGAAGGCCAAAGACTATTTCAGACAAATCGTGCGGGCGATATCCTACTGCCACCAGCTGCACGTCGTCCACCGAGATCTCAAGCCGGAGAACGTGGTGTTCTTCAAGAAGCTGGGCGTGGTCAAACTGACCGATTTCGGGTTCAGCAATAAGTTCTATCCCGGTCAGAAGTTGGAGACGTCGTGCGGTAGTTTGGCGTATTCGGCGCCGGAAATACTGCTGGGGGATTCCTATGACGCTCCTGCCGTTGGTAAGTCATGAAATTCGCTCACTTTATTTCTTACAAGATCTTATAATTTCGTGATATATTAGACCAGATTCTTCAATGTGGCTATCGGCTGGATCCACTGCGACCCGTTCAGATCTATTGTGGTTCTTCCTTTGAATACACATATTAAGGAAGGAGCATAATGCTATCCATGTATTCGTGCATGGTGGGCGGAAAAAGGACTCTAGGGTGGGGGTCCTTGACAGTTTTGTTTGACGATTCATTTGACACATTTGAATTTGATTTAAAATTTTGTGGATTTTTCAGTCTTTACGTAGCTTATTTTTTGTTATTTATTATTTAATTCTACTACTGATAGTTGTATAAAGGTAGTAAATCTAGATGGAAATTGTGGCAGAACTTAAATTAACAGTGACACTATTGCGATTTATCGAAAAAGACTGTAAAATAGTTGGTTGTATAGCGTGCGGTAGATCTCGGTCAAAAATCGAGTGAAATAATGGAACAACTTTTCGCTAGTAAGCGAATATAATATACATACTTGTAGTAAACCGATCATTTATGAAATTCACTTAAATTAACTAGTTTTATATTTTTTCTTGCATTTTTGTTTTTATTTACTACTTGTAAAGAATTTAGATACGTCAATTTGATTTACCTGCATCAGTAGCATATCGGATGTTTGTGTTAATAAATAATTATCATAACTTATCTATTTTTATTAGAATTTTATATTTTTATAACAATTTTAATAATCACTAACATTTATTCGCAACGTAAAATATAACAACAAATTATTGAGTTTACCCCACGCACTGATAAACCGGAATTTAAGTCGGCCAATTTTGGTCCCCATCGCACTCGATCTAAGTTTTTTTGTTATGTTCCTTCCTTAATCTTTTTATTCAAAGGGTTCTTCTGATCCTTAGGTTACGTTCTCCAGTTCCATCATTTTTAAAAAATCTAGCAACCTGTAGACTGAACCCTCCGTATAGTTCTTTGTCAATTGCTTGCCAAACCATTGCCTATTACAGAGAATCGCACATTTCCCAGGCTGTCGCACCGACATAAAGTGGATTCTGTAGTTTCTTCAGATTGACATGCACATGGTTTCGTCAATCCCATTAGCTTTAGACGCCTATTCAGCTTACAATGCCCTGTGAGTAGACCCACTGCAGCTTTGACTGTTTTTTATCTTTGCTTATCAGATCTGCCGTGAATTCTGGCGAATGTTCTATTTGAACTTTTTCGCCTGTTTGTCCTGGTCAATTTCTCCACTATTCTAGAGATTTGTCAACCGCCCATAGTTTTGTGGCAGTCACGAGACTGCCTTTGCAACGCCGCAGAAGGGTTCTAGGCCTATAAATGACATTGATGAGCCTAGTTTGGCCATTTCATCTGCCTTTTCGTTACCCTTGTGACTCTCGTCAACCTAGGCTAACGTAACATTGCTACGCTCACCCAATGTATTTAGAGCACACACACATTTAGTGATGTAAATAGTTGCAACATATTTTAATAGTTTTAATACCGTAATGTCACTAGAGATTAGAGCAAGGTCCAGTAAAAATGTCGGTTAATATTCGGTGGATATTTGTAATTTAGATATTCTTAATACAAGCTAAGAAGTGTATTGTTGATAACGTTGTCTTATTTCAACAGTATATTTCACCGGTTTTCAAAGATGTTAAAAAAACAAACAAACACTCTCCACAGAAAAATAGAGGGCAGCAATAATCGGCTGAAAAACTTAAAAAAAATTATACAGAAAAAAATCAGAATTAATGATTACAAAACCACCAATAAAACATATTATACTATCCATACAGACCACAATTTGGCATTGATACAGCCAAGGATATATAAAAAATTAGGTTTGAGTCGATTTTAACTAAAGACACTATTCTAATAAAAATGTCGGGCGAATTGGCAAGAATTATATTGATAGATATCTTCTAATGTTTCTACGCGAAACATAGAATATAATTATATGACTTAAGTCATTAGGTGAACTTATCAAACCATTTATTATTCTGAAGGAAAAACTTAAATCTGGGATTTCCGCGATACTGCAAGAAATTCAAATCAAGATCATACATTGAGTCCAGCAGTAAACCTTTTTGTGCTATCCTGAAACTTATTTAATCAATCTTCTCTGAATAGATTTTAACTGGTTAATATATTCTTCATAATGAAGGCACCAATTCTAAAAGAGTCTAACATATGAAACGCATGCACATGCACATATTAGGGGATCTAGGAAGAATAGAAATCTGAATAAATGTATGAAAACTATAAATAGAAATATCATCGAATTACAATTGACAGAAATAAAAATTCGCCAAAATGTTGTTTTTTTGGCAAAAGATTGTTCTAATACTGAACATTTAAACACGGTCCATTAATAATTAAAAACGGAATCAAACCAACCAACATTTCCATTAAATTGTTTCTTCACCCTTGTCTTTTTGATATAAATAACTGCGGACTAACAGTTTCCGTTTTCTCTTCTGACTACAAATTCGACTGCCGTGTTTATACTGGGATGATGATAAGCACAATAACAATTATGTATTTAATAATATTTTACTTGGAAGGAACTTGGCAGGGATGACAATTACAATGGCCCGACAATGACAATGATCTGATAAATATTGCCTTTTTCGGGCAACTCTCTTTTATTTTCTTAGTCATTTGTTTTTGGGCACTTCTGGATACGCATATTAGGCATACTCTATACACTCTATGTCACTAAAGCCGCCATACGTTGTATGACTAACTCTAGCATCCAAATTGCCTTGACCATTTTTTTCGATTTTTTCACTGCATCAATAGTATTATAATAATAATTATATCCCATTTTTTGATAGGCAAATTTGTGTTCGGAATGAGTGAAGTTTTACAATACATCTAAAATTATGAGGTTAATACTACAAACAAGTTATTTTATTCCAGATGTTTGGTCGCTAGGTGTAATCCTCTATATGTTGGTTTGTGGTCAACCTCCATTCCAGGAAGCTAACGATTCGGAAACACTGACCATGATTATGGATTGTAAATACAGCGTACCTACTCATGTATCTAGTCAATGTAGAGAGTAAGTCTGAATACAAATTGTTTAAAAAATGGTTTGTAAAGTCTGTCCAATGAGACAGAGAAGATTTCAACAGACGACATCCAAAAATTATAATTTATTTTTAATTAAATTGACAAGTATCAATTATCAATATCAAGTATTCTCTCGTTGGACAGACTTTACTTATATCTTGATATCAGATATGTAGGTGGTTGAATTTGGCATTAGAAATTCCAACAGAATTTCAATTTCTAAATTGAAAATTATAGCTAACGAAATGTTCACTATTGCTTAAAGAAAGGCAAATTAAAATTAATTAAATAATTATTTAAAACATACTACATATACCTGGTGCGTCTCAAAAGTGGCTCACCCCTATAACTTTTTTTTATTTTTCAGATAAAACAACAAGATTTGGTATGTTAGAATATAACATAAGTTGGATTGATTGACATATCAATTGTTTTCTGTCACTTCCGGTTTCACCGGAAATGACTACAACTTTTGATTTTTAAATGGCACCCTCGGTATTTTTTTACTTTATTCGATAGAAAATGAAACTCTGAATAGAATGACATATTATATGTCAACTTTTGACATTTTCGCATATGGTTTATTTGAAATTGTAACATGCGGTTCACATAACGACAATTTGACTCGAAATACCAAGTGTGTGGTATCAAATAATTATTCGTAAAAAATGCTTTTTCAAAATATGCTAATGAGCCACCCTCGTTCCATTTGAAAAAAATGAGATATGATTAACAATACGATTTGGGAATCCTTTAATCGACCAGGACAAGACACTAAAAACATTAGACGATCAAATCTATTTTTCCAAGGCTCCTTGATTAAAAATTAGTGTTTTTAACACAGTCGTGGCACTCTAGATTGAAATTTAAAATACATTTTGTTTTTGAGTGAATATGTCAAAAGTTGACATATGATATGTCATTCGATTTGGAGTGTCATTTTCAATCGAATAAAGTAAAAAAATACCGAGGGTGCCATTTAAAAATCAAAAGTTAGAAGAAAAGAAATAGAAAGGTGAAAAATAGGAAGTGACCGAAAATAATTGAATATGTCAATCAATCCCAATTTATGTCATATACTAACGTACCAAATATCGTTTTTTTTTATATGAAAATAATAAAAAAGTTATAGGGATGAGCCACTGTTTAGACGCACCCGGTATATTTTTAAACTGTTTGTCTATTTCCAAAATTTCCTAAACTTATTGTAAAAGTAAAGTTGTTTGAGTAAACGCTTTATTTTTGCTGGCCAGAGTTAATCCGGACGGAGCCTACTTTATTTACGCGGACTCCGAACCGCGGCCTTCGACCATACAATACCCACTTTGCGAGTGTCTAAATCAACTATTACTCACGAGGTATAAGATATAGCCTAAGAGCTGACGACATAATTAGAGAACATATTTTAGGCAAGCTAGAATAACTAAAAATGTATAGTTTATTAGGTGAACCCAGAATCCTAAGTCTGGCTGGGGGGTTGGGGGTATTTCGCTACTGCGCAACCCATAACATTTGCCAAAAAATAAATCCAAAAAACATTCTTTAGGCAACTTCAAATTTGTTTATTCTTAAATTTTAGCATCTATTTAACCTAGAAATAAGTGTGCCAGACTTTTTTTTCGGGTTTAAAGTGTAACCAGACCATTCCAAATATGTTTAATTATTATACCTGGAAAACATACTTTAGGCATTCTAAAATTTTTAGCGCGATAAGAAAGTCTTATGAGTATCTATAAGCGCGAGAAAGATAGTTTATTGAGACCCGGTCGGCAGCCGATGCGGCTGACGTAACAGCATTTTTGGAGTCGTAAAACTTTAAAAACTAACTAATATTGAATAAATAAAAGCAACATTTTTTAATAAAAATGTATGATTGAAATCCTTTCAATAAGAAGACTTTTCAATTCTAAGTTTTGTATCTGAAAGAATAAAAAAGACGAATAATTATTTAAAAATTAGCATAATAAAATATAATTTTTTCAAACGTCACAAAAAGTATAATTATTATTATACTTTTTGTGACATATATTATTATTAATTTTTGCGACCTGATTGACAATATAAAAAAGTCATTTTAACGCCTAAGCATAAAAAGTAAAGCACTTTACTTACTTTTTGAATCTATTTAGAAAGATTAACAATGGTACTTTAATAAAATTCCAGAATACTTTTTTAGCACTGTACATGGTACCCTTTTGTCGGTACTACGTTTTCTGGTAAAACCACTTCTTTAAATTTTAAACCATGTTGTTGGCGCACTTTTAAAAATTCTTTGCATTTGTGTAGTCTGCCTTCATCAAAAACAATAACTTTGTCACTAGTAACTTTTTTACAAACTACACAACTTAAATGTTTTTTTATCCATTGTGATTTAGTAGTTAGTAGCGAAATTAGTAGTTACTAAAATATTTATTTGCAGTCTAAACTGTTTACACTATGCACGTCAATATTTAATTTATAAATACATATTTTTACATGGTAACTTAATTCCAACAAAATAATCTCTGAATTAAAAGTCTGCAAATAATTGAAATGAAACCGAAAAAAAATTGTTTTTATGAAAATTTGAAATACTCCAAAATACTGTTACGTCAGCCGCATCGGCTGCCGACCGGGTCTCAATAAACTATCTTTCTCGGCTTATAGATACTCATAAGACTTTTTTGTCGCGCTCATTTAAAATCTTTATTCGCGTCTGGCAAGTATTAAATCCCATTGAATTCGTCTGGCAATTAACACATATTTTTTAATATCATCTAATAAACACGCTGTAAAAATTCTAGAATGCCTAAAGTATGTTTTACAGGTATAATAATTAAACATATTTGGAATGGTCTGGTTACACTTTAAACCCGAAAAAAAAGTCTGGCACACTTATTTCTAGGTTAAATAGATGCTAAAATTTAAGAATAATCAAATTTCAAGTTGCCTTAAGAATGTTTTTTGGATTTATTTTTTTGCAAATGTTATGGGTTGCGCAGTAGCGAAATACCCCCAACCCCCCAGCCAGACTTAGGATTCTGGGTTCACAAGTTATTAAACTTTATTTTTTTTTGTTATTCTAACTTGCCTAAAATATGTTCTCTAAATATGTCGCCACCTCTCCGGCTAATACGTCCTCTAACGGCTCTAGCCTGCGTGAATGAGTGGTGCGCCTTAATAGATTTATCAAATGTATCAAATACCCACATTGCTTAACTTGGTTGGGAACCGGTGTTTTGACGTACCTAGCTGTAATTATCTAGAAATTTCTAGTGTAAATGAATGATACTTACTAATCAGACTTTTTATTATTTATTTTAGTCTCATATCGAGGATGCTGGTCAGGAACCCGGAGAAGCGGGCTACGTTAAAAGAAATCTCTATGCATCCCTGGTTGATTACCGGGAACGAAGAAAATAATCCCGATACCTTAACTTTGCCGCTGGTATCTCGAGAGCAGCTGTGTGAAGACGATCATAATTTTATCGTACAGAAAATCGTGAATGGAAACATTGCCACTAAGGAAGAAATTCAAGAGTAAGATTATTTTTCTATTTGTTTTTGTGTGTTATGTCGGATAATGCAAATATATATTTATTATCACTTGTCTCTTATTTGAATGAGAAAGTGATAATGTTGCATTGAGAACTGAATTTTCTTCAATGCATTTTCTATTTATTCGTTAAAATTTAAAATGTTTTCATAATATCATGAACTTATTTTTTACGACATAGATTAAAATGAGATTTCAATATAACATCTTCTTCTTCGTCGTCTCTTCATGTCTGAAGAATCGTGACATTATGGCTATATGCAGTTGGTGATTTTGATCTTCCATCGTTGCTGACCTGTAATATTTGCTATTTGGTCAAGCCATCTCGATGGTGATCGTCCTCTGGGTCTTCGACCTTCTACTTTGTGTTGTACTATGATTGTTTCAAGGTTGTCTTCAATAACATACTGTATTATATAACATACTGAGTTGAAATAATTCACAAATAATGTAGCATTATAAAATAAAAGCAAAAAATTCTCAGGGTATAGGAATTAGTTTTTCAATATTTGACTGTTTCTACAGATTCGTTTTTTAGTAATTACACCCCAAAGATCAGTGTTATTAAATGCAATTTTATTGTTGTGTTTATGTTTCAGCATACTTTCTAAACATATGATTAACATAAATAATATAAATAACAAAAGAAGTATTCTTTACTAATTTGATATTCAGTAAAATCATGAAAGGAACTGTAATTATGAAAATTATGTATATTTAAAATATTATTTTTCAAAACTAAAGTCATTTAGAACTTAAGTTTTATGCAAAACTCCTACGCAAATCAACAGTCTCAAGTATATAGGGTGTGTTTCAAAACAAATGCGAAAAACTTTAGGGGGTGATTTCTGAAAAATAAACGTTTATTTTTTACGTGTCACTGCGAAATTTTTTAATTTTTATAAATTGTTAACAATAAAAATAAGGATAGTCTCTATTTCAATACCTTCCTCTCATTTTAATTAGATGAAAGAATAGGTAGATTTTGTGTTTATAATAGTAAACTTCCATGTTATTTCGTTGTTCTATCATTTTTAAGCCAACGTTTTTTTGATAACAGACATCCAAATTAATTTCCGAAAAACTGTTTATAATATTCCAAATATATGTCTCATTCCTACTATTTTATAGGTGTTTAGATAGGAATGAATACAACCACATAACGGCAACCTACTACCTACTCGCTGAACGGAAACTCAGATCGAAACGTGTAGATTTGACGAATAAAACTAAACGACCCGAAAATTTGGGCGTGTCGAAAAATCTAGGTCCTCCTAAACGGGAGAATGGTTCTGCCAATCTGGCTCCTAGTTTGCTGAACGTACCTAGAACGCCTGGAGATTTACCTCAAGTAAGTTATATATTAAAAATCTCAGATTTAGCTTCAAAATATCCTCTTAAGATATGTATATGTCTGATCAATGAGTCAAGTAATATTTTGACAGACGACATCTAAGTAATGTCAGTTGACAGACAAATATATAAAAAATATTTGGTAGCTGGATATGACGGACTTTCATAAAATGGGGAGCTATTTCTCTAAAAACAATAAACGTTAACTTCCTGTTTTAGAATAAAATAAGTTTACTCATTGTGGTCAAATAGGTAGAAAACAACTGCAATCCGTTTCTGAATGATTTCTTTAGTAATTTCCTACCACAATATTATCTTATACAGTTAATTGTCACTTTTTTTCTGGAATTGATTAAAAATTAATCATCTTTATCAGTTTTTAATATTGTACAGGGTGAGTCTTAAATAAGCGCAAATATTTTCATGTCTGGTAGATGTTCTCTTTACCGTTTTTCAAATAAATCCAAAATAACCGAGTTATTAAAGATTGTTTGCTTATACAGAGTATCCCAGAAATAAGTGCAAGTATTTTACGGGGTGGTAGATCTCGATAAAACAAACATATTTTCTCTTTGTCGTTTTTCAAATAACTCAACTGAGTTATTTTACTTTGAAAATTTAAAAAAAAATGATTTTTTGCTAAAATGTTGAGAACCACTGAATCTTTTCTGGATTTCCTTTTTTTTAAATTTAATCTACTACCTATGTTGCCATATTATCAAGAAATTATTTTTTTTTTCTACTACCAGTTAAAATACTTGCACTTATTTCTGGGACACCCTGTATTTTGAGAACCACTGGATTTTTGTTCTTCAAAAAAATTTACCTACTGTCTAATATTGCCACATTATCAAGATATTAAGCTTTTTTACTAAAAACAGAAAATAATAAAGTCCAGAAATTTTTTAACCGAGTTAATAACGATTGTTTGCTTATATTTTGAGAACCACTGGATTTTGGTTCTTCTAAAAAATTTACCTACCTACTGCCTATATTGCCATATTATCAAGATATTAAGCTTGTTTACTAAAAAAAAAAATAAAAAATAAAGTCCAGAATTGTTTTCGGAAAATACAAAATTTTCTACTTTTTTTCGCGAAAAAAAACTCATAGACGTGTTTCTGAGGTCAAATGTACCACTTCTAAAAACATTTGCACTTATTTAAGACTCTTACCTGTATAATCTGTTAAAACAGGCACTCAAAATAAATAACATAATTTCTATAACACCAATACTGGTATCGCTTTTCACACTACAAAGTACATATTATAATAGTTGATGAAATTAGTAATATATTGTAATCCAATGTTCTTTTTTAACAGAGATCTCGAAAATGCAGCATAGTACAAGAAGACGAAGAGGAGGAAGATTCTTGTGCGACGAGAGAAGAACTGGGTCCGCCGTTGAACAGAAGGGGATCTCGATCGGAAGGCCGTTTGAATCTCGCTTTACAGGAGCGATTGGCCGAAAATGATCGGCGTAAACCTGCAGAAAAGGTAAGAAAAAGGAATATTTATTATAAAATCTTGTCAAAATGATTGCGAGAATTCATGTTAAATAAATTACATAAGTAGGGGTAGTCTTCAAGTTCACAGATTTTATAAATAACGTAGAGATATATTTAAACTAAGCAACTAGTTGCGGGTTCTAACTAAAATTATTAATTATACCCTTCATAAAGTTAACAAGATTCTTATACAGGGTTGTTCACCACATATGACACGGAGTATTGTAGCTAAACGATTAGACTTTTGCAAATTGTAAGTTTTTTTGGGTTTGTTGAAGAACTATTAGAGCTACGATTTAAAAATATTTTTACAAGATACAGAGTGTCCCAAATAAATAAAAAATATCAAAGTTGTATTTTTTTTGAAATGGAAAACCCTGTATATTAATACATTTTTAGTTTCTACTATTAAAATAAAGGTAAATAATATAGTATATAAGATTTACGGCATTTTAATCTTACCGTTTTTGAAATATTAAATTTTTGTCAAAATACAGTAATAATTTTAATGCTTCATTTCTCTAGTAGTATTTAAGTTTTTAAAACCAAATATTGTACTGAAGTATTTCTATTTACTAAATTTTGTGGTGCAATAATAAAAATTATACTACCTTATACAGAGTCTCTAAAATTTTATTTCAAATAATTACTAGCTTTAAACGGCAATAACTTGTTTAATTTAAATGGAACACCCCGTATATTTTATGAAATTCAAATGCACAATTTAATTGTCTATCAAATTGTATTAAACCATTTTTGACCTATCTTTTCAAGTTTTCGCAGAAAGTGCATTTTCTTATAATTGAGACCTCATTTATCAATATACCCATGGAATATTGCCATTTTAGATTGCTTTTAAAGATGTAACAAATTTTTAAAGATACAGATACTAATATTGTCGATATCATTCGTTTATTTTTATTTTTTTACAGTTTTTTTTTTATTTTTTTAATGAAATAAACCTCATTAAAAAAATTAAAAAAAACTGTTTAAATATTTTCTAAAAAGATTGGTCCTTTTTTAATATGATTCCAGTATTCAAACTACATTAATTGACTATTTGCGTTGATTAATAATATAATAATTGCTCCAAATACTAAAAAACTGAATTTTGTATGTATATATTATACCTATAGTCTAATACACATACAAAAACAATCTTAAAAATTTGATTTAATTTTTTGACGAATGCTTATTTTTATTATTATATTAATTTCTGATTCAAATCCACATTTATTTAGAATCATTTATTAACTAACACAATTAAGTAAGTAATTAATTAATATATGGGCGGAAATAATGGTGGTATATTTAATTAATGGTATATAATACTTAAATAATACTCTTTTATAAAGATTTAAATAGTTTTCTTTTTTTATACAAATGGGCTAGTAATATTATCGTTTTTAGCACCTGTACATTTTGTACATTTGTTGCTTTAAAAACAATCTAAAATGTCAAATTCCATGGGAATATTGATAAATGAGGTCTAAATTATAAGAAAATGCATTTTCTACGAAAACTTGAAGGGATAGGTAAAAAATAGTATAATACAATTTGATAGACAATTAAATTGTGCATCCGATTCTCCTAAAATATACAGGGTGTTCCATTTAAATTAAACAAGTTATGGCCGTTTAAAGCTAGAAATTATTTAAAATAAATTTTTAGACACTCTGTATGAGGTAATATCATTTTTATTATTGCAACACAATAGGTAATTGATGAATAAACTTCAGTAAATATTTAGTATTAAAAACTTTGATACCCTTGGAGAAATGAAGCTTTAAAATTTTCACTGCAATTTCACAAATTTAAAAATATTTCAAAAACGGTAATGTTTAAGTGTGATAAACCTTGATCAAATTTACCTTTATTTTAATCGTAGAAACTAAAAATGTAATAATATATAGGGTATTCCATTTAAAAAAATGCTTCGAATGTAAAAAAAACTTTGATATTTTTTATTTATTTGGGACACTCTGTATCTTGTAAAGATATTTTTAAATTGTAGTTCTAATAGTCTTTCAACGAATCCAAAATTTAAAATTTGTAAAAATCTAATCGTTTAGCTACAATACTCCGTATCGTATGTGGTGAACAACCTTGTATAGAATATTACTTAATTTTGAAAACCATTCCAAGGAGCAATGAATCAACAGACACCCATTTTAAACTGAGGCAGACATGCCTGCGTTTTAGCCATCGTAGAATTACATTCATATCACATTATTAAAGCAACTTTAAGAAAAACTGCATTGCCTTATAAGTTAGTGATTAGTACAAAAATGGTGTTTTTAAGAGAAAGATGGGACTATATCTAAAAATATAATAAAAAAAATAAAGCTTTTGAAAAGACTTATAGTGGTGGCTTTAGCTGTTATTACACTTTTTTAATGTGCGATTATTATATTATGTAGATTTCCACAATTAATACATATTCTTATATTGCTGTGCAATTTATTCCATCAAATAATACTTTGCTTACAGTATGCTCTAAAATTAAAAATGTTCATTTTTTATCCAAAGATATTTTCGTTAAACTTATTACAAAATTACACATTTTAATATGGCAACAACACAATTTCGATAGCCGAATTAGAGAAAATGAACGTTTTATGCATTGGCCGCAGACCGAGTAGAGGCTTCACCTACGTACAGCACTTGAGACATAAGGGGAAATAAAATCAGTCTTGTCACGAATTAGGTTGCGTATCTTCCCAATTCTTTCAATCAACGGTGTTATGTTTAGAAAGTAATAGATAGATTCCTTAACTCCAGATAAAAAATTCGACGAAGTTGTGTAGTTCAAGTAAGTTTCAAGTCTATGACGAATCGTTTTTGGCATAAATAGAATTAATGTAAGAATGATAGAATTTAAGTTTCTTTTTCAAGAAGAGGCATTCATTTGGAGGTTGGCCTGGATTTATTGGGAAACCAACGGAGACTAATTGTCAACAGTGGCTTACTAATAAACAAATTTGCCTAACGGACAAAAAATGCTTAACGTTTCGGAAAGTATATCTCTTTCCGTCGTCGGAAGCAAAAAAATACAAAGAACAAAGAAAAAAACTATTTAAAATATCTCCATGCAACTATTCGAAAACACTTTAGTTTTTTTAACAGATACGTCTATACCATTGGCGTTTTGTTAAAATGACATTATATCAAGTTAAACTTCAAAATTAACAAATAACTATCTGAAAACAATTTCTTAATAAGGTAAAACCAAAAAGCTTCAAACTTTCTGTATGATTATTTTTAATTTGTTTTTAATTTTGACGTATGTTATGTTTATTTATGTTATGTTCTTTAAACTCTAAGAAGCGATTGCCATACATTACTAACATCTGCAGATGCATAAGCAATAGATTTATTTTTATTAGATTGTATAAAAAAGCCTCTTTTATTTTTCTTTTAGAGGCTATCGCTTCATTCATTATAATTGTAGATTTTCTTAGTGGCGAAATACCCATAGGACTTTTTGGAGTTTTTTTTAAATAAATACATTTTTTTAAATAATACGAATCTTATTCTTTTACAGATTTCTGAACCGCGGCAGAACACCGATATTCGGCAACCGCCGAAAGCCCCAAGTCGCAAAGAACAGAGCGCCAAATGGCAGAACAGCAAATCGGCCAGCGTGTGCGAACCGAGCGAACCCGAAACGGATCTCGTGCCAACCACCATCATAACCGACTCATCCACCATCACCATACCCATCATTACCACCAGCGCCCCCGTTGACTGCTCCTCCATGCCCAAATACAAGACGATGCCCTCGCCCACCAGGACAGCATCCGGTAAGAGATCCCTTTGTAAACGGCTTAGAATGGCCATCTATAGAGTGCTCTTATTCCTTTGCTATTCTGTCGCTTGATTGGTGCGTAGACCGCTTGTAGGTGGAGCTAGTTGAAGTCGGTAATCAGCTTTAATGTAACAGTTCCTAACAGATAACAATATCTTATGGTGAGTTCATGCTTCCGATCTTAACCCTAACACTAACATTAGTTCTAATCTGAAGAATATGAATCAACGTTAACGAACGCAAACTTTCATGTTTTCAACGCATAGATCTATATTAGGAATGAGCTTAATGTTTTAAGCTTATTCCTAACGAATCCTAAGAAATATGGGATATTTTATATTCTTAAGCTTCATTCAGAACCTCGAAATTAGTAGTTTCAATTAGCGTGGAAGTTTGTTTCTCTAATTAATTAATTAGATGTAAGCATGTAAGCATTCTATGTAAGCATTCAGAATATCAAAATTAGTGGTATAGTCTGTCCAACGACAAGATCCTTGACAGTGATAGATGTGTCTGTCATTTTATTTTCAAATTAGTTTATTTTATTTTACCACGAATTAAGTTGGTACAATTGGAAAGCATAGCAGAAAATTAAAATTTGAGTGACAAGTGATTACTTCAAAATATTGTGAAAAAACTGTATAAAATTGAGAAAATCTAATCGAGTTATTTTATTAAAAACAATTACAGTATGTATTAATACAAAACAAGCAAGGGTTTATTTAAAAACAAAACACCACATACCAAAAAAAATATAAAAAAGATTTCCGGCTTTCAAGCTCAAGCAACTTTCTATATTTATTGTTACATTTATCAATATAATTATTCAATATGATTATTATTTACCTATCGTGTGCTGATATTTTACAGACACTTCAGTTTTTGGCATCATATCTCACAAGATAGTATACAAACTTTATTTGTGGCTTATACATCTCTCTGGCCATAATCTCTGGCAAACTGTCTGACGGTCTCTGGGCACCGAATATTAACTGTAAACTATGGTCTGGGTCATCACAATTTTCCCGCGAGTTTTCCTCCACTTAATTTTAAGAAACACTAAACACACGTCATAAAACAGTCCAAAATGCATAATATTTATCATTTTTATTTGACATAATTTGTCATAAAATTATAACCTATAAATTGGCAAGAGTTTGACAACTCTCAAAAATCTTATGACGAGTTCACACGCATCGGCGTTCGTTTGTCGTTCATCTTTCCGTCAAACCAATAATATTGAAATATGATCTGTCATTTTTTGAAATAAACCAATAAAACTGATTGTAAAAACAACAAGAGATGACGCATGACGGATTTATATATAAACCCATAGTTAACTTAAAAAATATTAGAAACTTTTTTTAGTTAAATAATTTTTTTTTTAAATAAATAAATTGTCATCGTCTGTCGAAATCTTACCTGAGAAAAAAAACAGAGCATAGTAATTTTCAATTAGTAGAAAAAAATAATAAACTTCTAACTTTTGCCACTAATTATACTTCAAAATTTGCGAGTAATGTCATTTTGGCTTTTGATTATCATCCGTCAAGAGAAATTATGGTTAAAAATAACAAGTTTATTGTTTTATAAGCTAAATATTAGGCTTTCCCTATCGATACAACTGATTACCGCAATCTGTTACTAGGATATTCTTCTAATTTTAATGGTACTTTTTTAAACATTGGGTGAATGATCGTAAACTTTTAAGTATAAATTATAATTGTAACCACTAATTCATATCACTAATTGCGAGGTTCATTCTGCAAATATTCATTTGGGAATAAATTAGTGGTTTCAATTACACTTTATACTTTTAAGTTTACGATCATTCACAATGTCCAAAAAACACAATTAAAATTAATAGATTATCCTAGCAACAGCTTACAGTAATCAGTTGTATTCATTGAAAAAGCCTAATATTTAGGTTACAAAACAATAAACTTTTGATTTCTAACCACATTTTCTCTTGACGGCTGATAGTCAAAGGTCAAAATGACATTCTCAGCAAATTTTGAAATATAATTAGTGGGAAAGTTTGGTAACTTTGTCCACTAATTAAAAATTCCTACCACTAATTTTGACGTTCTGAATGCTTACATTCAAAATAGAGGAACAAACTTCTACGCTAATTGAAACCACTAATTTATTCCACTAATTGCGAGGCCCTGAATGAAGGCTAATGCTAATTCAAAACTGATTTGCGCAAGCTCAAAACTAGGGGTTTTTAGAATTTTCGAAATATTACTTAACATATTGAATTTGACGGTTTATCTATTTTTTAGACTAAAAATGATTAATGTTTATTTACAAACAAGTAAATGCTCTTGAGAACATTAGTCTCTGTTGTTCTCTAAATTTTAAAAATATTTGTAAAATTAGGTTAACTCAAAACATATGTTTCATATGTGCGCAAGCACATTCTAGAATATTCATAAAGAGAAGTATGAGAAATATGAACATTTCCTTAAGGCCTAGGATTATTTTCTTAGGGTTAATGTTATGACTAAGTGTTAGGACTAATACTCTGGAAGTATGAACCAACTATCAATATATCCTTAATTGCCCTACAGTTTCATGGTAATTTTACTGAAATTGTATCACTTTTCTTCTACGAATCTTGGCCTTGATCGATTTGACGGTTTTAGTATTATATGTGTTTTTATAATAAAATAAATAAGTACCTATATTTCAAATAAAAATTTAGAACCAATTTTAAAATTAGGTATATTTAATATTCAATCTTTTTTTGTTTGCTTTTAAATATACTGCAAATGGAAAAATCTTTTATTTTAAAAGTATCTAAAAATGTAAAGTCAATACACCATGCCTAAGAATACTAGATCATATATACTTACGCGGATAGGTAAATATCTAGCAAAACTATTTCTAATGATCGTACTATTATCTTATTTCTTTATTTCACGCGCAGCACTGCTCTCTCTCTATCCTTCGTCAAGAACGCAGTTTGGAGTCGATATAGTTACTTTATAAATATATGCTTAAATGCAATACAGAAGGTACGAAAATGGCATGTCATGATAATACTGATAATTGAGACATTCTCTCTAATGCGAATCTTGTGGCGTTGATATATCCACATAAGTATATATGATCTAGGCCAATAACAAAAACAGACTAACATATGTACGTTCAAAGATAGATAACAAATATCATATTTCTTATATTTGTTAGGATAACTCCCATGGTGACAAAATAAACAAAAATCAATAGAATTAAAGGGAATGTTTTTTTTAATTCATGGGTTTTGCGATATCGATTCCCACTTTTTTTTCTGTAGAAAAAAAACACCATATGTTACAAAAATTTTGGCGATACTATATCATACGACATATAACGCTCTTTAGTTACTAGGACGGAAGTTTACTAAACTTTTATCAATTTACACAAATCTTCGCCACGTAGGCGTAGCAACGATTTGATTCTGGCATTTTCCTTAGTATTATTTTTCGTTTATAATAAGAATAAATTAAAAAATCTATTTAACCAAAGAATTTCGTAATTGTCTTATTTTAGAAAAGTACAGAAAAAATAACGCATTGGTATAGTAGTTTATGTAGCATGTCGCACTCACAGAAACGAAACTCCGTTATACATTTATTTTTGTACTGTATAGTAAATCGAAAACGACTACACAGTTGGCTTAGAAATTTTTTAGTTTGAAGTTTACTATGTTTAAGAGTGCAGTTTTTACTAAAGTTCGTCCAGCGAGAGATGGTATGGTGTCGACAGGCGACTACCAAAAATTGACAGAAAAAACAATTTCCCTCTATATTAACATGACAGACAACACTGTCAATGTAATATATTCTCTCAACAAAAATGGTTGTTTGTAAATTATTTACATTTGTTATATTGAAGTCGAGCATATGATCAAGATCTCCAAATAGCTGTCACTGCCTTAGCTTCTGTGATACACATAGTAAAGTTCGAACTGAAAGGTTATTTCTGTGCCTACTGTGACGAATCTTTAATTGGCTCAAATTACATTTAATTTGAAAAATATATATTTTAAATTATTTTCACAAAACATAGTCAAGTAATAAAGTAATTTATCTGTAAAAATATTTAATTAGCAATTCAGTATTTCAGTAAATATTAAATTAATTCCATTTGTTTCTCGTATTTTTAACCGCTAAGGAAGAATACGTTAATAAATATATTTGAACTAGTACTAGAAAAAATTTTACATTGTTTGTCTGAGCTAATAAAAGTTATATATTAGAAAAAAATACTGGTGATCAATTTTCGTGAAGTTTATAAGTAAATTTAAGATACAACAGACTTATACTTAATAATATAAAATTTAACTAATACATACTTGTAGTTTTCATGAAACAAAGGCTATCTTTAACTTTTATACACTTTTTACAACCGGGGAGCACTTTATAGATGAATATTTAATATACAACTACATTCTTTTGGTAAAACTTTTTTATGTTTTGTCTATATCTAATTTTATTATTTAATCGATTTGTCCAAGCAGGAAAGATATTCTTGCTTAAGTGTATATCTCTTTTTGATAGTAATTACAATTTGCTTTTTTTATTTCTATAGTAATTGTCTGTAGCTTAACTATTTAGATCTTACTAATTCTTTAAATATACACTTCAAACTAACGGCTTCAAATTTCTCCAGTTTTAATTTACTGTAGAATATAGAACCGCATGTAAAGACTGACTTTAGAATATGTACTTCTTTTTGATCGAGTTACGTAATGTAGTGTTAATATTTTTATTCTCGCAATTTAATAAACGAGTACAAGCATGATTGTCTAGTTTATTTAACACCCTTTTTCCTATCATATTTTTATTCTGTTTTTATTTATCTTAGTAACACATAATTTTTGGTGGTTTGGTTTGAAATAATATACCTAAGTGTGTTTTTATAGCAGCCACAAACCAATCAGCGTAATATGTCACAATATCAGTTAAAACAGCAGCTTAAAATTATGTGATTTACTCTGAATAGAGAGTTTGTGGCTGTTATCAGAACAAGCTCATATCTGTTAATGTTTTAAGTTAGCTAACATAGCATTAGTCTTACAAAAAATATATCCATTACTTTTTCTTTCAAATGCACAATTTAATCTCTAACAGATTCTTTAGCAGATACCTAATGGCTGGTGTGTTTCTCTTGCTGATGGTATATTTATGTCCTATTACTCAGCTAGTGTAGTTACATAGTGTTATCTCTAAGTAAACGAATTTACGAAGTGCATCTTTTAGAATAACAATTGAGGGGTTTCTGGCAAAAACCCCATTAGTCAGATATTTCGAAATTTAGAAAAACTAAAAAAAACGTATATCCTGCTCCTATTTAAATTTAAATTGTCGTTTTTTGTGTGAGTTCTGGTTATAATCTGAAATTACAGAAAACTAGTTTTCTTTATTTTTTTCTTATTTTTAAGTTAGGAAGGGCGTGAATTTGTTTGACTAGTGGGGTTTTTATTGGAATTTTGGCAAAAACCGTGGAAACAACCAAGTCCTCTTAGCAACTGTTCGAACGATTACGAACGACAAACAACCAAACCACAAGTAGTTAGGAGGACTAGTGGGGTTTTTGCGGAATTACGGTATTTTTGATCGTATGCACGGGCTGACTTATAGCACTTTTCCCGAATTCGTTTGGTAGGAACGTTATGACTAACAAATTACTGTCGGATAGCGCCATTAACTCATTTTACCCATTTTTTGACTAATGGGGTTTTTGCCAGAAACCCCTCAATTGGTAACAATTAAATGAATTCTTTATGCATAGTCACCAAACTATGCATTCATAGTTGTGAAAAAGTTTGTTACAGTCTAATGACAATATGCAGGGTGGTCCAAACTGTATTCCGGAAACTTGGCCAGCATATTATGCAGATAAAAATAAATAAAAAAGTTCGTGTAAAGGTATGTCCTAAAATGCTTAGTTTTGGAGATACAGGGTGTAGAAGTTTCATTTTTATTTCAATTTTTTCCAAATAATTTATGAAGTAACTTTTGAAGTAAATATATGTAGTATGTAAGTAACTATGAAGTAAATATTTGGAGGAAATGTTGTGTCTGGGAGATTTTTGACATGAGAAATTTGATTTTGATATCAATATGACTTCTACTTGTAGAGGGCGCCGTCTACATATTTTTTTAACTGGTTTGAAGAGTAATAACTTTTCGTCCGTACCTGAGTAAAAAAATATACGTTTACGACGTTTTTTTTCACCTAAAAAATGTCTCTTAGCAAAAATCGCTGCAAGTAATGGTTCTCGAGATATTTGGAATCGAAATTATCAATACCTGTCATCATTGACATAAATTAAACATGTCAAATATTGACGTACTTCAGAAATTATTTGGGAAAAATCGTAATAAAAATGAAACTTCCGAAACTAAGCATTTTAGGACGTACGAACCTTTTTACTTATTTTTTATATCTGCAGAATATGCTGCTGAAGTTTCCGGAATACAGTTCGGACCACCCTATATAGGATATCATATTTAGTGCAACAATATTTTAGAATAGAACAGGCATTCTGATACTGGTTTTTCTTTTTATATTTCCTCTAGCCTCAAATTTCCTACTTGTATCATTATTCGGAATTTTTAAACGACTTATTGTTATTAATACAGTGGGTTATTATTAATACAAAAAATAACGGTCTTTCTTCTATGGAGTTTCAACTAAGTTGTATGTAATATTCTAAACAAATGTACCGTGTGGTCGAATGAAAATTACGTACTTTATATGCAGAACTATCACGTTAGAATTCTACGGTGTCTATTTGTATGTCATGTAAGCGATTGTTGTATATCCAAACTACGATATAAAAATACATATAGCTGCCCAGATAATTGTTTTTTAATATAATGTTATATAATGCTTAATTTTTAATATGGTAGCACAAGATTGCACAATATTATACATATTATAAATAAAAAAAACTCAAAATTTAAATGAGGATGCGTTTTATTTTGCTTTGAGTTTTTTCTTAACTTAGTCAGTCACGACTAACCTGCTATTTTTCATATTATAAATATATAAAAAAAAATTATATAGTTCTACCAGTTCTACAGTTATACCGTGTGGTGCATTGAAACACGGGACATAGGAAATACCATGTAAATTTTGAAAAGGTCAAATATCTCCTCAGATGGTTTTATACAAAAATTGTATTAGACTTTTTTGAAGAGACGTTAATGTTGTACTTTCGTCTAGAGTTTCGTTTTATTTGGAATAGGCATCTAAAAGTTATTTGCAAAAATCTACCTTCAAATTACTAAAAATTAAAATTAAAATACCAGCAAAAATATGATTTTGTCATTGTCAAATTCGATGTCACATTTTTTTTTGGTTTACAAGAATTTATGGGGTTTGGAAAGGATGGTTATTTTTTTCTGAATTTCTAGTTTCAAACGTCTGCCTAGTTTATTCTTTAAACTGTTATTTTTCGGTACTTATTCGGCTGACTTATTCGGTATAGGTTTTCCGGAGACTGAGTTGCGATTTAAGTACAAATTTAACACTAGAGAATACTATTTCCATCAAAATTCCGTTTACCCATCGTAACTTTTTCAGAAGTTGCGAAAATCTTAATATTATTTTATACAAAATTACTCTATCTGGTACCTTCAAATTTTTGTAAATAAAATGTGATATCGAATTTGACAATAACACAATCACATTTTTGCTGGTATTTTAATTGTAGCTTTCTCTGGGCCGTATTATACAATAAGATCTAAGATTATACATTTTACTAATTTGAAGGTAGATTTTTGCAAATAATTTTTAAATGATTATTTTAAATTAAACGAAATTCTAGACAGAAGTACAACTTTAACGCCTCTTCAAAAAAGTCTAATACAACTTTGCATAAAATTATCTAGGGAGATAATATTTGACCTTTTCAAAATTAACATGGGATTTCCTATGTCCCGTGTTCCGATGCACCACACTATATATCTATTTCGTTTACGTTTTCACGTGGGCTTATTAACTAACACAAATTCATATAACTACTACATATATCTACGCACACAATAGATCTGTAAGGTCGCAGTGATTAACCCCCCTCATAAAAATTCTACATTCTACATATAACTACACTCTCAACTTTCTTTCCGCTTCCTAACCTTATTAGCTGTTTAGTGTTCAACACAGTTTGATATGGACTTAGTAGTAAGTGATTTAAGTAAATTTTCCCCGAATCACGACATAACTAAATAAAAATATTTGTTTTCTCTTTTCAGAAACGAATTCTTTGCAGCTGAACGAGATTTTCGAAGAGGGCGTCGATATGACGTCTGAGGGCGGCAGGCCGAGTTCGGGAGGCAATCGTTTCGTCAAACGCGCCCCCTACGAGCAGAGGAGGAGTAAATTTCACAAGACGCGTACTGCGTCGTGTAGCTCGTCGGATGCTAGCGACGATGATAGCGAGAAACGGAAGAAGAGGGCTCATAAACTGAACCCGGCTCCATCCAAGCCGTTTCAAGGCAGGAGGGATAGTTACGACGATAGCAGTGATTCGCAGGTGATTTTTTATAAAAAAATAATTCAAAACTATATACAGGGTGGTCCGAACTGTATTCCGGAAGCTTCAGCAGCATATTCTGCAGATAAAAATAAGTAAAAAAGTTCGTATAAATGTATGTCCTAAAATGCTTAGCTTCGTAGATACAGGGTGTAGAAGTTTCCTTTTTATTGCGATTTTTTCCAAATAATTCTGAAGTAACGTCAATATTTGAGTGAAAATTATTGTCTGGGAGTTTTTTGACGTGAGAAATTTTATGTTGATTCCTACTTGTAGAGGGCGCCACCTACATATTTTTTAAACGGGTATTTTCATTTGGAAATAATTGACTAAAAGATTTTTCTTTTCTTATTTATCATAAATATTCATTCCTTAAGTTCTATCACGGGTCTCCAGCTACAGCCGACGTCCTCTACGATTGGACTACAGTATAGGCTTGGTGCATTCTCCGCCGGTGCTGCCACCATCGGAGAATACTGTAAACAGCGGACTAAAGAAATACACGGGCTTAAATAGCAAATACACGAAACATTTGTTATATAATTGTTCTACAAGTGTTAGGAAGTATAATCTGTAAAGAATTGACTAGATTCTCGTATGCTCATTTGATGAGTGTATATTTTAGTATTTCGCTAGTACAGAGATCTGCAGTTTATTGTCGAATCCGATCTTTCACTACATATTTATTAGTCAGTTTAATAATATAAAGTGACTTACACTGATTCAGCTATTTGACTTTTTGAATATTTTGTAGGAACCTGGTTCTGGAGCTGCCACAGGAACCGGCAATTGTCCTCCTATCGGCGGCTCGACATCTGTCACTACTGATCCAGGCAGCGGCAGCACAAATGGAGGGGATGGCCAGAGCGATAAGGGTAGAGGCACCGGAAATGATGGCGGTAGGAAAAACACGGGAAATGGAGGAGCGATGTTGGGCAGGCGACACAAAGCCAGTAGAAGGCGGAGCGGAGAAACCAGATTAAGGGAGAGTCAGTCTTTGAATAGGTAAGTTAGAAATATGTAAGAAAGTAATGGAAGAGTAAGAAACGTGTTATTAAAGAAACTTTTTTTACTAATTCGCCAATATGGTCTTTTTATCGGTGAATTTAGTATATCCAAGGAAAGAATACATGACAGTGGCATTTGTGTCTGTCATTTTAATTCCCAAATAAATTGTATTTTCTGTTAGTTTTTGGATTAGTATTAGATTAAGTGGGAGGGGGGTTAATCTCTGCGACCTTAGAGATCTATTGTGTCCCCCTTTCTTGAGTTATAACTCATCATACAGTCCCAGGACTTCCTACGGAGACCCGTGTCCCTCACAGTCGAGGAGCTACGATCCAGGCCGGGTAGACGAAACGGTAGCTTGTGTCGCCTGTTGGGTTTAGAGGTAGGAGGTAGGCTCCCGACCCTTGGAGGAGGTGGTAGCTTGTATGCCACTTGCGGAGGATGGTCTCACGCAAGTGTCAGCCACCTCTCCTGTAGTTCTCTTTGGGTTTGGCCCCTTTGAACTTTCATTGTTACTGTTCCCAGTGTCGCTAGGGGGTTTCCCCACAGCTTCACCGGTGATGTTTTTATTACTATTATTATCAGATCTCATAGTGTTCCTATGAGTCGCTAGGGACAGTCGGTCCACTTCTACAGAGCCCCGCCCGGTATCGTTATATGTCTTGGTGCAATTCCCTGGCCACGACACTACAGTCAGGGACAAGACGATGAGTGAGATGCTTCTTAGACCAAGCCAAGTGCTAGAGGGGATTCCCCCCAGCACCTGACCAGGAGCTTCCCCACCAACGACAAGCTTCCCCACCAACGACAAGCTTCCCCACCAACGACAAGCTTCCCCACCAACGACAGCTTCCCCACCAACGACATTTTTGGATGTCTCTATGGAAATCTTTCCTGAGTTATGTTCGAGAGACTTTAAAATACATTTACTCGCCCCCTGTTGCTTATGCTATTGAAACCTGATGAGTTTTGGTCCTAAATAATATACCCTGGTTATTCTAAATCCATTGTCTGGATTTTAAAGTATAAGATGATAACGGAGATATCTTAATGGAAATATCAAACATTATAGAGAGACAACAATAACGTTCCACAGTATCTTCTTTTCTAACAGTCTCATCTTTCTTTTGTGCATCTCTTACCGCTGCAGCGGTTAGAATGTATGTCCACAGACCTTAGAACCACAGAACGGTATAATCTTCTACAGGATGTTACAAAAAACATGTGCCATCTTTCGTGAGGAGATTACTCAAGTAAAAATAAGATTTATTTTTCATATGAACAAAGGTCCTATTCAGCTTTGTTTCGTAGCTACAAGGGGTTGTCTTCATTTTTTTTTCGATTTATTATAATTTTTTTCGAAGTGCTTTTAGTGATTCGAATGAAATTTTGAGAGTAAAAGTTATTTTAAGTGCTACATATTTTAATGCTAAAAAGTGTTGATAGATTCATCAGGGACGTGCATATTAGGGTTATCACTGAAATATTTTTCGAAAAAAAAAGACATGTATGCCACTGACTTTTTTCTTTTCATAGCAAAATTGTATAGGCCGTTTAATGCCAATTAAAAGTTGTATCTAGATATTTTGTCTATTTCGATCTCCTTGATGAGATAAACGCAATATTATTAATCACAATTAATAAAATTAAATTAAAAATAAAATTAACAAATTATTTATTTTATCTAATTTATTATTAAATATTATTACTATTAGTTATAATTACTATTAGTCCAACTTACAGCAAATTCAAATAAAAAATAATGCAATTTAAGATAATTAGAAAAGACCTAATTTTAAAAAGTTTTAACATCCCTGTAATTTTAAAACTATGCATGTCCACACCTATGTTTATAGGATTTTTTTTTCATATTTTTTGATGAGGAATAAATGAATACTTATTTAAAACTTTTGCAAATTAATGGTATTAAAATATTTTAAAGGTTGCTATTAGATTTGGATCAAAGCAAATTAATAAAATTGCGTTTATCTCATCAAGGAGGTCGAAATTGACAAAATATCAAGAGACAACTTTCAACCGACAGTAAACGGCTTACACTATATCTCTAACAAGAGAGAAAAGTCAGCGGCGTTCATGTTTTTTTAAAAAAATATTCCAATGAAAACCCTTATACACGACACTGGTGAATACGGCGACACTTTTTTATCATTAAAATATATCGCATTTATAGTAACTTTTACTAAAAGTACCCGGAAGAAAATTATAATAAATCGAAAAAAAAAGACTTTAACACCCTGTAGCCACGAAACAAAGTTGTATGCTATGTTGATATGAAAAATAAATCTTATTTTCACGTCAGGAATCTCCCCACGAGAGATGGCACACGTTTTTTGAAACACCCTGTATATAACCATTCATTTTTTCTATTTGTGTCCACTTTAACGCGTCAAATTTTTAAATCGTATCATTCACTTCCATATATTGGGAATAGACAATTTTTTTTCATTTTTGATGATCCGTTAAATTGTTTATTTCACCGAATTCACATGGTTGCTTGTCTTCATAATTTCTGTTTATTATTTTAATAATTTTCTTTTAAAGCTTTTTCTTTTCTTACTATGCCGTACAAAGACTACTGCGTGCAGATCTTATTTGTTCGTTGCATTAAATAGAAGAAATAGCTGCATTTTATTTGGATGAAATACCTGAAATTTAACTATGTACCACTGTATTTTATTTTCTTTTTCTAGGAAAAGACTGAATAGCAGTTTTTAGTGCTCATTAATTATTTAAACATGATTAATTTAATCACTATAAAATTTCCATTTTCAAAGAACCAGTCCCTAAATTTTATGACAACGTACGTAAAAATATTTTTGTATGTAATTTTTTGTCTATTAATGAATATTCTTAAAGGAGTTAATTGTCTTAGTGGGTGTTACTATAATCTTCTGGGAATATTGCCACTAAAAGAGAACTTAGAAGTTTTTATATAAAATGTCACTAAGTTCTGAATCCCTGAATTATAAAAAGTCTATAGTCAGAATATAAAAGTCATCTAAGTCAGAATATAAAAGATAAATGTCACTAAGTTCTGAATCCCTGTTTTTATAACGTTTTTTAAAGCAGGCGTCCATTTTTCTCAAAGAGACCTGATTTGTAAATTAAAACAAAAGAAAAAAGATGAAAAAAAAAGAACTGAGTACTGCAGTATATAAATAGAGGTTGAAAACACGGCTTGATTCGTCGACCGGAACTTTTCAGGCGGATTGTGTACGTTTTGGGGAGTAGTTTTAAGGGGGGGAAATTGTAATATCGTGCTTGGCTAGCTTTGCCCGAAAAAATGGCCTCAACACGCGACACGCGCGCACCGATTTGCCTGTATTGTGTATTGGTACGTGTTTCAACAGCTTGCCGCGAACCATCTCCAGTCGGTTTTTCGACGCTCGGCGCGCGCGCTGCGCGTTCGCGGCGCAGCGCACCAATGTATACGTACCATTAGACGATCAAATCTATTTTTCCAAGGCTTCTTGATTAAGAATTAGTGTTTCTAACATAGCCATGGCACTCTATATTGAAATTTAAAATACGATTTTTTATCAAGCAAGAGTGTCAAAAGTTGACATGATATTTTATTTTATTCAGAATGTCATTTTATACCGAATAAAGTAAAAAAATACCGAGGGTGCCATTTAAAAATCAAAAGTTGTTGTCATTTCCGATGAAATAGGAAGTGACCAAAAATAATTGAATACGTCAATCAATCCTAATTTATGTCCTATACTAACATACCAAATCGGGGCCATTTTTCGGTTAAAGCTGGCCGAGCACAGTGTTACAATTTTCCCCCCTAAAACTACTCTCCAAAAGGTACATAATCCGCCTGAATAGTCCTGGTCGACGAATTAAGCCGAGGCTTTGGTCTTTTCGTGCCCTTATTTACTGGACTAGGGACCGAGACATTGAGCCTTTTTTCTTTTTTAATTTTCTCTAACTTTTCAGTGGCTCTCATTTTTGGAAAATAATTGTCCTAACCATAATAAACTTATGTTTTAAACACACATTTTTGAATATTGTGGAAAGTAAACCAGAAAATACTTAAATGTTCTTAATTTTAAAAAGTGGATTAATTTTAGTGTGTTTAAGTTTAATAAACCCTCTAACTTACAAAATCGCCCATATCAGTTGACTCCTTGACATGTAAATACGACCAAAGACTGTATATCGACAGTCTCTCTTGCCAAGCTTGTATAAGGTATTCTTGTATCTGAACAACAAAATATTCTCAGAAGAATACAGTAACGAACCCATCACAATGATGACAGACAAAGGTGTGATAATCAATTATTTCAGAATTACCGAAGTGCAGGAAGACAACACGCACGCCCTCGTTATTTCAACGACCGTTGTGGGTACTCACGGACCTCTCACGCCAAAAGTCAAAGGCATCGGTGCTAGGATATTACAAGGATTATCAATGTCACACAAAAAGCAGTCATCAGAAGACAAGGACGTACGTTTTTTATAAACTGGCTAAATTATCGCCGGCGGTATAGACAATTGACGAAAGAAAGACCGCCTTTAAGAGTCTATTACGCTGTACTGTTCGGGTCGCTCTCAGGGGTCGGGTAAAGCGGGTGTGTGGCCGAAGGAAATATATATTTTATTTCAGAAATCTGCCCAAGGCTTAGCCCGATCCTGTTATGCTAAGCCACACCTAAAATTCCAAACATACTTGCTTGAATTAAGGCTTGATTAAGGTTTACAGAGCTTCAGCATTTGTCATAAAATAGCGAGCATTTTGTTACAAAACCATATAAATTATATATCACTGTAATGACAAAACTTCAATCTACTGTCGCATTGTAACTGAATTTTATGTTATGTCTTTATTTTCAAGAAAATTTAGTTTATGAATATTTTGTTGATGTTAGACCATCAATATTTTAAAAATAAAGAAGTTGTCTAAAAATGTGCTACAATACGGATATAGTATAATCCTTTATCTTTAATTTCCTTTTTCATTTATGTAAAAATACCTAGCCAGTTTTACATAAAACGTTAAATGCCGAACGCTTATTTTGTCACTTTTTCGGACTAGTGAAATTGACTCTTAACCGGTTTTACGCATTATTTTTAACATAAAACTAGAGAGAGATGTCCGATTCTGCGCTCGCCACAATGTGGAGGATGCAATGGAGAATGACGTAAATCAGCTAGAACATGTAAAATCGGTTAAACAAGAATAAACAGATTTAAACAAAAAACAACCGCCAAAATGCTTAAAATAACAAGTTTGTTTTTTCTTGTTTAAACTGGTTTATTTTTGTTTTAAATTGGCTGTTTCTTGTTTAAACTTGTTAATTTTTTACTTGTTTATTCGTCTATTTTACATGTTCTTAGCTGATTATCCTCCACCGCATCCTCCACATTGTGGCGGGCGCAAAATCGACCATTTCCCTCTACTCATAAATACCGCCATTATTATACTTACCGGCCGGTATATTTAAAAAACATAAACACCGCCCTTATTTTACCACATTTTACGTGATATTGTTTTTCCCAACGTAAATTCCGCGATTAGATATTGTCAAAATGAAACTACATTTTATTCCATACAAAAATAAACATTTTTAATGTGTTAATAAGCAAGCAAAACACGGTCGTAAGCGTGTTTTGATTGCGTTGGTTTCACTTTTTTGTTTGTTTTTTTCGTTTTCCTCTGTTTGATTAATGCGCATCTGATTGCTTTGAATATTTTGATTTTAAAATTGAATGTTTTACAATTTTTTAAAATTATCAAATATCAACGACAGCTAAGCTAGGTTATGTTCCTATTTCGGCGGTATTTGATGTTTAAAATATAGTATGCCCCCGTTTAACGGCTTCTTACAATTTTCCACCGACATTTACAGATATACAGGGTGGTCCGAACTGTATTTCCTTCGGTAGCATATTCTTCAGATAAAAATAAGTTTTTTACTTATTTTTATCTGAAGAATATATTTGTATAATTGTATGTCCTAAAATGCTTAGTTTCGGAGATATAGGGTGTAGAAGTTTCATTTTTATTTCGATTATTTCCAAATAATTTCTGAAGTAACGCCAATATATGGATGAAAAGTGGTGTGAGTTTTTTGACATGAGAAATTTTATTTTGATGTCAATATGACTCCTACTTGTAGAGGGCGCCACCTACATATTTTTTAAACTTGTTTTGAAGTTTCAGGAATACAGGTTCGGACCGCCCTATATAAATATGAACAACGAACAATACCGCCGGCAGTTGTTTAGCCAGTGCGTTTTTTCAACTTAAATTTTGACCTTTTAAAATAAAATATTCACCTTACAGAGCGACAAGGTTGAGACGAAAAACACTAGTAGTCATCACGTGTCTAGAAAAGATACGGTAAAAAACCAGGACGCCACTGACAGCGGCAACGAAAGCAAGATCGTACCTGATAAAAAGAAGTTGAGGATACTAGGCAAATATTTCCAGGTAAACTGTGTCAGATTTGTAAAAATAAATAATAATATTTGTAAAACAATATTTTTCAGGTTCACAAGAAACTGTGCATTCCCCTTCCGGTTATTTTCAATAAGAACGCCCGTTTGTATAAGGCGCAGTCTTGTGGATCGCTGGTTCGGGATAAAATTAACAAGACCGAACCTGTTCTAAGGTAAGGAACTGGTTATATGGTTAGAATTATTATTTGTTTTAACATTAAGTAATAATAATAAGTAATTAAGTAATAAATTAAAGGAATATTTTTTACGCGTAAAAAAATAATTTTTATGCGTAAAAAGTGTTTTTTACAAATAGTTCTTTACGCGTAACCATTGAGTTATAATAAAGGAGGAGATGCTATTCCCATATACGACTAGCCAAGAAAAACGGTTTCACTGGGCGGAGGTTAAAGTAGCATCAATATGGCGGCGATATCAGTGTTGGACTCAGCAAATTTGCATTTTTTTAAAATATTCCTTTAAAATTTAAATAAATTAATGTTTTTTATTTTTTAGTTATTAGTTTTTTTTATTTTTGAAATAATTATTTATTTATAATAGTGAAAAAAAAATATTTCTTATACCCAAAATTTGTTAAATAAAATACCTACCTAAATAAAATATAATATTTTATTTAATATTATTATTTTTTCTAGTATGTATTTTAAAGATAAAATGTATCATATTATAGTTTTAAAAAAATAAAATAAAAAATAACTTACCTTAATTGACTTTTGTTGAAGTTGATGATATATACCTATGGGAAAAATGAAACTAAAAATAAAATTACGAAAAATGCAACTTTATTTATTACAAATAGATTATTATAAAATATTATGATACACATTAGAAAAAATATGAAAGTTATTGCCCTTTAAATAAAATAAGTTTATTGCTTTGATGTCTTTCACTTACAAGATTGTTTAATATATTTTTACTGAGGTATATCATTCAAATATTTAAATATCTTTCTATTATACTTTTTATTAATAATGTTCTGTGATTATCTAGAAATGATTGATCAAAACTGTGTGATACTAATTTAAAACTTTAAACATATAAATAATAATAACATATAAATAAAAAAAATAATAAAAATTTAAACCAATTTATTATTTTAACAAAAATAACCCTGTTCTAAAAACATTCAACGTCTACTTACCAGTTTTAGGAGCAAGATTTTAACAAATCACACCAGAGATTTTTTGGTCAAATTTGGTATAGGTAAGCCCTTTAAAGTTATGCTGAATCGAGTGGTTTGGTTTGGATTATATACACAGATTAAAAAAAGCCCTAATGCACTTTAACTACTTACCCACGAAAACTGGAAAGTATGCCTAGAATATTTTTAGAACAAGGCTATTTTTGCTAAGTAGATAAAGTTTTTCATGTAAAAACAACCCGAGACATATTGCACAATTAATAAACTTTTTTTCAGAGTGAACCTAAAATAAATGGGTCACACTGTATAATAGCACTATAGTATATTAACACACACAATAGTATATTAACACACACAACACTGCATAAACATTGCCTTTTTAATTCATATGATTATGATTTATTTGTTTTATTAACCATTTTCTATGTAATGTGTATTTTATAATTTATTGTCAAATTGAAACGTAATTTTAATTACAAATCCGGTACCGCAAATCCTCCTAGAAAGACATATATATTAATAAAAATTGGGATTTAATTTATAAAATGGTATATTAAAGATAATAAAATACTCAGAGTTCGGCCCTGCATCTTGTTTACCATTACCTGTGAAATGTAATTCCTGACGATTTCTTTCTATCGATGGCGTTTCTGCTACTACAACTTCGAACAGCACATGACACCATGATTGTTTATAGTCACACAACACACATAAGTCCAAATAAAACACAAAATAACTCAAAATAAACGCAAAAATCAAGAACAGGATTACGCTAGACGGCAATAGCACGAATTGACAAGAGAGTCGCATCAATATGGCCGACCTGGTACCGCTTTGGTCACGTGATAGCATCTCCTCTTTTATTATAACTCAATGCGCGTAACAAATAGTTTTTATTACGGGTAACAAAAATAGTTTTCTAGGTGCAAAAAATAGTTTTTATGCGTAATTTTTTTTGCGTGAATTTTTTTTTACCGGTAGCGAGTAGTGTTTTTGGTTTGGTAGTAAAGAGTAAAAAATAGTTTTTTACGTGTAACAAATAGTTTTTAACGCGTAAAAAATATGTTTTCTGCGTAAAAAAGGTTTTTTAACAGAACCAAATAGTTTTTGACGCGTAAAAAATAGTTCTTTACGTGTAACAAATAGTTTTTTACACGTAATAAATATTTTTTTGCGTAAAAAAGATTTTTTTACTAGAAACAATAAGTTTTTAAAGCGTAAAAACAGTTTTTTACAGGAAAAAAATATTTTTTTCTGCGTAAAAAAGTTTTATTTAAAAGATACAAATAGTTTTTTGACTCGTAAAAAATAGTTTTTTACGTGTAACAAATAGTTTTTTACACGTAATAATCTTTTTTTTGCTTAAAAAAGTTTTTTTACTAGAAACAATAAGTTTTTGACACGTAAAAAATAGTTTTTTAATGTAACAAATAGTTTTTTACACGTAATAAATATTTTTATTTGAATAATAATCTTCGGATTTTTAAACTTTTGAGGAGGTATTTTGATTTGCTTTAAATTGCCCAATTTTGCTTCCATTTCAAAGCAACTTCCTATCTCTTCTAGTTTCTGAGATCCCAATGATGAGACTCTAATTTGCGACACCCTATACAATATACGTTAGTGTTGAAAACATCCTTTATAGTTTTATGCTTTTTAAATAAAATCAGAGCGGCACTGATAAACCAGAAGTTAAGTCAGCCATTTAATAAATTTGTTATGGTCCGAACTTAATCTTTTTATTCAGTAATTTTAATAGATCCTTAATATCATGTGGTTAGATTTGCATTTTTTTAAGAGCTCGCTTGTGTTGTCTACTGAGAGCAGACAATCCTAATAAAATTTCCTACTGGACTATTAACCCTTAATAATTTACTAAAAAACTAAAAACTCACACTATCTGAATAATTTCTCAACACAATCTTAATATAAATATATTTTCTTAAGGACGATTTATTTGGTCAGTAAGTAATTATTAAAGTGGGCGTACAAACATTTGTACAGGGTGTTTCAAAGAACCTCTGCCATTATGCCATCTCTCGTGAGGAGATTCCTCATGTAAAAATAATATTTATTTTTCATATCAACATAGGTTCGATTCAGCTTTATTTCGTGGCTACAGGGTGTTAAAGTCATTTTTTTTTGGATTCATTATAATTTTCTTCCATAGACTTTTAGCGAAATTTTGAGGGCAAAAGTTACTATCAATGCGACATATTTTAATGCTAAAAAAGTGTCAATATATTCACCAGGGACGTGCATATGGGTTATCAATGGAATATTTTTTAAAAAAGCATGTACGCCATTGACTTTTTTTTGTCTTTTTAGCGAAATAGTGTAAGCCGTTTAATTCCGATTAAAAGTTGCCTCTTAATATTTTGTCCATTTCGGCCTCCTTGATGAGATAAACGGAATTTTATTAATTTGCCTTGATCCAGTCTAATAGCAACATTTAAAAAAAATTAATATCATTAACTTGCAAAAGTTTTTGATAAGTACTCCGTTGATTATATTTTTTATAAGTACTCCTAATTGATTCCTCATCAAAAAATATGAAAAAAGTTCCTATAAACATAGGAAATGCATAGATTTAAAATTACAGGATGTTAAAACTTTTTAAATTAGGTCTTTTGTAATTATCTCAAATTTCATCATTTTTATTTAAATTTGCTGTAGGTTGGACTAATAGTAATAACTAATAGTAGTAATATTTAATAATAAATTAGATAAAATAAACCAATTTTATTTTTATTTTATTAATTGTGATTAATAAAATTGCGTTTATCTCATCAAGGATATCGAAATCGACAAAATAAAACCAGAAATTTAAATATTCCAGGGATAACCCATATGCACGTCCGTGATGACACTAAATTTATGTAGTACTACATTAAAATATGTTGTACTTATAGTAACTTTTACCGTCAAAATTTCATTCAAATTACTAAAAGCACCTGAAAAAAAAACAAGAAATCGAAAAAAAATTAAGGCATTAACCCCTTGTAACTACGAAACAAAGCAGAATCGGGCCTATGTTGATATGAAAAATAAATTTTATTTTTACGTGAGGAATCTCCTCACGAGAGATGGCACATGTTTTTTGAAACATCCTATAATTGAGGCAATGTAACGTTCTCTATCTCTTATAAAAGTTATGACGAAATGTAATTAACAAAATTATATTATTTCCTTTAGATGTAGACAGAGAGCTGTAAGCGTCTTTCGAAATAGCATGGGCATGGAAGACATCAATCAAAACAAGAACGACAAGCGAAGAAAATCGGCCACGGTAGTTCAATTGAACAACGTTTGTAACGAACTCACGGGCATGTGCGCTATACATCTGGGTCAAACATCAAAATGCAGTTTCTGTTGATTTTTGTACGCTAGAACTTTTATTTTCTCGAATACGAGATTTAATATCTCGTTTCATTCCTTAGCTAGTCAACTCCGATTTGATCGGTTGAGAGGAGATACGAAATCTTTCACACATTAATCCCTACAAGATTTTTTATAACTTTTGATCATTAGAAATATAATTAGGCAGACATTTTGAATGGTCAAATAGCATAGTGACACATCTTACTCGTCATCATCTACGTGGATTATGTCTGTAGAAGTGTCTGGGATTGGATAAGCGTTAATAATTGACATTTTCACTTCAAAGTGACCAACCACAAGATATCTGTAGTCTGTTCAACCAAAGAATTGGCTGACAGTGACAATTGTTGTCTATCATGTGGATAATCATTGAGTAATGTAAGGCAAAGTTAGTATATAGTCTGCTTAATTACGTTTTTTTTTGGTTATGACATTCATGTTATTATTGTTATTGAGCAAAATATCATACTAAAGGGTTAGCACTCTCTTTAAATTCGAATAAATAATGTGTAGAAGAGAGAGAAAAATATTATAAAGACTGTGTGAAGGATTAATCTCTGTGTAAACACAGGTATAATTAGGTTACAGTCTCACATCCACATATGACACTTTTATGACATCATACATTGTAGTCGTCTTATTTCAACATCAATCTCTCTACCCTCTTATGATAACTAAGAAATTACTTTAAAATCATTTGAATATTCTTCAATCTGTACGTTACTGTACCGTACATACTGTGGTGTAAGTATGACTGGTGCTGAGGTGTGTAAGTAATTTTTTGCGTCGTGTAGTTTTTCCAAAAAATATCTTATCAACTTTTAGAAATCTCATTTGTCTACAGGGTTGCATTAGAATAATTTTTGCGTCGTTAAAATCTGTTGGTATTATATCTAAGTGTTGGGAACGTCGGTAAAATGAAAATTTGACAATATTCGAGTTATGAGATGTAGTTTTAATAAAGAAAACTTTATACGTATAAGAAACCATGTGATGAGGGATGTCTTTATATTTTGGGTTTTTACATAGTTTAAAAATTTATTACACTGGTAACATATATGTGTATTATTTTTCGAACGTTATATACGCAACGATTCATAATACTTGTTTCATTTTAGAACCTATGCAATCAATGTATATCTTTGTACATATATTTTTAAGCCAAAGGTGATCTGTAGAATACAAATTAAGTAATCGTTTCATGCTCAAATTGTTTAGCTATTTAATGTGTCTGTATCTATCTTGTCCCAACTAATTTTTTCCAGGTAAAATATTTGCCAGATTTGTCACTGTTCTTGTGGCGCTAGTATCTGATAAAACTTGTATCCAATTCATAGTAGACTTGTTACTTAAAATATCTTCAGAGATTCTTGTTATCAACCGACTTATAATTTCAGATATTTTTTATATTGGTAATATGTGTTTTATCTTACTAGAATAATTAACTTCTGGATACTGGAAAGTCGGTTTATAATTAAACACCCAATTAAAATTAGCTAAAGATAAATTTAAACAAAAAGATCTGTTAGATATATCAGTAAATAAGTAAATGTAACAAATATTGAGTGTTAATAGTAAATTGTTGATGTTTAAAAATCTTTTTCTTTTAATTATTTGTTACTAGGATAGAAATGCACAAATCTAAACTAATTATATTTTCCTTGATAAAAGTAATGAGTAACACCTGTAACACAGATGAAAATATCAATGTTGCTGTTTAGATATAAGTGGTTACTACAACAAAATGTTTCTATATTTTACTAATATGACATTTTAAATGTAATCTGATAAAAGTAATACTTATAAAGAGAGATGTGGCTCTTTTTGCAGAATTGTAACATAAAAGACTGAGTTTATTTCTTAATATATTGGATGTACTGCTTGTCCGTTATAACTTATTTAAATTATTTCTATACATTAATGTAGCGGACACGCCCTGTATATCCAGGTAATTCTTAACTTTTTGATGGTATTCTATTTCAAAATTATACAGCCTGTCCCCAGATTGGGTTACGCGAACATTTAAGAATTTTCATTTTGAAAACATACTAGTGTGTGACAAAAAGTTTACAATTTTTTTATAGAAAGTTTAAGTTGATTTTAAAAAGCATAGCCAATAAAAAATATATTGTCATGGCAGCAAATCACAGAAATCCTCTTTACCTCTGGGTATATAAGGTAACAAAATATTGAAAAAATTCTGAATTTTATTAAGATTTGGGTTTATCTTGTGGCATAAAAAATTACACTGTCTAAAATGTCTTTCACTTTTTGAACGCTTGACATATGACAAAATTATTTTTTGTTATTGAGCATGCTGAAAAAAAATTCCTTTTTCTCAATATCTCAATAATAACATATTTTCCCATTTGTTGCTAACATAGTGTCACACCCTGTATATAAGGCTTATCCAAATTTAGATATTCTTCATTTCCTTTAACTATATACACTTTAACTAATAATGATGAAATTTACAGAGGTTTTATATTTTTTACACCAACATTTTGATCAGGTGGCAAAAAAAATGTCAAATTGGCTCTTTGACTGAAACAAACATCTCTACATAGATCTATTTTGTTTTATTTATTCATGCGTAGCGATATATACGTGATGTAAGCGATATATAATCATGGGACATACTGTATATATTACATATTTTTATTAATAAATGTTTTTAAAGCAAAACAAAGCGCGTGTGCAATAGTTTAATTTTCTTAATGTACCATTTATTAAAATGAATGTATACTGTAATTTTGGTAATGTATATTTTGTTGCTTTCCTCTGGTGAAAGCAGATAGTTATGATTTTGTTTTATATTGTTCATAGTAGCGCGAGCTTTTTAGTATTTCATATTGTATATTATATGTTTTAACTTATTTCCTCTCTTTCGAAAAATATTTTTACAACTTATATTTTGATAGGGAAGCTCTTAACTAGATCAAACTGTCTATCTACCTGTATATCTGGAATATTTTAGGAACCAAATAACGTTTGTTTATGGGATATAGCTATATTATATATATTAAAATATATTGTATGTACTATTTGTTAAATGTCATTGTGGGTGACATATTCTGAAAGTATGTGCTGTGCACAAATAGATTACCTTTTCCATCAAACCCAATTTCTTATTTAATTTAGGTGTGCCTGCGTATTTTGGACTACCATCTATTTTGTAATCATTTGATTTTCAGCATCCAGACTGACTTTTAGGCTAATTAATTGTGTAGATACACGATATTTTATAAACGATAGGAAAAATGTCAACACTCGGTTTGATTTGAATTTATTTTCGACACTATTTCAGTGTGCCTTTATTTTTTATGTAGATGCATAGTGTAGATGCTATTGATTGATGTCAAGCGGGTCTTGTCGTTAGTGATAGTTATCTCGATGTATGCATCAATGTGTGCACAACCCTTAATATCTAATAAACATATTTACCATTGAATTGTCTTTCTTATTTCTTCCTGATAAAAAAAAATTCCAATGGCAAACAGTTTTTTTTTATAAAGGTAGACAGAAGAGCAAATTAGGAGCACATAATCATGACTGGGGGGTTCACTGTTTTGTCTCAAAAATAGTTATAGGTTATATGACGATAATCTATAGAGTAGGCGCATTTTAAATTTATATTTGGGGTGTCATGAGCGTCATCAGTGACGCGACTGCATAGCGACCGCCCTTTGCTTACGATTCAACACGCGACGGTTCGGTGATCCATTTATGATATACCCTGCTGGCAAGCGAACCTTTAGGTCGGCGTTTACATGTATAGGAATGGGTCGTTATGGCAATCTAGTAAGTCGGAGTGAGCAAACTTAATCTGACGCTAGATTCCATGCGCTTGGGAAAATACTCGCCATCTGTCTTTATTCAGTACATCTTATTTTACTAAGCGTGTGGACCGTACTCTTCGTACACATTAAAACCGGCACCCAAAACCCGAAATGCCGACCCTTAGTATTTATTCTAATGCTATAAAATAATATTTCGAATTATTTCGCGCGGCATTGCCTGAGGGTGCGTTTATGTTGCAGCGGCGATAAACGATAAGAGCAGCGATAGTAGCGAAGCAAAGAATATTATTATATGAATTTATATGTAGGTGTATATATTGGAGCAACGCGTCGAGACACGCTTGGCAGTTGAGCAACAATAAGAGCAGAGCTAATTCACTGCTTTTATCGTTTATCGCAGCTCTAACATAAACGTACCCTGATGCCGAGGAGGCGTTCAACGGCAAAATATTGATGACGCTCCTTCTGAACGTGGGCGCACGTTAAGAAGGAGCAAGTTCTACCAATTTTATATACGTTTGGCAACATTCGGCTTGGGACCCCGATTTCCGTGTGTAAGACGAGTACAGTGAATCTTTTCGCTACAATAAAATGTATTGAACAAAGAGAGAAGAGCAAGAATTCTCCTAAACGCGTTAAATAAACTATCGTATTACCGTAGATTGAAAAAATTTGTAAGATACACAACCTAAGCCCGTAGTTACATTGGACGCGCGTCCGTGCGTTTTTTTATACGCGCGAGCTCTGACGGAATTTACTCGCATGACTTATTTTATTTTAGTGTTTGCATTAGATGCGCGTTCATGGCATCCTGTGTGTCGAGTTTGTCAAAACGGACGTCACTAATTTGATGCTGTCCTGAGGATTTAATGTTAAAATAACTACTTATGAATAGAAGAAAATGTTAAGTAAATGATTTATTTACAATAAAATAGGAAAAATAAATATGTAAAATATTTGGTGAATTAAAACAGCAACCGGTCAAATTTTTTGAATATTTTAGAATGTTTCCAGCAACATTAATATATCTAAAATAAAAATAAACCTGGTATTCAAAAATATTCAAATTTTTCCGGAATGTATTGAGCCCAGAGATATAAAAATTTGAACGCTCGGACGTGCACGTATTAAAAAAACAAACCAGTTTGTTTTCATCCGACCAACGGAAATCGACGTACGTGCACGGACGCGCAAACTCCGATGCAATGTAACCGCCTGCGTAGATACTATTTGTTTGTTTTTTGCTGCGTGCACGTCCGAGCACGTACGACCAAAAAAACGCACGGACACGCATACAATGTAACCACGGACTAATGGGCAAATTCGTGACAAGGCTGATTTGCTTTCCCCTTAAGTCTCAAGCGCTGTCAAGTTCTGCAGCCAACGCATGAAACAAACATTTTAGAGAAAATTATCGGCTAGCGAAGGCATATAGAAGACGGTATGAAACTGAAAGCGACAGTGTTGCCAAAAATAAAAATTCTTTTATAGGTTCTGAATATTTCGTATGATAGAAAAAAGACGTTTAATTGGCTTTGAAATGACGACTATTGACATTTACCATAATATTTTACATATGAAATAACAGCGATCTTCATTTCCAAGCCAACTCTGATACCGTTCTTTGTGTAATCATTTAATATTATATTAAATTGTTTAATGATGGAAAATCCGTATTATTAATGTACTGTACCCAAAATCCGTAAATCTACAGATTAATCCGTAGTTCAGGCTTCTGGCAACACTGTCTCCGGCAATGACTAAAGAATTCAAGGACAAATAACACCCGAGAGCAAATTGTGACGCTGTCACCAAACAGTGCCGTGGCACATATTTTTCTTAACCTAGCTGTTTGAAGCAATATTTATAATTTTTGATAATTGTTTTGACTACGCCTATGGTGTATCATCCTAATTAATTACGAAAAAAACGTATTAAAATGTTAACAAAAGGTACAAAACTAGTATCGACGTATAGCACATATCAAGTACATATAGATATTAATTGAAATTGAAGAATAATTATCGAATTCAATAAGAAAACGCTAAAAGGTTGGAGTGGACTGTTTATTTACCTAAGAAACGTAACTCCTGGCTCTTTCTTATCGCTGCTGCTTTTACACTTGAAAGCTGAACAACTAATCACCATTGTAATAAAGTTTATACAAAGTTTACTACACACAAACTATTAAAAATCGCTAAAATTGTCGCTGGTAACCAAATGATGACTCATTGTTTGCCACCAAAACAAAAAAAAAGGTCACAAATTCTGCTGCAGCCCCTTAGGGGCGTTACATATCCTTATATTCTTTAGTCATTGGTCTCCGGCAACCATCCACTCTGTCGACTGAAAGCAGAACTGCGGGACAGTATTCTTTATTCGCTGCGTTGTAAACGACGATCAGCGCGCAGCGGCGCAGACCTAAACTAAATCTCGAACAGGTTGACTAGAGGCGGGCTATGTCGGGCAGGTTTTGTGCCACGAAATCGCCCATAAGGTTGCGCAATTTCATATTTCTTCTATCAACGGTATTATGTAATATCAATATCGCATTTTTCTCTCTCCGACTTACAAGATCTTTATAGCGATTCATTCTTAGATGTGTAAATACCGACCCAGATCCTCTTATCAAGTCTATACAAGGTGAGTTTTAAATAAGTCGATTAGACATTTTATGGAATGACGAATTTCATTCTCACAACTCCGAATTAAAATTAAAATGTAACGGTCAAGATCAAAATGGACCTATTTGCTGAAATAAAAATACTAGCTTATAAAACACTTTTTAATACAGTGACTTAAAATATGCATACCTATAATGCTTGCATTATTAGATATCATTTCTTTTCTAGAATAACTCTAAAAAATAATATAAAGTAATCAAAATAAAAGATCAGTTCCATTTTACTATAAAGTTGGATTGACATGTGAACAACAGCTTCGGGGTTATTTGAAAAAAACGGACAATTAATAAAACGGCAACTGCAATATTACAATTATACATACAAGTGCAAAAAACAGTATTCTTACTAAAACTACGCAATAGGTCATTGAAAATAAACATACATTTATATCAACTTATATTAAATTTAGGTTTATAATGGACTTAAGATTTGATATACATAAAGGTCAAATACTGTCAAGAACAAAAAGCAACACTGACTTGGGTTTACATTCAATTTGGGAAAAAAAGTCATGTACAATATAATTTTAGTCAACCGTGTAGTTTTACACTAAAATTACAATTTTATTATAGTAAAATTAAGTTAATCATCGCAAGAGCACCACAATTCAAAAAGGGAAATGAAAGTTTGTAATGTTCTTTTTTATTGTGGGATATCAGTTTTATAATTACAAACTAAATAATTTCAATTTTCTAAAATTCATAGTTTAGAAAATTATTTAACCACACTGCATTAATACATTTTTAAAATATTCTTTTTTGCGTGCTGTTTTTTATAGTAACGATTTCTTTATTTATTGTCCAACAATTTTAAAAACAAATATATTTAAAAATTCCCATGTGTTGCGTACCTTCTAGTAAGGCATATCTATATAAAAAAATATTCAGGAGTTTGATGAGTCTTCTAAAAGTTTAAGAATTTTCCAAAAAGAATAGGAATAACAAAAACAGTCCTGTTTCTAAGAATACTCCATTTCTTCAACTTCGGCTTCTTCGGGCACTGCGGTATACATTCTCCTTAATTTTTCATAGTGTTTTTGATCCTGCAAAAAGATTACATTTTCATTAATTACTGGATCCACATATCAATTAGATTACACATGAACTACAGTTTAAACGATAAATTTATTCATAATACAGAAAACTTAAGAATGTTGTTTCTTTACTACAGTGTGTCCAGCAATCGGATATACCCTGCTGGTCATCGAAACTATGTGGTCTGGATTTTAATGCCTGTGACAGAGAATAATATAAATGACCAGTTGACAGCGGCATACAGTATTGCCGGTTTTTTACGTTTGTAAGAAAATGTGTGTAGAAAAATACAAGCTATTTTAAAAACTTTCATGTATACTAGTAGAAGTTATACATTCTTAGTATGTCATCCACTGGGAGTTGGAGGAGTGGAATTTAGTGTATCAAATTATATCAAATAGAAATGATAAATATTTTGCATTTTGGACTATGTCGTTGCTTGTGTTTCGTGTTTTTAAAAATTAAGTGGAGGAAAACTCGAGGGAAAATTAAGTGTTGACCCAGACCATAGTTTACAGTTAATATTCGGTGCACAGAGACCGCCAGAGACACAGTTTGCCAGAGACTAAGGCCAGAAAGTTGTATTAGCCACAAATAAAGATGTATACCATCTCGTGTATGGTACCAAAAACTGGAGTATCTGTAAAATAACATCACACGATAGGTAAATAATACATTTTAGTACTGCAGAAAAAAATTAAGATTAAAGTTAATTAACCAAGATTAGATTTTTTCAGTTTTATACAGTTTTTTTTTTCACAATATTTTGAAGTAATCACTTGTCACTCAAAATTTAAATATATTAATTATGCGTTCCAATGGTACCAACTTATTTCTTTGTAAAATAAAATAAACTACTTTGAAATTAAAATGACAGACACATCTATCACTGTCAAGTATTTTGTCGTTGGACAGACTATATTATAGATTCGGGACAACACCGGTATCAGGTCTAAAGAGAGACCAAATTAAAGAGGTGGAGATAATAGAGACAGATCCTCCAGCCTCCATCTCAGACGGAGACATGCTCCTTGACTGTGAAAGACATGAAGGGCCAAACCCCAACCGTGGAAAGGTGTATACCCTCGTAGGAGGTAGATGTCCACTCCTCGGAGAAAGAACATCTGCTGTCCAGAGGATGACTGGAAATACCCTGTCCCCCCTACAACAGAAAAAACCCTATGTATGATGAGTCTATTATACAGCCTATAGACTGTATGTTGAGTTATAACTCAAAAAAGGGGTTTAAGGTCGCGGTGATTAACCCCCCTCTCACTCAATCTACATGGTGTAACATTACTCTACTTCTAATTCATCTTTGTATCTCTACTTGTTTATGAGATCCCTGTAGTGTGCATTCTGATATGGGAGCCGTCGAAGAAAGGAAGCAACTCATGACAACAGCAAAATCTGAACCCAAAAGTTATCATATACGGTAAAATTCACATTCACAGGATGAATAAATATATATGTATTCACACTGAATACATATATTAATACAGCAGAAAGCAGGATTCTAATTCAAAATCTAGGATTTAGTGGGGTTGCGGTCGGAAGGGTTTCACAAAGAATTAATACACTTTGTTAATTGTCAAGCTTTCGGAATTTATTTATTCCTTCCTCAGGACATTAACGTGGTACAGAAAATACCTTCATAAAAACTACATTAAACATGGTTTGTGTTGATAACTCCACCGTGAAAGCATCGCTGACCAGTCAACCACAAGGACTCTTATAAGGCGGTTAAGCCGCCAAATATAAGTTAGAACATTAGAATAATTAAGAGATGTTAGAAATTTTTAAATTAAAGAATTTTTTGCGTCTCAATCCGAAGCGTGGAGGCGCAAAACAATGATATAATTAATACATATATTATACTAAATGAGTCACTGAGAAACATGCGCTCTTGCTGGAACAATAAACATATTTATTTTTTTAACGGGAATATTACCAAAAGGGTTCCTAAACACAAATCTACAGGGTCCGACAATAGTGCGTCGGGCATCTGTAGCTACTAGAATAAAAAAACTTGGGAATCTTGTTTAAGTGCAAATCTATAGTTAGTGCGGCGTTACACGGTCCGTTTTTGCAGATCCCGCACTGAGGGTCCCGTTTTGCGGTATGGCAATATCGCATGAGATGGCATGGCAGATGTAACACCATCCGTTTTTGCGGAATGTGCGGCGACATGCTGCCGCAATGCAGGATTGCGGGATGCGGGAACCTTGGTGACGACACAGTCAGTTGAATGTAAACTGTAGCACGGTACGTTTCTGCGGTATGCTGCTTTGATCGCGAAAAACAAAATATGTTTGATACGGACCAATTTACCGAGCTAATTCGTGGGCTACCTGCCCTTTGGGACAAATCAAACCCTGAATATTCCAACAAAGATGCACGACAAAGGGCATGGGTGAATCCTCATTGTCGTGTTTTGTTTCGTGATGCTGGGTCTCAATATTTCAAGCAATACATCAAAAATTTATTGAGACATTCGATAGTAGCCAAAGAATTTATCATTGTACTTTCGAATTTTAGAATAAAATTTTCAAATCTTTGTCTTCTTTCGCGTTCGGAATTAAAAGGATGAACCCAAGTTTTACGGCATTTCGGCTCTCGTAATAAATTTTTAGCTTCAAGTAATAAAACAATGTTTAATTTTGAAAGGGACATAGTTCCTTCGCCTCTGCCACACAATATCAAAATGTGCGTAGTAGCTGTACGAAAGTCCCGCAATCCATTTTTGCAGGATCGTATAAATGGAGGCCACGATCCGTTTCTGCGGCATCCTGCAAAACGGGATGCCGCAAAAACGGACCGTGTAACGCCGCACTTAAAACTGTATTTCAGGTAAATATTTTATCATCTACTTGATGGCTCAAAAAAGTATGAGCGGATTAGGATGATTTTTTTAAACGGCCTGCATATTATTGCATTTTTGGCTTCCTTTCAGATCACTTATACATAATTTTAAGATATGGGTAAATATATTTCGATAGTCTCAGAGATATTAATAAATACATAAAAAAATGTAATTTTAGCCTTTCTTAAAAACTAACAATAACTTAAAATTACAAATACAAGAACCTTTCCTGAAATCAAAACTATATTAGATATTTACTTTATATGGTCTATATTTACTTTGCTATACATATTGTAATCCTAAATAATACAGGGTGTTCGCAATTCTACGTCAAACTTTCGAAAAATAAAATATTTTTTTCTATTTATTAGATATTTACTTATGGTCTATACCAGGTCTATACTTACTTTGCTATACATATTGTAATCCTAAATAATACAGGGTGTTTACAATTCTACGTCATACTTTCGAAAATCTAAAATAATTTTTTCTTCGTTTTTTTTTAAATTGGAACACCCTGTATATACTTTTTTTATTAGACGGGGAGTTAAAAATGAACGTTTTTTGTATTTAGAATATATCAATTTTTTTAACGGTTTCGAAGATACTCGCTCTTTCGCAGATTCGCTCTTTCAGCGGTAAAATACGAGAGAAAAATCACTGGGTGGCCCTGATAAAAAATTACTGTGGAAAATGCCATATGAATACTAAATCGCCAATTTCCAAGTTATTTATTCTAGAAGCTACAAATACCCGACGCATTATGACCCTGTATTTTGACATTATAGTTACCAAATAGAGCCAAAACATCGCTTGTCTAAACTGTAGTTATGTTGTGTGGTAGATAAATAATTCTCCCAAAATTTAACTTAACCTACCTTTTCAGGCACTGAAGGCCTTATTTTTTCGGCTGCTCTGATGAAGTGCCTGCTGGACACTTTTAAGTTCGCTTCCCCGCCTAGCATGAACTCCTTCAGTGCTAGCACAGACGCTTCTCTTACCAGAGCGGCTAAATCTGCTCCAGTATAACCCTTGGTCTGTTCCGACGTGCCTATACTCACGATATCAACGTCTTCATCTAACTTCGGTTGCGTACCATTCTGAAAACAAGTGGTTAAAGTGATACAAATAGTATAGTGTATACTTGTGTCTAAACAAGTGAAAGTATAAAGTAAAGCTAATTTTAAAATACAATATTATGAGTCATCAAAGTTTTTTACTTTGACTGCCTTCAATTTATAAGATATTTAATTCAATAAGTTTCACCAAATATATTTAAAGAATATATGGATAATATCCCATTTAGACAATGAGTGGAACGTGAAGCCAAACATATGAAATGGGAATATCAATCTTGCATAAGTCTATCCTTTTAGTTCAACGCGATTTTTTATGCGCACGCCCCAAATAAAACGATCTGATTCGTCTACTTCATCGCTGAACGCTCTGTGACCTGACCGCCGCACTGTTTTAAACTCTAATATATAATTTTTTTTTCGTAATGGCATTACTTCAACCTGTTATTTTAGATATTCTTGAAATATAGATATATCTATCCGTTTATTGTTTTTGTTTAAATATTCCAGAGATTAAATTTAAAATCTATAAGTAAAGGCGCGAACAGTAAGACGCTAACTTCATTTACATAGTAGATAGAAACTCTGAAACCTACTTGTATTAGTTAGTATGAAAATAAATGAACTAATCGTAAAGCACTTTTCACGAGTAGTTCAAAGCCATTGTTGAACCAAAAGGACCGACTTATGCAGATTTTGTATAGCTCCATCTCAAAAATTTGGCTTTAATTTCTGTGCCTGACTAGCCATATAGTCTTTGAATATATGGTAATCGTAAATAATTTCCGATGCACGTGATCAACTTTGAGTGACAAGCGATGGCGACAGCGCTGCCAGATTGTGATGAATTTATGAGATGAATCTTAATTTAAAAGTAACAAACAATATATTTATTATATCATTTTTTAAAAGATTTTACATTTTATTTTTAGTTTTATAACTAATATTTTAGTAATTAATTGATTTATTTGTTTTATAACTTATTTTACTTATTAGATATTGGCAAACACTAGTCCATTATGAAGATTATTCTAAGCGGTTATTTATTTATGTATTGATGTACATCTTACAACGCCATAAGTGGTAATATCAAGTAAGAGGGTGCTATTAATGCGAAACTCATAATCACAGAATTTAATAAAAACTAACGTAGAAATAACTTTGAAAGTGGTGTAATGTTGCTTATCAATCAAACTTACTTCTCTGACTGCAATCAAGGGGGTAGTAAAGGACCTCTATTGTCACGTTCTCATTTAAAATAGTTTATCAGGCTATCTACCAGCTCTTTGCTTCGACTGTTTAAACGCTTCGGCATATTTTCAACACACAATTTCAAGAAATGCAATACAAAAAAATCGAAAATTTAGTTCTTCTGTTTGTGCTTAAAAGTACAATTTTTAAAAAGACTATGAAAATAGGCAAAAAAACGAGAATTACTCATAAAGATCCAACAACAAGATATTATACAAATTAATGACAGATATTAGGATAATTGTCAAATAATAAAGGGACAGTCTTGCTGAAAACGGCGCAATGTGACCAATATAGCGATAATAAAATTCGGTTTAAACAAATTTTTGCAGCTTTAATCTAAATAAAATATCTGTTACAATCATTTGCTCTATTAAGTCAAATAAAAAGCTACTCGGTATCATAAATTATACAACAAATTTAAACATTTTTGCCAAAATTTAATTTAGTCAGGTTTATAGACTTTAGTGTCAATGTCGATAGGATTGATGACGTGCATCGGAAAATGTTTTACGATTACAATATATGAGTTTCACCTACATAAACTAATATTATTGGTTTAAAAAGAGTTTTGTTACCTTTGTGATTGCTCGCAGTATGTCCACTCTGTCTTCGCGCGAAGGAGCCCAACATAAAGGATTTTATCCAACCGCCCTGGACGAAGTACAGCAGGATCGACAATGTCCGGCCTATTGCTCGCGGCCAATAAAAAAATACGCCTTTGCGCCCTTCTATACCGTCCATTTCGGTTAACATTTGATTGACCACGCGCATCGTAGCGCCACCCTAAAGTTTCCAATAAAAGATCGTTATGTTTAATATAAATTTGTAGGTTTAATTTACAGGGTGGTCCGAACTGTATTCCGGAAATTTCGGCAGCATATTCTGCAGATAGAAATAAGTAAAAAAGTTATCAAAAAAATGATGTCCTAAAATGGCTTATTTTCGGAGATATAGGGTGTAGAAGTTTCATTTCAGTAGGAGTCATATTGACATCAAAATCAAATTTCTCATATCAAAAAACTCCCAGACACCAATTTTCATTTAAATATTGACGTTACTTCAGAAATTATTCGAATCGAAAAAATCGAAATAAAATTGAAACTTCTACAACCTGTATCTCCGAAACTAAGCATTTTAGGACATAATTATAGGAACTTTTTTACTTATTTTTATCTGCAGAATATGCTGCTGAAGTTTCCGGAAAACAGTTCGGACCAACCTGTATATTAATTTAGAAACTAATTCCACACGAGTTCAAACAAAATTGCTAAATACATTAATTTATTAGAAACAAAAAAAAACGTTACCTCTCTGGAGTCTGACCTTTTGGGGCAGAGAGCATCCAATTCGTCGAAGAAAATGACGCATGGTGCGGAGTTCCTTGCTCGTTCAAAGCACACCCTCACTGCTTTTTCGCTTTCACCTACATACTAGATTGGAAAAAAAATAGATAAAATTTGATAATCTAAATCTAACATTAAACAATAAAAAATAATATACAGGGTGGTCCGAACTGTATTCCGGAAACTTCGGCAGCATATTCTGCAGATAAAAATAAGTAAAAAAGTTCGTATAAATGTATGCCCTAAAATGCTTAGTTTCGGAAATACAGGGTGTAGAAGTTTCATTTTTATTTCGATTTTTTCCAAATAATTTCTGAAGTAACGTCAATACTTGGATGAAAATTGGTGATTTTTGACATGAGAAATTTGATTTTGATGTCAATATGACTCCCATTTGTAGGTGGCGCCAGCTACATGTATTTTAACTGTTTTGAAGAGTAATAACTTTTCGTCGGTACCTGTATAAAACTACTGAGTAAAAAAATATACATTTACGACTTTTTTTTACATAAAAAAGGTCTCTTGGTAAAAATCGCTACGAGTAATGGTTCTCGAGATATTTGGAATCAAAATTATCAATACCTGTCATCATTGACATAAACTAAACATGTTGACTAAATAGTTATTAGACTGAAATCATAAATTGTGTCAAAATTGAATGAAAAGTGAAATCTTTTTGTGTCAAAAGTTCAAAAGAAACTGTTTAATCATCATTTTCTCGCAGAAAAACTTATGATTAATTTAAAAAAATAAAAATTTATTATTTTAGTGAAATAACTACTATCTACTCAACGTGTTTATTTTTTTGTCAATAATGACATGTATTGACTATTTCCATTCTAAATATCTTGAGAACGGTTACTCATAGCGATTTTTACCAAGAGACATTTTTTACATAAAAAGTCTTGGAAATGTATATTTTTTTAGTCAGTGGTTTTATACAGGTACGGTCGAGAAAAGTTATTACTCTTTAAAAAAAACAGTTAAAACACATGTAGGTGGCGCCCCCTACAAATAGGAGTAATTTTGAAAAAAAAATCAAATTTCTAGTGTTACAAAACTCCCAAATACGAATTTTCATCCAAATATTGACGTTACTTCAGAAATTATTTGGAAAAAATCGAAATAAAAATGAAACTTCTACACCCTGTATCTCCGAAACTAAGCATTTTAGGTCATACATTTATACGAACTTTTTTACTTATTTTGATCTGTAGAATATGCTGCCGAAGTTTCCGGACTACAGTTCGGACCACCCTGTATACGTCATCATTATGTTAGTTTAAACAGGATAAAATAAGTTGGCATGAGTAAAAAAGAGCTGTACTTAAGTCACATTAATTAAAAGAAAATATAATTTTAATTATATGAACAATTTATATTTAAACCGTTCTTTTCAGAACCGTCACTCAACTAATTATCTATCAGCATAGAAACATTATATCTTACCATATTAAGCAGTTCAGGTCCCTTGACGGAAATAAAATTGATACCGGCCTCGTTGGCTATCGCTTTAGCTAACAGAGTTTTACCACATCCTGGAGGACCGCAGAGAAGAACACCTGTTGGCACGTGTAAACCTAGTTCTTCAAATCGGTCAGAATATCTGACTGGAGCCTATTTAAAAAAAACAAAAATGACACTCATGCATTTCTAGCAAAGATTTAAAAATAAATTAAAAGGATAACGTCAGGATCCTTAATTCAAAATGGCAAAAATCACTTAGTGAATAGGAAAATAAAACACTAGTTCACCATAATACACCAAAACACTTTATTTTTGCTCTGGGCGCACGTTTCGCTAACCATGTTAGCATCATCAGCAGAAGCACGGAGATACCTACGACTGCTCCACGAAGGACTTGCTCCAGAGGAAGCAAAAGAGAAAACACTTCTCCGAAAAGGGAAGAGGAAAGAAACCAAGAAACAACCTGACTCATCTCCATCAAAGGGCAAGAGAGGGAGCGAGAACCACTCACCTCTTCTCCGGCAGGGAGAGAAAAAAGCCAGGATGGAAAGCCGTCCAACACCGGGAGGCAAGCAGGGACGTATCACCAGCTTTGCCGCTATTGCTGAACAAGTGAAAATGGCGGTGCTGCCAAAGGATTTCCCAGAGGTTGCTCTGACCACGGACCAGCAAACGTCTCTAGAAGAGGCTATACTGGATGAAGTAGTGGCGATCGGATCGCAACACAACGACCTACAAAATGTGGGTCAGCTGCGTTTTGCGAGGATACACTTTCGGGTGGGCATGATCCTCAGATTGTGTATCTCAAGAATCGGCGAATTGGTTGGTGGAAATCGCACCTAAGCTTAAAAATTGGCAAGGGCCGGAACTGGTTGCAGTGAAGGGAGAAAACATCCCTAAAGGGGCGGCCATAACGGTCTTTCTGCAGAGGAGCAAGGGGAAAGACACCACCTACCTGCTGAGCCTTATCCAAGGTCAGAACTTCGAGTCATCGATCAATAACTCGAGGGAGGAGGGTCATAGTCAGGTCCTCACAATAGGAATTGACCTTAAATCCAAGGAGGCAATAGAGAAAGAGGGATATATCCTCTATTATATACGGGATAACACCGGTATCAAGTCTAAGGAGAGACCAAGTTAAATAGGTGGAGAAAATGGAGACAGATCCTCCAGCCTCCACCTCACGGGTTCCTTAGCCGAAAGGCAAGCTCCTCGACTGTGAAGGGCGGCACGGAGGGCCAAACTCCAAGCGTGGAAGGATGTGTACCCTCGGAGGAAGAACTGTTGTCAGAGGAGGATGGGAAATACCCTGTCCCATCTACAACAGGGGTATGGTGGGTTATAGACTGTGTGATGACTCAAGGAAGGGCGGCACAATAGATCTTTAAGGTCGCAGTGATTAACCCCCCCTCGTACTCATTCTACATTCTACATCATCAGCAGATGATTAAAACTTATTTTGACACTCGAGTTTTAATCATCTGCTGATGAGTGTCAAAATTCGAGTCGCACGTCCAGTGCAAAAATAAAGTATTTTGGTGTATTGTGGTGCATTAGTGTTTTATCTTGCTGTTGTAACACCAAAAGTTCCAACCTTCAACTATAATCACTTAGTAAATATATGATGATACATATAAAAATAAAGGACAACTGTAACTAATGTCTTATACTCTTCAGTCAAAACAGACTATACTTACTAAAATTGCCATTTGCAATTCCTCTCTGACGTCTTTGAGAGATCCTATATCATCCCATGTAGTATCCGGTACTGTAGCGAAACCTTCCCTCTTTGCTGATGGTTGCACTGTCTTCAAAGCCTAAAAATGAAACATTTATAATAAAATAAAGTTTCAAAAAAGAAAATAAATATAATTAATAAATCTCTAAATAAGAGAGCTTTTAATTATCAAATGTTTAAGTTTATCAGAAAAATTAATTTTGAAAGTATTATTATAATTTAATTATGTTCTAATACCTTTCCAAAATCTTCCATGGTTATACAAAGATTTCTGAGCTGATCATCGCTGATAGGTATTCTGTCATGTAACCAGAGTTTAAGCTCTTCCAAATCAGTAATGGCTTGACCTCATCAACTGGCATTGGTTCTTGTGGAGGTAGAGATTCTGTAGGGATGAAATATAACGAGTATTTATTCATTTATCCGTGAAATATGTTTTTTGAGATAATACATTCATTTCATTTTATTGACTTAAGCATTAGTGCATCAGAAAATAAATTTTAATTTAAAAACAGTTCAGTAAATCAAAGTATTGAATAGTATAACCGAGAATATAACCCAGGTGACATCATTTATATGTATAGTGTGTCCAACGAGTGAGGAAATATTTCGACAGAAGACATCCAAAAAATGACAGAAAACATAATTTGCCGGTGAATTAAAATGAAAAATGACAGATACAATAGTCACTGCCAGGGATCCATTCGGACAGACATATTATTTTAATTTCTAACTGGTGGCTATTAAAATTAAGGTATGTTTTGGTAATATGCCCCGTCACGCTAGTAAATAATTTAAATCCACTTCATAACATAAAATCATAAGTTTGCAAGGCTACTTAATGACACAAAATTGAATGTCAACGTTCCAAATATGTCTCTTTTCATTAAACTAAGAATTCAATTATTAATTATATTACATTATCTATTACACAACTAAAAAAGAAAAATTTACCTTCTTCAACTATAATTTCCGGTTCTACTTCTGAAGGTGGAAGTGCGCCGTTGAGGTTCGTTTCTATCGAAGCGCCCACTGAAGCAGCAGCTGGTGGTTCAGATTTTGATTGAGACTAAAAAAAGGTTAGGTTAACCAGTCAGGTTAAACAGTCTATATATAAATATATAAAATAATATAATTTACCTCTTCGTTATCGTCTAAAACTACTACGGCGTCGGTAGAGGTATCGGCTTCTTTGTCTTTAGTGTTTTCAGCTGCTTTAGGACTATCCACTACTATTTCTTGTTGGTCGGCTTCCTTTGCAGCTTCCTTTAACATATAATTTGTATTTACAAAATTAGAAAAGGACTTATTAAATAGCTAAAGAGGACAGTCAATAGTTAAGTGACCTATTTAGTAGAGTGTAATTTTTAACTTTAGAGGTAACTTTCGAAAGTACCATATACAGTATGTCCCCGGATTGTCTTTACAAGAGGATAAACTACTTTTTGTGCCTCGCCACAAAAAGTATAACTTTTACTCCTAATAAAACAATATACTATTAATCAAAAAAGCGTATTTTAATACTATTTATACATTTTTATATTTTACTTTAAATATTTCATAAAGACTAGAAACAGAAATAGTGTAAAAATTGAGTGACAAAAATGTTAGTTTACGCCTACTGTAATGTAACATCATTTTTATTTAATCACACAGTACATTGTACAATAGATTTGTTATTATGTTCATATACAGGGTGAGTTTCCTACGATGTTCTCTATGGGTATCTCGGAAACTACTGGAGATAGAGAGTCGGTTAAATGGGGAAAGAATTGCAGTTTTGTGGGATCATAAATATGCGCCTTTCAAATTTTTGAAAAATTTCATGGCTTACTAGATATTTCGAAAAAAAAAACAAATTTTGGCTGTTTTAAAAATTGTCCCTAATTCCATTATAATCTATTTTAGACAAAAAGTTTTCAGATAATTATTATAATATCAGATAATTATTATAATTAATTTCAGTTAAAAAGATCCCTAATGAGTTTGGGTTCTCCGATTTTTCCGAAGTGCTCCGAAGTCTGTCATTTTTGACATATGACACAAACATATGGTTTTTTTTAAATGGAAACCATAGTTGGCGATGACTTCATAAAAACGCCATTTTTTAAGCTTTTCGGCGATATAAGCTATATGTTTTTTTCGAAAAATTACTGAGTTATAGCCAATTTTATCTTTCTTGGCTAATTCCACTTAGCTGGCATGGTAATCTTATTCTGTTATGATAAACTTATAAAAGACAGAATATATTATTAAATGGTTCTTTCCAATTTACATTACACAAACTGAAACTTAAAAAAAATAATATCACTATCACTACAGACACTTTAAGTTATTTTGGAAAATGTTGAAAAATCCACCATTGTTTTGAGTACATAAATGCATGTTTTTAAAACTGAATCACTATATAGCTATTCTCACAGAATGACCGGTCGACTTGATTAAACTTCTCCCGTGTCGCCTCTTCGAGTGCCTCTCTTAATTCATAAGTTCTTTTGTAAACCTTGTACATAAATAAACGCATACAAAAATCTAAAATTGATAAGTCAGGTGATCGAGGAGGCCCATGCAACTGGTCCACATCTTCCTATCCCTGTTCCTATCAAAAAAATAGAACCTACCTCTTCTCGTTTTTTCTTTTCTGCCTCCTCTGCCTTCTTCTGTTTGGCTAATTCCTTTGCCTTTTGTTGTTCTTCCGTTGCCTTCTGCAAAGCTACCACTTGCTCTATTCTACGACGCTCCTTAATATCATTAAATACTCTATAAACAAAAAAAGTTATTCTATCAGTAGTTACAGGGATATTCTAATAAGCCGCTAAAAGGAATAACAATGCAAGTTGTTTTATATCTTAATTTAGAAGAAGATTGTCGTAGTCATTCATATATTTTTTCCTGGACAGTCTGTATATTGTCTATGTCTATATCTATATTCAAAATGACTAAATTATACTGCGTAAATATACCACTTGTCTAATAAGAGTTTTTGAATGTTTGCTTGACATGTTACTGTATAAATGCTTATATTAAAACAACTTCATGTTCAGTGAAATTCTAAATTTATTTTTTTTTGGCTTAAAAGCGTCTTTAATTATGTCTTTACATCAATATATATATATAATAAATATTTACTTTACAACAAAAAAATCTGAAATGGTTACAAATTACAATCATATCTATACAGTATCGCGTTAGTAGCCATGGCACTAACAATTATACACACAACGTATACCACGTAGCGTCGGCGCACTCAGCGACCAGAACACCTCATCAGAGCCGTCTCAGATACTGGCTTTTGTCAAAGCCCTGTATGAAGAGTTATAACTCGTTATACCTCAAGAAAGAGGAACATACAATAAACCTGTAAGATCGCGGTGATTAACCCCTCTCCTAAACATTACTGGCTTCAACAATTCTAGTAACATAACAACTACAACAATTCTCGTAAAATAAAACACTAAATCACCACAATACACCAAAACACTTTTAGTCACCTTAAAATCACCAGCATCAGCAGATGATTAAGACTCAAAAATTGAGCGACAGTCTTAATCATCTGCTGATCATACTAACATGGTTAGCGAAACGCGCGTCCAGTGTAAAAGTAAAAGTGTTTTGGTGTATTGTGGTGATTTAGTGTTTTATTTTGCTGTGTAACACCAAAGGTTCCAACACCCAACTGTAATAAATTCTAGTAGCCGTGGCAACACTGCGACGTGCATTCGTTAAATATTTTGATAAAGAGCACGACATCTTTTATTGAGTTTCCTATATTATATTTGTAGTGTATTTATGCACTATTAGCCTAATGTATGGTAATCCAAACAATTCCCTAATTTGGACACAAGGATTTAGAGCTCGAACACAGTGACGACCAGGTCGCACCGGCCAGGCCGCTGCTACCTCTAAAACCATTAAATCAAATGATACAGCGCACACTAACTTCCTGGCCGTCGACGTCGGCTGGTCGTTGCGACCAGTAGACTGCACTAAAATATTATTTTCTGCAGCATGTTGCAGGTTTTCTTCCAAATTAATAATTTTTCAGATAAAATCCCTCAAATTCAACGCGCAATATTTTATTTTCTATAAGAAATAGTGTTTTAGTGTAGTTTTTACACACGTGCAGAAAATCCAAAGAAATAGTATACAGACTGGACCAAAGGTAAACTTAAATCTAGTCCCTTTTTTATCAAGCGTCGATTCTAGTAAAAATTCAAAACATTTTTATATGACATACTCTATTTATGGTTGGTATGATACCTGTTTACCTTCGAGTTTCGATGTTAAAAAATAAAAAAATCATATTTTAAAGTTTTTCTACATCCACTTGTTTTTTATTAAATGTTCGGCTTATTTGTTCTGCTTGTTCGTGCACGCCCGGTTCGTTCAGGCTAAAATACTCAAGTCTGGACGCACCTTTAGGAAGAATACTGTTTTTGACCTTTAATGATATAATGCTGAAAATCTCACGAGTTACATGTCTCACTCTCCACATATTAAATTACATAGACGTAGGATGTAGAATATTCTGTTATGAAACGACTGATGGACTAGCAGGCATCGCGGATTTGAAAAACACGGAAATAACGACGTTATCGTGTAGTCGGGGTTGGAGATTTTACTTACTCCATTTACCACACCAGTATTTATTAATGAAAAATCCAAGAATATTTTAAATGCATTATTTAATATTAGAACATTTAATAAGCTCATGAATAGCAACTTCGTTTTTTAGTTAACTCGGATATTTTAACATTTCTGAAACTTAATTCTTTCTGAAACAATATTTTCTAATTGGTAAAACGTAAAAATCGTTAGATCTGACAACTCTGTTGAAACTGGTCGTTCATCTGGCCGCAGCTATGTACGCAATACATCCGCACAGCCGACTGACGGCCAGGTCGTTGCGACCTGGTCGTCAGTGAGTTCGAGCTCTTAATTGTCCAAATTAAAGAAGTTGTACTGTATATAAATAAGTTGCACAAACCTATTAACTGCTACCATTGATGCCTCTCTCGTTAAAGAGAGTAAATCCGCGCCCACATAGCCTGGTGTAAATTTGGCGATTTTCTGATAATCAAAGTCGTCGGACAGTGTCAAATTTGTGGTGAGTACCTAATAAAGATATATAAACATTATAATAATTCGCTATTTTTCAATGGTACCCTCGCTATTTTTTTTAGTTTATGTTGACAGAGAATTATATTCTGAACAAAATGACATTTCATGGCATATGTCAACTTTTGGCAGTTTCAGATAAAAAAATAGTATTTTAAGTTCCAACTTAAAGTGTCAATCAATCCTGATTTATGTCCTATATTAACATACCAAATATCGTTTTTTATCTGAACAAAGAATAAAGTTATAGGGATTGAACACTTTTGAAATACTCCCGGTATAATACTTATGCTGTCTTTTATTCCCAAAAAATACCAATTTGTAATATGAAACTTTAAACTTGAAAAAGTGGGGCATATTATGGCATATTAAAGAAAATATTTCTAACCTTTAGAATCTGTTCTCTAGCCTTCTCATTGGGAATTCCTAAACATATTTCCCTGTCAAATCGTCCGGCTCTGCGCAAAGCTGGATCAATGGAATCGGGTCTATTAGTGGCGCCTATTACCAACACCCTATCTCCATTTTCATTTACACTCAGATCTATATAATAAAATAACAAAGTTTTTTTAGAGAAAATTTTTACTAAAACCTTACAAATTATACCATCTAAACAGCTCAGTAACTGAGCTACAATCCTTCTTTCCATTTCTTTCTGCGCATTTTGTCTGTTAGGCGTGATGGCATCAATTTCATCGATAAACAAAATACAAGGAGCTGAACTGCAGGCTCTTTCAAACAGTTCCCGAATTCTTTCTTCGCTCTCACCGGAGACACCTGCAACTAGTTCAGGAGCGGCCACTTTAATCAACTGTACCCCTAATTCCTGAAAATAAGTACCAGAAAAAAACTAGAGTATGATCGAAAAAAAGAAACGCTTGGAAATGGACATCGAGATAAATTTTCGCCGAATAAATTTGAACTCTGAGCGCCGTGTTTTTTCAATCGTATAGTGTATACAGATAGAGGGTGATTCTTTAACTCGAAATGAACTCAGTAAGTCAAAGAAATTCTTCGGTAATATGTTCGGACACGTCTTTGAAGAAAAAGATTAAGGAAGGAGCATATCAAAAAACATAGATCGAGCGCGATGGAGACAAAAAATGGCCGACTTAAATTCCGGTTTATCACTGCCGTTCTAATTTTATTCAAAACGTGTAATATGATGTAGAATAGACTAGAATAATTTGTTGTTTTATTTTACGTTGTCAAATAATGTTGGTAGTTACTAAAATTGTTATAAAAATATATAATTCTAATAAAAATAAATAAGTTATAATAATTATTATTTATTTAACAGATACATCCGATACGCTACTAAAGCAGGTAAGTCAAATTGATGTATATCTAAATTTTTTGACATCTAATCTATGACAAGTAATAAATAAAAGCAAGAATGCAAGAAAAAATATATAATTAATTAATAATAGAAAAACTATATAAATTAATAAATATAGTTAATCTTAAGTGAATTTTATAAATGGTCGGTTTACTGCACGTATTTATATTATATAGACACTTGCTAGTGAAAAGTTATTCTATTATTTACCTCGATTTTTGACCGAGATCTACCACACACAAAAAAATCCTTCTAAATTTACTACCCTCTAAACAACTACCAGTTGTATAATTAACCTCATATACCTCATAACCTATACTACGGGACACGTTAATCAGTATTTTAAATTGCGCTTTATACAACATGTTTCAAATTGGAGATATGACATAAATGGTTTTTCCATTGAGTCCCACTAAGAATAGCTCTCGGCTATATCTCGGAAAGTATTAGCCGAAGGGCCTGCGGAAAAAATATTCATAACTAAAGATGCCATGAGAAATTGCTGGAAATTATTTTCAAGTTTGTAGAATAGCCGCTAGAGGACGCAACTGCTATAAAAAATAAGAAAATGGAGTTTTTACACCATTTTGCCTAGATAAGGGGTACTATAAATAATAGCTCATAATCTTCAGTAAATTCTGAATATTTTTTCTCAGAACCATTTTCCCCTATCTGCCAAAATAAAGTGGTGGGGGAAGGTTAGATCTGTTTTTATTTAAATATTAATAACTACGGACTGGATGGATGGAATTTAAGAAGCGGGGTCACGTTTAAAAGAGTGTTTCTTATTGTATCTTATACCATATAAACAATAATGATATGCTTTTGAACGTAGACGTTAGGGGGCGCTGTCTTACAATTTAACAAACATTGCGTGTTATTTCAAAAAAATTAAATGCGATGGTATATGTAATTTTAGCTGATAGTAAAGAGTAATAAAAGCTTAAAAAATCAGTGAAAACTGCATTTTGATATCTTTTTTCAAACCAAAGTTATTTGCAAAATTATAATAGAAAGGAAAAAATAAGCCCATAATTACCTTATTTCTCTAACACGATATCACTAGCCCTCTTGACTATGATCATTCTAATAAAAAATAAGATAAAAAGATTATTTTATTCAAAAATTCGATAATATACCAGAATACCATAATAATGTAAACGCCACGAATGTTTGGGAGTGATTCATCGCTTTGATGAAGATAGAATCGACACGCGCTATCATTTTTACATTAAAAACGTAAATTTTACCGTAGACGTATGTTTTTAAAGGCCCAGAAAAGCTAATCATCTCCATGCGCTCCTCCTACTTGTTATTCTAAAATGTTAGCGTGATTAACAAAGACGATACTATATCGCGTTTCTTTGATTGATTCGTTTTGTGCGTCAGTCCATTGGTGTGCTTGCAGTGCGACCAATGGGGCATTCCATTTTATATTTATAACCAAATATTTGTTTTGACAAGACTTTGACAGTTAAAACAACAACAGATTATATATTGATTGTTATATGACTTGAAACACCACGGCACTGGAATTAAGTTTTATGTGACCTTGAACAGATTAGTTCACATGGTAGCGACCGATGCTTTGAATAAGAAGACTAAGGAAGGAGCATATCAAAAATCTTAGGTACACCGCGATGGGCCTCAAATATGGCCGACTTAAATTCCGGTTTATCAATGTCGTTCTAATTTTATTTAAAAAATGTAAAACTATGATGTAGGGTGGACATTAAGGGTAGACTCAATAATTTGTTGTTTTTATTTTACGTTGTGAATAAATGTTGGTAGTTATTAAAATTGTTATAAAAATATATAATTCTAATAAAAATAGATAAGTTATAATAAGTATTTATTAACACAAACATCCGATACGCTACTGAAGCAGGTAAGTCAAATTAACGTATCTAAATTCTTTGACATCTAATCTTTGACAAGTAATAAATAAAAAGCTAAAATGCAAAAGAAAAATATATAATTTAGTTAATTTAAGTGAATTTCATAAATGATCGGTTTACTACACGTATGTATATTATATAGTCACTTACTAGCGAAAAGGTGTTCCATTATTTCACTCAATTTTTTGCCGAAGATCTACCGCACGCTACACAACCAACTGTTTTAGAGTCTTTTCGATAAATCGCGATAGTGTCACTGTTAATTTAAGTTCTGCCACAATTTCCATCTAGATTTACTACCTTTATACAACTATCAGTAGTAGAATAAATAATAAATAACATAAAATATGCTCCGTAAAGACTGACAAATCCACAAAATTTCAAATCAAATTCAAATGTGTCAAATGAATCGTCAAACAGAACTGTCAAGGATCCCCACCCTAGAGAGCTTTTATGGTGGCTTTTCCGCCCACCATGCATGAATACATGGATAGCATTATGCTCCTTCCTTAGTCTTCTTTTTCAAAGGACCGATGAATCACCCCCAAACATTCGTGGCGTTTACTATACTAGGTGTATTAATATCTAATAACTAAGATATCAATGAGAGTGAACAAGAAACGACGCCTCAGTGAATTCATGGTAGGGTTTAGAAAAAAGTTGCTTTTAAATGGATAACTAACATTTTGATAGTCCCAGCAGAGTTTTTTATCTTTTGATTGCTTTTCTAAAAATGCCTTTCTTCAAAAAAAAACGCCGCTAAGACTATCAAAATGTTAATCTAATAACAATTTGACGTTTATACCATTACGTCAAAAGCAACTTTTTTCCAAAGCCTACCATAACTTCACTGAGGCGCTGTTATTAACATCTTAATTATTAGATATTAATACGTCTGGTATTATTGTATTCTGGTATATCGTCGATTTTAAATAATTTAATCGTTTCTATCTTATTTTTATTAGAATGGGCATAATCAAGAGGGCTACTGATACCGTTTTATAGAAATATGGTAATTAAGGGCTTATATTTTCGTATTTAATATAATTTTGCTAATATCTTCGGTTTGAAAGAATATATCAAGATGCGGTTTTCACTGGCTTTTTAAGCTTTCATTACTCTTTACTATCAGCTAAAATTAAATATACCATCGCATTTAATTTTTTTGAAAAAACGCACAATGTTTGTTAAATTGTAAGACAGCGCGCCCTATCGTCTACGTTGAACAGCTTATTATTATAATTTTTATGGCATAATATAGAGTAAGGAACGCTCTTTTAAACGAGCCCTAGTTTGTTGAATTCTGAACATCCAGTTCGCAGTTATTAACATTTAAATAAAAACAGATCTAACCTTCCCCCACCACTTTATTTTGGCTGATAGGGGAAAATGGTTTTAACAAAAAATATTCAAAATTTACTGAAGATTATGAAGCAATTATTTATAGTACCCGTTATCTAGGCAAAATTGTGTAAAAACTTCTTTTTCTTTTTTTTTTTCATAGGAGTTGCGCCCTCTAGCGGCCGTTTTACAAACTTGAAAATCATTTCCAGCAATTTCTCATAGCCTCTTTTGTTATAAATATTTTTTTCCGCATGCCTTACGGCTAATACTTTCCGAGATACAGCCGAGAGCTATTCTTAGTGGGACACCCTGTAGTTACGAGAATTAATCCTAACCTTTACCCTATGAAATTAATGTACCCTATGCAATTAACGTTTAGAACTTAAGAAAAGCCGTTCATAATTCTACTTGTTTTAAGAATATTCTAGTAATATGTTTTGAGTTAACCAATTAGAATATATATCAAATGTCAAATACATAAACACAAAAATTGAACAATATCAAAGAGTAGATAAGACAAGAGACGACAGTTCGCGCGCGGTACCTTTCATGTTTGAGTGGTGGGGAGAAGTGACTTCGTCTCGCTTGTCGCCTTTAAATTTTCGTAATTTTTCGCGAGGAAATTTGAAATAGACTATTATTAAAACTTGCTTGTATACCTTATAAATAGTTAGGTACTGTAGGGTAAAGAAATAAATAGAAACGAAAAAAAGTGAGTTTTCTAAATATTATATAAAATAAATTATAATTAGAAACATATTTGTCGGGGAATAAAGATAATAAAAGCAATATTTTGTATATCGTTGGTAAACAAGATAAAGTGACCAAGTCGATTTGTAAGAAATGTTTTATTTACGTGTATTTTTTTTTTACATATGGACTTGAACAAAGTGTAAAATCACAATGTGGGTTTATGTACAAAAAAATAGAGTTGCTCAATTTTTTTAAATATATATTACAAGCTTCTAACCATGTCTTCGATCTATGGATTACATTTAGTTTAATAACATAATTATATAGTATATTTCTATAAAAATACTTTTCAGGATCCTTTGGAAAAGAGTGAAATATTATGTTTGTCGAGAAGAATAAGACCTATTTTTTGTAGTCTTTATAAGCACACACATTGCCACCATCTCGTTTTTCCTGCTACTCGTGTCCTGTTCAGTATTCATATTTAACAATATTTACAAATTAGTACGCAACAAAAACGATACTAAAATTAAACCTTAAAAACTCTCAAAACGATAATATATCGAAAAACTCTGAAAACACACTTTAAAAGGCAAAAATTCAAGAAAACGACTAATCAGATTTGTTTATGTTTAAGCCTGATTGAGCTCAGCTGATTAGCGTCCTAAAATCATAGGTTAGATTAGATAAAATACGCCGTTGTCAGATTTTGAAATTTTATCTGTTTATCTTTGAAATCGATCAACTTATAAAAGTCATTCTGTTTCTTTGATATTATCAGTACATTGCGAAAAAAGAACCTAAATCAACCTAAACTAAAAATTTACATTTCCGTATTAACATACGTTACTTATATCCCTTCTTATATTATTAATTTATTTTCAGAAAATCTTGTTTTTTTTTCAAAGAAATATACTTGGCAACAGAGACAAAATGGGACTTGATGGGACCTTTAGAATTTTAATATATCTGCGTCTCTCTCGCGAAATTCGACTTCTTTGTTCACTGTCGTCTCTTGTCTTATCTACTCTTTGACAATATAGTCTAAATGACTGGTTAAATTTTATTTTTATTTTGCATAGATCATATAGTTTTATTTTTAGCATTTTCTATCTTGTGCATATTTGCATGAAAATTCTAGTATAAAATATTATTAACATACCTGCAATTGCATTGGCCAACAGAGTTTTACCACAACCTGGAGGACCATGGAGTGAAAATCCCTCTTGGTGGTGAAATACAATTTTTCTATACAACTCTGGATGTCTATTAAAACAAACCATGTTTTTAGTGTGAACAAGATTAAATGTAATTAACTACCTGATATGTAACAACAATTTGCAAACATCTTCTAGTACCTTGTCCATGCCGCCAATATTTTTAAAAAGTGAAAGCAGGTTCTACCATATTTTTCTCCTCGAATTTTTTTTTTTTTTTTTGACATAGTAGATATGTCTTTAATGGGTGATATAGTCGCTTCGAGTTTACGTTTCTTTGGACGCTCCTGGGGCTCTGTTTCAGTCCGACGCTTATCATATAACTACAAATAATATAATACACGTATACCGGGTGTTTCCAAAAACATGTCCTCTCTCGGGAGGCTTTCTCACGTAAAAATAAACCATTCAAATGAAATTTTTAGAGTAAATATGTTTTTAGAGTAAACATGTTACTATAAGTGCGACATATTTTAAGAAGTGTCGACATATTCACCAGGAACGTGCATATGGGTTATCACTGGAATATTCTTCCAAAAAAAAAAAAACATGTGCGCTACTGACTTTTTAGGGTTTCGTATCCAAAGGGTAAAAACGGGAACCCTATTACTAAGACTTCGCTGTCCGTCCGTCAGTCCGCCTGTCATAAAGGTCTATCTTATGAACCGTTATAGCTAGACAGTTGAAATTTTTACAGATAATGTATCTATGTTGCCGCTATAAGAACAAATACTAAAAGCAGAATTAAATAAATGTTTATAAATAAAAAAGTACTTTCACTAAACATTATTTTCTAAGTATGAATTTTACATAGAATCTTTCAAGTCCTTGGTGGCCGCGTGGTTTAAAGCGTTAGGACTTTTACGCTGCTATGACGTTGGAGCCGTAGTAAGGCAGGTTCGAATCCTAGTCAAGGCTACTTTTTTTGAATCGCTTTTTTTATTTTTACGTATTTTTTACATATTTATTTTTTACTTTTTTACATATTTATTACTGATTAATACAACTTTTAGTAATGTGTTTTTTTAATTTATTTTTTAAATTACTTGTACGCGCATTCAAAATTTCAGCTAAATCGGAAAAAGTTTATATGATATAGTGTCTAATGTTGTATAGATAATGAATGGTATGGAACCCTTCGTGCGCGAGTCCGACTCGCACCCGACCAATTTTTTTTAAATTATTTATACGCGCATTCAAAATTTCAGCTAAATCGGAAAAAAAGTTTATAATAATATAGTGTCTAATGTTGTATAGATAATGAATGATTGCGGAACCCTTCGTGCGCGAGTCCGACTCGCACTTGACAAATTTTTTCTGAATGTCAGTGTTATAAACTAAAAAAAAGTTAATAATAAAGTAGATAAAATAATTTATTAGTTGTATTTTATTGTGATTATTATAATTGCATTTATCTCATCAAAGAGATCAAAATCGACAAAATATCGAGAGACAACTTTCAATCGGCATCAAAGCGTCTACACACAATGTTTGCAAAGAGAAAAAAAGCAAGTGACGCACATTTTGCTTAAAATATTCCAGTGGTAAGCCATATGGACATCCCTGGTGAACATGTCAACACTTTTTTAGCATTAAGTATGTCACACTTATAGTAACTGTTACCCGTAAAATTTTTTTTTATTCAAATCGCTAAAAGCATTTGAAAAAATTATAATAAAAAAACAACCCCCCCATAGTTGAGAAACAAAGCAGAGTTGCACCTACATATGTTAACATAAAAATAAATCACATATTTTTTACGTGAGGGATCTCCGCACGAGGTAACACGTACACTGTAGAAAAAAAATATAACACTGCATTAAATTACTAACAGTCTGATTGGAAAAGAAATCCTGGAACTATAACTGTCCTATTAGGTTTGTGCAGAAGTAGAGGCCCCATTTGTTTTGCTGCCGTAATTGTTGTAAGCTGCTTCTTCTTCCAGAATCTTCGCTACTAATATCGATTAGTTCATTTTCATCAAGTTTTGGTTTAACAGCAGCAGGACGTTGGTACATCCTCTGCCAGTTGATTATTCATAGAGTCATTAGCCTAAACAAAACTTATTATAAACCCCCAATTACCCTTAACGCATATAAAACCATAAACCATAGGCAACAACTAGTGTTTGTAATATGCTCAAGATTATTTTTGAAGTATGTTACCTGAGGATGAGCGACAATAATCAAGATTAAAGGTAGTGTTGAAAATCTATCCAGTTACTTTTAGAAAGAAATACTGAATTTTCTCATTTTTTTCCCATTCTCCTCAAAAAAATGAAAATTTGGAAAACATTTAGAACAAATAGATAAAAATAAATGAGAACAATACAATTCAAACACATTACCCTTCTTTGAGGGCATATTTAAATTGCAGAGCAATTATCAACACTACATACTTCAATTTGCAAATTAAAATGATAAAACTGTAGCTAAATCTATACATGGTCCGGCAATAGTGCTTGATTATCTGTAGCTTCTAGAACAACAAAAATTGAGAATTTTGTTTAAGTGCAAACCTAAAGTATGCATTAGGATATAGGTATTTCAGGAAAATATTTTAACTTCAAAAAAGTATAAGTGTATCTCTGAAATTATCAAAAGATATTTACTCATATCTTAGAATTATGTAAAGTGATCTAAAAGGAAGCCAAAAATGCAATAATATACAGGGTGTTCCATTTAAAAAAAATCATCCCAATCCACTCACTTTTTTAAGCCGCCCTATAGATGTTCAAATATTTTCTTGAAATACATCCTAGTATATACAAGTATAACCTCAAAAATCACCTTAAACAATTTTAAAAATGTTTAAAGGGAATGTTATTCTTTGTAGCTTGTTTGTGCTCATACATGCTCTTATAAGAAAACATTCCCTCATCACAAATGTGAACTTTCTTTCTCTGTATTACAACACTAGTAACAACTAGCGATGGGAACTATCGAATGAATTAGACTATCGAATGGTTAATGAATGAATGATTTCAACTATCGAATGGTTTTATTCGAATAAAATCATTCATTCATTTGTAAACTAAAGCATATGTGACAACCTCGCCGTGCGACTAAATGGTTATCGTTGAGCCACGACTATCGAATGCTTTTGATAAATGAAATTTAGTATTCGTTTGGATTTTGTATGCGTCAGTGCATTATTGGTTCTTCCAAATTCAAAAACTTCGCCGTATAAATACTGTCCTATTTTTGCGTTTATTAAAATAGTTAAAATACTAAAATAGTAGTTATTTTTTAATTTTATTTATTGACGATTGTGTGCATGTGCAGGTGGTCAAAATTTTTCCGATAATTTGTGTGGTTTTCCGTAGTCCGATCTTTCAATTATTTCATTTTATATGGTATATGGTCTATTTTTTAATGGGAAATTTTAGGAAAGTAGCAATTTTAAGAGAGATGAGATGAACTTACAATTAATTTTAAAAAAAATACATATTTGTATTTTAGATGTTTTTAATAATACCTATGAATTAGTTGGAACTTAATAATTATATTTAAGTAATGTGGTTAAATAAATGGTTATCGAACTCAAACTATGGGGTGAGAAAATTAAAATGAAAATTTTACACGTGCCAATTTAAAAAAAAGTTAACGATGTTTGTATTTTGTTTATGCTTTAAATTCTCTTACATGTAGTTTTTTGCGAAGAAATATTTCATTTATTTTTAAAGTAAATGCCAGTAAAAGTAAATATAATTTTAAATAGTAATATAAAGCACCTAATATAAATAATTTTGATTTCTAATTTTTTATTTATATTTTCCTTCCATTACACCGCTTGCTTAGAAAATTAATAAATGTTTATATTTCTTGATTTTAAAATTTGTTGTTAATATAACAAATTAGTTCTGTAATTATTATTATTTAATAAACCAACGTTGCCAAAAAAATTAGAGACTATTATTTTTAAATAGGATCTAATATAAATAATTTTGACATCTAATTTGTTGTTTATATTTTGCTACTACTTAAAAAAATATTTATATTAAATGATTTTAAATTTTGTTGTTAATAGGTATAACAAATTATTACTGTTATTATTATTTATTAAACCAGTCTTTGCTTAAAAACATTAAAAATAATTTTCCTACATCCAAAATAACAAGTATTATTGCAGTGTAACAACAGAATATTAATAAAAAAAAATGCAGAATATATAGACATACTATCCCTAACTAACTAAAGCCAAACAATAATATTCTTTGCTAATATCAACTAATACAAAAATATGGCAACAGCGCCCTTCATAATGTATTTTCTGTGTAAATACTAGCACCTCAATAAAAAAAATAATGTGTCCTTATCTATATATGACTCCGCAAAAATCAAAAGATGCCGGCTTCTTTCATAGCATTGCCACCGACCGCTTTCTCAAAAAAAACCAACGTCGCCGGGCGACAACTAAAATTCAGTTAATATTTTATTATAATCGATTCTGACGAATAAATGAATTTCATAAATGAATGAATTTTATAAATGAATGAATTTTATAAATGAATGAATTTTATAAATGAATGAATTTTATAAATGAATGAATTTTATAAATGAATGAATTTTATAAATGAATGAATTTTATAAATGAATGGTTTTGCTGCGAATTGCTAGAATACAATATTTCAAGGCAGATGACGGATCTATTGAATAATTTTTATTCGAATAGTTTTCAACGAATGTTTTCTTACTAACTATCGAATTATTCGAATGAATTGCAACTATCGAATGTTTCGATAGTATCCATTCGATAGTTCCCACTACTAGTAACAACACATTTTGTATGTATATAAAAATATAAAAACTTAATTGAGCCCTTACGAATTTATCATTATCACTACTATCACTATCCTCACTGACAATGTCGTCTGAACTCTCCTCTCTATCTTCTAAACCATAACTTTGCAAAACTACAGAGTATGCTTTTTTAACTGAAGCCCTAAAGGCACTCCTCTTCCGTTTGCCGTATTCTCGGTATTTCTTTTGTAATTCATCTGCCATTTGATTGATATCAACATAAGTTTTGTCAATATTATTCTCCAAATACTAAAAACAGCAGTTTGTTAGAAAATTCAAGCAGGTTTCGTTGAAATATTTGAAAACTATTGTAATTATTTCTTCTTCAAAAATTATATAATATTGCGAAATATTATATATAGATAATATACTAGTTTACAGAGTTATAAAATTTATTATTTACCTTCTGCACTCTTGGGATAATAGATGGATCAGACATGTATGGCATTTTCACAACAGAGTTAACAGCTTTTTCTTGGGACTGTCCGGTATTATGATCACTAATTGGTATTATTTCTACTCCAGGATTAACAGTATTATTAATTTTTCCCATTAGAAATAAGCCTTCGGTGTTTAATGGACCAAATGTTTGTTATTTTGCATTAATTAAAATAGTAAATTCTATGGAGTCTAAAAGGAGGAGGCGAATCGAACGCAAAAATTATGGGCCCAGTTTTTGAGATCTAAATGAAGTTCGAAAATCGCCGTTAGGGGCGCTTGTGATGATTGGGATACTAGAAATACACAGCTTCTTATGGCAAGAATAACTATTTTGTTATAAATTATAGAGCCAAGTTAATATTTGGGCATATTTTTACCAGAGTTAGCTTTTAGAAACGTGGTTTTTCTAATTGAGCAATGTGCGTGGCTAAAATTGTGAATACAAAACCTTAAATTTGAGTTTGAAAAGTTAGTTAGGTTATATTAGATGCCGGTTTAATATATCCTTTTCCTAAGTTGATATTATAAAAATGTTTTATTATGTGGTTCTTTTTAGTGCATACACGACCGAAGAAACATATAAGCTGCTAAAATAAATCTTCCCTAGAACTGTTGTACAAAAAAGATAGAAGTTCCAGCAACAAATTTATCACCAGTTCAACCTTTGATTTGATGTAAACAGTAATTGTTTCTTGATGAGAAATGCGAATGAAATAGTTTATGGTGTGATTGTGTTAGTGTTTTATTAATAGTTTTGTTGATGCAGTTTAAAGGTTCATAGTTTTTCATTAAAACATTTGAAATTGACATGTTTACATGCAGTTTAGTGTGATACCATTTTAATAAACATTAAAATCTTTCGAACTAGTAGTGGTTTTATGGCGATTGACAGATTGAATAACGAAAATTAAGAGTATTTTATCAGGAATAACTTAATCATAAATGGAAACTGAAGACGAACGTTACCATTGCACCCTTTGATCGGTGTTATCTATTCCATAACTTTTTATAGCTGAAACTAGAGAGTAGGTATATTGAGCTGAAACGTTTCCTGTGTTCAATAGCGTTTTTTCTAGCGTTGAATTGTAAGTTTTAATGTCATTAGCAAAGTTTTGCAAATTGTCACTGTTTCGTAGACAATTAAATTCAAGATATATTATATTCAATGTCACCTAATAATTGTAAAGGTTTTTCTATTGATATTCACTTTATTAATATAAGGTAGGTTTGTAAATAAAATATTAATGAATAAATAATGTACTCAGTTTATTTCAAAAGCACAAAAATACAGAGTTGTGAATATGTATATACGCTGACTTATTTCATCATATAAATATTTATTTAGCAATATTAATACATTACAACTTTTGTTTCTATTAACTAATTCCACTAAATTTAATAAATAAAATATACAATATATAAATTTAATATACAATTTAGCACTTAGATATTAAATATCTATATGTACTATGCCAAAAAATAAAACAGGAACATCATATTATATCAAGAACACAAAAAATTACAATTTAAAAAAAATGCATTCTAAAAAAATACCTAGCTACAATATACCTACATATTAATTTAAAGAGCTTATTCATATTCATAAAAACTATTCTAAATGGTTTATATACACAATCAAAAGTATCAACCACAATACAATAATTTTCAAATTATTTCTTATTATTCCTCAATGAAAAAGCGTCTTGCGACGGCTAGTCAAAAATCTAAATAATTTTTATAATAAATTTACAATCTGACATATGCAAACTATTTTTCAAATTTGTGAACATAGTAACTCTACTGTCTGTAACATCAACTGGCACATTAGTAATATCACGAAGAATTTCATTCTCATTCTCAAAGTTAGGTTCTGAAGTTTGATTTTCAACATGATTAATAGGCAGACCTTTTACTTTTTTTGAATTAGAAACTTTTTCAGTTGCTTCACTCCTTACACATGGTGGTTTCCTCTTTCTTTTATTACTAGAGAAATATGAAGGCAGGTTAGGAAAAATTCTTGGAATTGAACCCTCCTTTAATAATGGTCTACCCCGCTCAATTCTACTGATAGTTCCGTCAGTTAATTTGATCTCATAATGAGTCAAAATATCTTCATCTAGAAAATGTAGTTCACAAACAGCATCTTTGCTGCTAAGTGTCTTGTCTGATCTGGGTATCGCCTTTTGCCACTGCTGTAGCAAGCTAGGATCCTAATAAAAGATATATAATTGTTAAATAAAATAAAAAAAAAACATTTTTCACTATTAAAGCTGTTATTTTGAGAATACGATCTTGAAGTATAAATATTTAATATTCACTTTCAATAGCACTGTTCAAACTGTGGTTAATATAGGTACATGTCAACAGGTAATTTTAGCACCTAGTAAGTATTAAATTATTTTAATTTTATAACAAGGCCTCCTAGGTTATGTTATACACATGTTGATTTTAGGCTATATTTCCTATTAATTTGGTTTATAATTTAATCTGTACACTGACAGTATATAATTTTAATGTTTTTCTTAACATCTATCCATAATTTTTATAAATAAATAGTCATACTACTTACATTAGGAGCTTTGAAAAGGCTTGGGTTTCTTTCACCCCGTTCTTTATTTGCCTTGTTTTTATTGGGATTCCCACTTGTACAGCCAGGTACAAAGCAATTTCTACCACGACTCATTGTTGTACTGCTAAAAATTCAGTAAATTAACTATAAATTTTATTAAAAACACAATTAAATCGTATACTAACAATGAAAATGTAGTATCCCAGTCGATCGCAGTGCCTCTGCTGTCAAACCGAGGAAGCTGCTTAAAAGTGGGGACAGAAATTTCAAATTTGCCCATTGCCGATAAATCTCCTTTTTTAAGCCCTCCATAGTAAATTCACAACGAGATTGGACGCATTTAATGTTGTGACCACAGAAAAAAACACAGGATGTTCGAAATGTCGTCTGTCATCTACAGTAGGAATGAGCCACACATTTCTGTTTTTGCTATGATTTTATATAAGTTTCATATAATAGTATTTCATAGATAAAAATAGTACTGCCATACTCACTATATTGCCAGAAAATATGATCTAAAATTGGGAAGACATCGTTAGCATAGAGAGGGCACTGGAGGGCACTCTAGTTAAGGCCTGGTTTTTCTGAACAGATCGGCCCGAAATATTTCGGTGATATAGCACGAAAAGTTCGTTAGCGTTTCCGGCCAAACCCAGTATATGTGTAGGACGCAGTAGTGGTTTGTCTAGATCGGAACGAAATTTCGGAACGAAATTTCGGGAACGTATGCGGACAGCAGTTCGTCTGTATCAAACTAGTTTGATTTGAACGATCTCAAATCGGCGTAGTTCGCCGAACTTGTTGGGAAGGTTAGGTTGTGAAAAAAAATTGTGAATTTCGGCGGATTTATTTTTTATAAAATTACTATTTACAGTATGTGTGTAAAGTGAATCAATAAATTAATTAAAAAATTCAGTGTTTATTTCTCGAAAACATATTTAGACCCGTCGATTTTCTTTTCTTGTCACGCATTTGAATAATAAAATTATTCACGGTGTTTCTAAAAAGTTGGGCTGTTTATTTATTCTTTATGTAATTTATTTCATTCTTTATGTAATTTAGTACAGTATGGAATAGTTGTGGAGTTAAACGGAAAAAATCTTTGAACTTTGTATCATTATCCGAAAGATGCTTTAACACTAACAGTTTGTAAGCACCTTCTTTGTCCCTATTCTCAAACATTTTCGGAACTCTATTATGTTCAGAACATACTTCTAATAACGCATAGTACTCATCACATCATCATCATCTGTTCTTCTTCTAAAATCCTTAGCGATAAAAAATCCATTTAGAAGCGTACAAAAAAAGAACCCTAGGTACGTACAACGCAAAATTTTAATGATTGAATAGACCGAACTGAAATACCTAATCATAACGAATTTAATCTCCGACAAACCACACGCAGACGAAACTTCGGAACGAACTGAGTTCGGTAAATTAGAGCGTTCTGTACGGAAATATTCACCGAAATATTTCGGGCCGATCTGGTCAGAAAAACCAGGCCTTTAGCTAGTTTTAATTATGGTCACAGATTATGGTTTTAATCAGAGACGATAGACCTTCGATAGACTTTCTCCATATCTCTGGTTTGAAACTGGCACATATGCGCTTTTGACAGTTTTGACATTCGTAGGGTGACGTGTCAATGGCAATGGCCTAGGTTTGTTTTGTTTGTTTGTTTACTTTTCATAAGAATTATAAAATTCTGTAAATGCTAACTGAAAACTGTTCTAAAATGAGTAATTTTATGTAATGTTACCTAATGTCTTTCAGCCCATTCGAAAAAAGTCTAATTTCCTGATGACAAACATCAGAACATTCATATTTTTAGATTTAGAAACAACTGGATTGCCCCAATTCGAAAATAATAAAACTAAAATTACAGAATTAAGTTTAGTAGCAGTTCAGGAAGGTCATATAAGCTTGGGGGTTATACCCAGGGTACAAAATAAACTTAACTTGTGCTTCAATCCATGGAAGTTAATATCGCCTGAAAGTGAACAAATTACAGGTGAATTGAGATATTGTACTTTGATTTCTTAAATGAATTATATTATTACTTTTTAGGATTATCTAACTGTATGCTCGAAAGTATGAGTCCATTTACCTCAAAGACAGTCGATTGTATTAATTTATTTATTGAGCACAACCCGAGGCCTATCTGTTTTGTTGCTCATAATGGAAATCGTTTTGATTATCCAATATTACAAGCTTCAATTAAAAATACTAATGCTGCTCTAATAGACGGTAATAGTTACTGGTAAATGTTTTATAAAAAATTCCACTAATGTTAATATATTTACAGATATTTACTGTATCGATTCACTAGAAATGTTTAGAAATTTAGAACTTAATGACACAACAACAAAATCAAAAATAGAAAGCGAAACTATTCCAACTAATAGCACAGAGAGCTTTATGTTTCAAGATAATTTTGATGATATACTTTGTAGAGCAGTAGATGAATATGAGCAATCTGTTGAGAAGGCGCTAAAAGTTCAAAAAATTAATGAGACTACACCAAAAAGACCTATTGAAAATCCAAGCCAGATCTCAATAAGTCCCAGTTCTCAACAGAATGAAATAACAAGTAAAAAAGTAAAAGTTACTTCAATAAGGAGACAAATAAATTATGGGTAATCTTGTTTTACGTATTTTTATTAATCAAATAAAGATAATGTATAGATTACATGATTTAAATAAATATATTGTTACGGATTCCGTGGGTCCACTATTTAAACTCACGATAAAATACTTAACGAATTTATTTTCTCACTTTATACACAATTACTAACTTATAACACACAACAAACTAACTATTTATAAGATTCCTTCACCAAATTGTCCGATTTTCAATTTCCACGCGGTATATTCAAATTTCAAAAACTGTCTCAGTTGACGATGGCTCTGGCTTATATACTCTATTGACTGCTTCTCGAAATTTCCCCAATTCTCGGAAAGCGTACTTCTTCATACCAGACAATTCTATTGTCTGATTCCCTTACTTCTCGACTTGACTAAAAGATGGCGCCTGAAAAAGTCTTTTAATTTCTGGCGGATACGTTGCGGTTGTGCAGGCAACCAGTAATACATTTTTAATTTCTGGCGGATAGGCCATTTTTCTTGACATTGCCCCCTTCTCAAATTTGATCGTCCCGATCAAGGTTTCCTGTCTGGTATCTCTTCAATCGATCCAGATGAACCACTTTCATCTTACTTCTAGGGCTGCGTTGAATCCGGTACACAACATCATTTATCCTCTTGATGACTGTATAAGGACCTTCCCATGCTGGAGTTAACTTTGGGGACCTTCCTTTCTTGCGCTGTGGATTATACAACCATACTCTATCGTCCTGTTGAAATCCCGGAGAATTAGCTCTGAGGTCGTAACGAGCTTTCATCCGGTCACTGGCTAGCGTAATCTTACTTCTCACGGCCTTATGAATTCCCAATAATCTTTCCTTCCTAACGACTCTTTCGAACGACCGTCCAACGTTATCTTGTTCCATTTTTCCTCCAGATCGAGTACTTGGTCCTTGTCTAGCTGCGCAAATCTTACAACGTTGACACCATTTCTTAACATCTTCACAATAATCCACCCAGTAAAAATGGTCTCTCAGCTTGCTCAGGGTCTTGTTTACCCAAAGATGGGCTCCAGTTTTACCACCATGAATTTCTTCCAATACCTGGATAACTTTCTTCCTTGGTACCAGTAACTGAGTTGTTACTGTCCTGCCATCCGCACTTTCCCACGTGCGCTTTAACAATCCATTCTCAATCACCAGTGAATTCCACTGAGCCCAGAGAGCTTTGAAAACGAGCCCTCTGTCCGCAATATCCTGCCACGGTGGTCTCTCGCCGTTACCTTCCTTGAGCCGTAGTATTGCTCCGATGTCTGGATCTTCCATTTGATCTTTCCTCAATTGTATCGTCGTCCATGGTTCGTCAGTTCTAAGCTTAAAATTCCTTATTCTGATAGTGCTTTCGCGATGTTTCATTTTCTTGTCCAAGGTAGCTCGTCGTCGATCTAGGTCGTTGTCGATAATTTGTACCCGTCCTACACGGCACTCAGAGGTTTTCTCCATTTTCCCGAACACAGTCTTCTTGGTATCACCAGGTATCATCACAATTTTCGATGATCTTTCTTCCATATTTCCTGGTCTCTTCTCTTTAGATACAGAAAATTCCTCATTTCCGATTTTCAGGATGTTTCTATGGTGATCAAACGAAAAACCATGTTGACTGATCACATCCATACCCATGATAAAATCATCTTCAATGTCTGCCACTAAAACGCTATGCCGAAACTTCAAATTCCCTAACTCCAATTCCATGAAAGCCTCTCCCCGTACAACGGCCATTTCCCCCGTAACTGTACGTAAATACACTCTTCTTCTAAGAGGCATCATCTTCAATCCTTGCACTGAGTTAGTCCGCACCAACGATACCATAGCGCCTGTGTCCACAGTCATTCGAATTCTTCTACCATTGACCTTCCCGTTGATCACCAAACTGTCAGCGGTTTTTCCTAGACTCCTAACGGAAAACATCCTAGGGGTTCTGTTTTCTTCAGCCAATACTCGCTCATTAGTGTTGATTTCCTGGTGCCTATGTCCTCTCGATGGTAAACGGAATCGCATTTGGACGCGGCAATCCCGTTTGATGTGGCCATTCCTGCCACATCTATAGCAACTTATGTCCTGGGATCTTCCGATGTGCCGATGTTCTCTTAATGATGAACGGAATGGCATTTGGATGCGACAATCCCGTTGGATATGGCCATTCCTGCCACATCTATAGCACCTAATATCCTGGGATCTTCTCTGGTTCTCTGTCTGGGTGTTGTTGACTCTCTTGTTCACTAGTAATTCACATAGTTTATTAAACATCTCCTCCAAACGTATGTGAGAACTCTTTGGCTATTCCTCAACCGTTACCGAGCCTATCTTCGGTTTAGGAATGGCGCTAAATGCAGCTTCTATTTCCAGCGCCCTGACGAGTACTTCGCTGCTGGTAGAAAATCGCGATATTTGCAGCGCCCTCTGTAATTCATTGTCCCTCAGTCCGCTGATAAAGCACTGAGCAGCGAGTTCCTCCCTAAATCCTTCCGGTGCTTCTGGATATGCCAGGTGTACCAGCCGACGTAAGTCTGCTTCAAATTCCTGCAGACTCTCTCCGGACCTCTGCAGGCGTGTCTTGATCTGTGCCTGGTAAAGTTGGCGTCGATGTTGGTCGCCATATCTTCTGTCCAGTGCAGCGACCAAAGTTTGGTATTCCTGCTGTTGGGCTGCAGGAATAGTTTGCAACAGTTCCAGGGCAGGGCCACGTAGCGCGATGACAAGTGCCGCTGCTTTCTCTTGGTCAGTCCATCCGTTGGCAGCGGCGGCTGCTTCAAACTGGCGGTGGTACATCGTCCAGGTGGTTTGTCCATCGTAGGTCGGGCCCTTGAGGTTCGCAGTTCCATGAACGCCAGGTGTCTTTACTTGTACCTTGGTCTTCTGTAGGTCCATCTCTAATTTTTCCATTTTCTGCTGAAGGCGTTCCTCAAGATCTTCTACGGCTTCTTGAAGGTGGATGTCTTGCCTTTTTCAGTTCTTCAAAGTTCTTCTTAAATCGGTTTTGATCTTCTAATTTTTCTTTCTGGCGACGCACTTCTAAATCTTCAACAATTTTCTCCAACCGTTCTTGTCTAATTTCTTGATTTTCAAGAATTTTCTGAAGCCGGTCCTGTTCTTCTTGTTTGTCGTGCTCTCGTTGAACTTTGAAATCTTCCAGAATTTTCTCAAGCCGGTCCTGTTCTTCTTGTTTGTCTTGTTGTCGTTGAGTTTTCAAATCTTCTAAAATTTTGTCTTGCCGGTCCTGTTCTTCTTGTTTTTCTTTCTTTTGACGCGCTTCTAAACTTTCTAACATTTTTTCTTGATTTTCCATAAGTATTTTCTGTAGACGGTCTTGTTCCTCTTCTTTCTCTCTTCTCATATTCTCCATAAAATCGCCCAATAATTTGCTTACTTCCTCCATTTTCTTCGCTTGCTCCCTTGTACCAACCATAGAAATACTTAAATTCGGTCTAAAAATCTTCCAATCCACTTAATTTCTTCTTAAAATCCTCTTGAATCGCACTTCCGACACCAATTGTTACGGATTCCGTGGGTCCACTATTTAAACTCACGATAAAATACTTAACGAATTTATTTTCTCACTTTATACACAATTACTAACTTATAACACACAACAAACTAACTATTTATAAGATTCCTTCACCAAATTGTCCGATTTTCAATTTCCACGCGGTATATTCAAATTTCAAAAACTGTCTCAGTTGACGATGGCTCTGGCTTATATATTCTATTGACTGCTTCTCGAAATTTCCCCCATTCTCGGAAAGCGTACTTTCTTCATACAGACAATTCTATTGTCTGATTCCCTTACTTCTCGACTTGACTAAAAGATGGCGCCTGAAAAAGTCTTTTAATTTCTGGCGGATACGTTGCGGTTGTGCAGGCAACCAGTAATACATTTTTAATTTCTGGCGGATAGGCCATTTTTCTTGACAATATAATGATAATAATGCCAAATGCAAAAATAGGAAAAGAAATATATTATAATTAAAATTAGCAAATTATTTTGCTAATTCTCTACATTCTCTTGCCCTGTTAGACCTGTTATTAATTGATAACATTATACAGGGTCTGGCAATGGTGCGTCGGGCATCTGTAGCTCGTAGAATAAATAAAACTTGGGAACTTTGTTTAAGTACAACCTAAAGTGTGTACGAGGATGCATTTCAGGAAAATAGTTTAACTTGTATAGGGTGGCTCAAGAAAGTGTGAGTAGACCCGGATGATTTTTTTTTAATTTTTAAATTTTTTAAATCAAATCAAACCAAACACCTGTATATTATTGCATTTTTGGCTTCCTTTCAGATCACTTTACATAATCCTAACATATGAGTAATAAATAATAAATAAATAAATAAAAAATATATATTTATCAGCCTTTGAAAAAAAAAGTATTAAAAATACAAGAACTGCCATGAAATCAAAAATATATTAGATATGTACTTTAATATGGTAATCGTAAATCATACAGGATGTTCAAAATTCTACGCCAAACTTTCTCAAATATAAAATATTTTTTCTTTCTTTTTTTCGAACACCCTGTATATTATCTTTTTAGTAGATGGAGAATTAAACAATGAACATTTTTTGTGTTTATAGTATTTCAAAATTCATATGGCATTTTCCACAGTAAATTTTTATCAAAGCCAACCAGTGATTTTTCTCTCTTAATTGTACTGTTGAAAGAGCCATATCAAATATCTCTTCGTGTATCTGCGAAACCATTAAAATTTTTGAAATACTTGTTGTAATGTTGGTTTTTATCTCTCCATATAATAAAAAATGAAATACAGCGTTTTCCATTTAAAAAAACACAGAAAATTTATTTTATATTATAAAGTTTGGCCGCAGGTTTGGCGTAGAATTTTGAAGACCCTGTATGATTTAGGATTACAATATTTATAGCAAAGTATAGACCATCTAAAGTAAATACCTAATATAGTTTTGATTTCAGGACAGTTCTTGTATTTGTAATAATTTTTTTAAAGAAGGTTAAAAAATATAATTTTTTATTTATTTATTAAAATCTCTGAAATTATCGAAATATATCAAATCTTAGGATTATGTAAAGTGATCTGAAAGGAAACCAAAAATGCAATAATATACAGGGGTTTAAATTTTAAGAAAGTCTGAAAAATATATATTTTTTTATTTATTTATTAATAATCTCTGAAACTATCGAAATATATCTACTCATATCTTAGGATTATGTACAGTGATCTGAAAGGAAGCCAAATATGCAATAATATACAAGGTGTTCCATTTAAAAAAATCATCTGGATCCTTTGTTGAGCTTGATCCTACTTTCTTGAGCCACCCTATAGAAGTTAAAATATTTTCCTGAAATACATCCTAGTATCTACATACTTTAGGTTTGCACTTAAACAAAATTCCCAAGTTTTTTATTCTAGGAGCACTATTGCCGGATCCTGTATAACAAAAATTTTATTGAATAGAATCAGTTTTAAATTGGTGGACGTGTATGAAAGACTAACCAAATGCAAGGCTGAAGGAGCGCATATGGCTGATAATGACGTAATGATGTTGTTAATGTGTGCCGCTACACTAGGGGACAGATTTGTAAGCTGGGCCAATCAGAATGCTCGAAAATTTAACGAAATATCGCCGATGACACCAGGGAAGAAAATAGTCTAGTCAAAATATATTTTAAACGTTTTTACACTTTTTATTATTGTAACATTATACATGATTTTAATTAGACACAGGTTTTATATAAATATATTTTTTGTTCCCTGATATATTTTATAGATTGCTCGATTTCCTACTGATTATTAAAATTTGTTTAATTTTTATGTGGTTATTAAGGGTAATAAAAAGTATTAACATAATACCTTATATTTTTAAAACTTCCTAATTAATATTATTTTGACAAATAAAATACTTAAATAACATACCATAAAAAATGAAGGATTTAATGAAATAAATATTAGAACGTAGAACACACACACAGTTAAATCACATGAGAGCCAAACCTGGTAAGATAAATAAAAAAGAATGTGTATGTGTAATACTTCAGGCAACATTCTTTAAAAACATAATTAGATATATGATATAAAGTTTGTTTTCCACACTTCAATAATCTTATCCTTATAGTCATTTCTAGTCAAAGCAAAGAAATCTCCATCACAGCTAAACTTACAGTAAGCTATCGAACCTTCCGAATTAAGTGTATACAAAGGTCTACCTTCCATGATATCAATTACTTTTACTTTTCCATCAAGTCCACCCGATAGTAAATAATTAGCCTTTGGATGCCAATCCACACAGGTGGCATTATCGTGAGCATGATAATGTTGTTGAATTTTTTTATTTCTAATGTCATAAATTCGAACCGAACCTGAATTCATAGCTACAGCTATAGTATTATTATTGGAATGCAAAGCAATACTGTTAGGACTATTTTTAACCCCATGAAATGAATGAACCAACTCTCTGCTAACAGTGTCCCATATTCTCACAGTTTTGTCGTCGGAGCATGACACTATCATATTTCCAAGAGGTGAAAATTTTGCTGAACGAACCTATAACCAGAAGATTTAGAAATATTATAAATTTAACTATATTAAATACTATATACCCAATTATTGTGTCCCAAATAACTAGCAATAAACTGTCCTGTCTCAGTATCCCAAAGTTTTATAGATTTATCATTTGAACCGGTTATCAACTTTAAACCGTCAAATAAAAAGTTTACAGTGTTTACCGATGATGTATGAGCTATAAACTCTCTTGATTTGCCTAAAATAGTTGGAACCCATAGGCGTACTGTGTGGTCTTTGGAACTGGAAGCTAGTAAGCTACAATTAGGAGAAAAGTCTACACAGGTCACTACATCCTTGTGGCCAGAAAACTGGTACGTAGGGCCATTTCTTGTAGAATCATTCCATTTAGTCCAAATCATAACATTATGATCTTGAGATGAAGTTGCGAATTGTTGATTATTTGGATTAAAACTAATACCAGTTATTGGTTTTTTATGCCCCTGATATATTACATGAACTTTAGGATTATCATTCGTTATACTTATTTGAGACATATTTTATTTTTTTTTTTTGATACAATTAACTTAATGAATCCAATTATACAGAATATTATAATCTACAAAATTCAAAACAATGCGAATACATACAAATAAGACGGTTATTTTGAATTTGATAATTGAGGTTAAGTTATATTTTGTGATGGCTCCTTCCATATATCAGTTCTATGGATATCACTGTTTGTCTTCTATGGCTTTCTGTGGAGAGAAGCAATCGGATTATCATATATAATTATAATAGCCATAGACAGGGTAGAACGCAACTAAAATTTAGTAAAACCAGAGATATAGCAATCGAGAGAATGCGTTTGGGCAAGTGTCTTTGGGCAAGTGTGAATGAACAAACTTCTATAGTCATTAAAAAATTGTTATACCATGGTGGTCATCATATTCGCGCTTGACTACAGGGGAGATCAGAGAATAAGTCCATTAAAGGAAGAGACAGCGTAAAAACTATTTGTTGCATGCAAAAAACCATTTTTTACGTGTAAAAAACTATTTTTTGAGTGTAACAAAACTATTTTTACGTGTAGAAAGCTATTTTTACGTGTAAAAAACTATTTTTACACATAAAAACCATTTCTTACGTGTAAAAAACTATTTTTACACATAAAAACCATTTCTTACGTGTAAAAAACTATTTATTACGCGTAAAAAACTATGTTACACGCAAAAAAAATATTTTTTATGCGTAAAAAAATATTTTTTTAATATATGTATTACCTTTTCAACTAACCTATCACTACACTTTTTTTCAAACATTTCCTTCAAATCCTTCAATTTAATAGCTGCTAGTAAGAAGTTTCACTTCAAATATGCGCACATAATGCACACACAATTTTTTTTCAATATTCCAACATTTTTAAACTTTTAAATGTGCATATTAAAAATCAAAACACTAGTGTTGCCACAAGTAGATTTTTACTATAGCCTTAAAAGTTATACAGAGTGACTTTTATAATAAAACGCAATTAATTTAACTTATATATTTCCCGCAATTGCCTTAAACATATCGCCAGACAGGATACTATCCAAAGCTTTTTGTACAGTTGGATCTTTCAAAATGGGCGCCGAGGAATCTTTAGCGACCGGTTCCGGAGCCGTTATGGAAGTGGGGATGACTGGTTCCGGATTTTTATTCAAAATGTTTAGTATTCTGCTCTGAAGTTCCGTCTGTTTTGAAACGGATTCGTTCGAATCCTGCGTGACACCTTCGGCAACTTCGTGCTCGTATTGTAGATCTTTTCTTTCTTGGAGATACTTTAAAATGCGGTCGTATTGAGATGATGTCAACATTCTGTTCTCGGCTAATAGATTAATGAGCATCTAAAAATATAACAATAATTAGCTAGTTATGAAAAATTATGAACTTAACTTTGAATTATGATTGTGATATAGCGGATGATCGAAAAAAAGCGCCAATGTGGCCTGGCACGAAAATTTCTGTCGAGCCGACTTTTATATGTGATTTATTATAGAATTAGAATTTAGAATTAGAATAAGTGGGAGGGGGTTAATCTCTGCGACCTTAGAGATCTATTGTGTCCCCCTTTCTTGAGTTATAACTCATCATACAGTCCCAGGACTTCCTACGGAGACCCGTGTCCCTCACAGTCGAGGAGCTACGACCCAGGCCGGGTAGACGAAACCGTAGCTTGTGTCGCCTGTTGGGTTTAGAGGTAGCAGGTAGGCTCCCGACCCTTGATTTATTATAAATTGCCATAAAAAGTGCCAAAAAAATATATTTCATTTAATAAAAACTAGTTTTCAAACTTAAATCTATAAAAAAGAAAAAACTAATTCATAATACAGGGTGCTACAAATTCGAGGTACGAGCATTGGTATCTCGGTAACCGAAATAGAAACGAACATGGTTAAATTGGGGCAAATTTGCGCTTTGGGATGTTCACCAAGATGCCAGCAAAAAAGTTTTAAAGTTCAAGGATTGCTGAGTTTTTTGAAAAAAAAAACCGGATTTTTTTGAAAATGAATTTTATTTTTCCTTGTCGTTACTTTTAAGAAAATCAAAAAACTAATTGCACGTTCTCATAGCCCCTTATTAGGGCTATCTGATAGTATTTTTAGGTTTCTAAATTAGCTGATAATTTGTGAGATACAGAAGCTAACGTAATTTTTTTAAATACGGACCTGCATTTTTTATTTCTGATTTTGAAAGAACTCTCCTAAGTACAATAATGTGCCACACTTGATACTTTTTGTTTTGTTTTGGGTACCTTAACAACAACAAAACTATTTAATTATTATTTAAAATAATTTCAAATCCGACTCTGTCATCAGCGCCAATTAACATTGAATAAGGAAAATCGAGCCAATTAAAGGATTCAAATTAATTATATCCAGCTAAGCAATTTAAAGATATTATTTTTAACATTTTTATTGTGAATTTGAAATCTCAGTGAGCGATCTAATAATAATATGCGTAATATTCATCGTAGTTATTATAAATTTCTACAAACTAGTTTCTAATGATTTACATGTTCGAAAGGGTTACCACCCTCCCTATTGCACAAATTTATTTTTCGTTCAATTTTATTTATGGCTCTTTGACCTTTCTTCTTATACTTCTGAAAGCATTTGTACTCTTTACTGTAAATGTTGAGATGTATTGATTTCACTTTTACAAATGACGTGAAGTCACGTGAAGTAATGTGTTCATTTGTATATTATTTTTTAGTATTTTACTGCATTTATTTGATTTTCCATATTCAATGTTTTACCCCACGTTATTGTTAAGTTTGAAAGCTTATCAATATTGTAACGATGAATAGATTAAATTTAAAAAAAAACAGAGCCGGACTTGAAATTAGTCTAAAAAAATTGTGTTCAAATGTCCGAAACAAAAAAAAATATTAAGTGTGGCATATCATTGTACTCAGGAGACCGAGTTTTTTCAAAATCTGAAATAAAAAATGCAGGTCCGTATTTAGAAAAATTAAGTTGGCCTCTGTATCTCATAAATTATCATCTAATTTGAAAATCTAAAAATACAGATAACCCTTATAAAGGAGCTATGAGAATGTGGAATTAGTTTTTTGATTTTCTTAAAAGTAACGACAGGAAAAAATAAAATTCATTTCCAAAAAATCCGTTTTTTTTCCAAAAAACTGGGCAATCCTTGAAATTTTTAAAACTTTTTTGATGGCATTTTGGTGAACATCCCAAAGCGCAACTTTGCCCCAATTTAACCATGTTCGTATCTATTACGGTTACCGAGATACCAATGCTCGTACCTCGAATTTGTAGCACCCTGTATAGACAGTCCAATACCACCGTAATTCCGTTATTAGCACAGCCGTAGATTGTATGGGAGGGGGGAAGTTCACCGCGACTTTATACCGATTTGGTCATCGAAACTGTGCGGTCTGGATTTCAACGTGTAAAACAGTGATGTAGACAGCTTAATGGAAAATCAAATGTATTAAAAAGAGATAAAAATTGGGTCGACACATTTCTTCTATGCGGTATTGCCGGATTTTGCATCAAAATTTCAAACCGCACAAATAGGCGTTTACGAAAAATGTTGCATCTAGGGTTGGAACTTTATTTTTCACTATTAGTTACTTATTTTAAAACAGCTGTAATATATTATATTTAGTTTAGATATATTATCATCATTTCAGTAGTATACATGAAAGTTTTTAAAATAGCTTATATTTTTCTAAACCCATTTTCCTACAAACGTAAAAAAACCGGCAACACTGTTTTTGATTTTGTCTCTCTGTCTGTCAACCGGTCATATATATTATTCTCTGTCACACGCATTAATATCCACCCCACATAAATTGGATGACCAGCAGGGTAGATGTAGATCATACATATAGACCTTATAGAACATACATATCACATAGTCTCAGGGCTGTAACAAAAGCCAGTATCCTAAACATTTTTTTTTTAAAGTTTTACAGAAGATAGTTCTTCATCTCCGATATCAGTCGTACCAAAGCTTATGGCACGAATGGTTATCGTCTCGGCGCACTCAGTGATGATGTGTTCTGGTGTTCCCCATTTTCCCTACAGAATCTGCATTCGCCAATAGCGCCTTAGCTTTAATCTCCTATAAAAAAAAACCCTGGATAATCCGAAGATTGTTCTTACTTAAATCAAGAAAAATCTTTGATCGTAAGTCCTAAGTCTAATTTCTTCGAGCGTCTTAGACTGCTGGAGGATTCCCATTCCAGGTTACGGATGGAGTCTTCCAGATTCTTGAGTTCAGCTATAAGTTGGTTTCCACTTTGGAAGCAGCTCTCGTTAGCGGAGCATGCGCTACTTTTCTAGCTAGATCGTTTGTTTTTTTACTGTCTTCTTGATTTTATCTTCCATAGGCATGGCAACGATCAATATATTTCAATGAAACTCGTCATAAACTCCTTATTGGAATAAGTACGCATATCAGACGTTTTCTAAGAGTTGATAACAAATAGCACAAATCCCACAAAAGTCACAAAACTGTACCTTGAACTCGCTGATACCGTCTACACATATGATATCACCGCATAAACTGGTTTGCGCAAACTAAAATCTTTAGCAGCGCGACGTTTACGCAGGCCGCGCTTGTTGGTTTGTGCGTGTTACCGTTTTACCGTCTACACACAGCGAGTTCCTGATACAAACAGGTTTGTGCAGGTAAGCTTGTGGTAAAGCTTGTACGTGTAGCCGGCCCTTAAAATGCTATACCAGTTTTCCTAATTTAATTTGCCACTCTCTTTTTATTATCTTTCTCTATGTTCCCCATACACTACTAAAAAACTCCCCCTCTTCTCTCCGGGTTTATTTATACTTATTTTTCGGGTTATCGTCGTATCGTGTTATTTTTTTTGGTGAGCTAGTTTTTGGTGGGCTAGCATTCAGAAGAGTAGGAGGACTTTATTTTCTCTGTCTAATATGTTCAGCTTCTCTAGACATTTTTTTGACCAAATTCGAATTGAGGGTTACTGAGTTAATCGCTTTTAAGGCTGCTTGACTATCGGATAAGATGGATATTTCTTGTTTCCGATAGTTCCTATCTACAATAAGTTGTACGCATCTTTCGATAACGTATATTTCTGCCTGAAGGATTCTGGGGTAAGTGCCTATTGATTCGGAGTATTTAGTTTTTTGCCCAAATACTTCTATCCCTGTTCCTGCTTTAGTTTTGGAAGCACCAGTATACCACGTTATGGTATGGTCTTTAACTATTGAGCAAACGTTTCTCTCTACCTTTTTTTTTGCTTAATACTACAGTGAGGTGTTTCACACACAATTGTACATTCTTGGTATATCATCCACTAGGAGTTGGAGGAGCGAAAGAGTTGAAGGATTTTTCCTTTTCACCAGCAAAATGAAAAAATCCTAACCTAATCTAACGTTCCAAGCTCACGAGCAATACCCCCAGTAGTGTTTCCGTCGATGACAATCCTAATCATTGTCGTATTGGCATATCTACCAATGACAATGCGCAGTGGTGTTAGGTCTAGATGACCTCCATTACCGCTGTTGAGTACGTTCTTATAGCTCCTGTGATGCAGATGGATGCCAGTCTCTGCATGTGGTACAGGTTTTTCTTAGCCGTACGTTTCTTTAATTTTGTGCACCAAGCAATTGCTCCCCAAGCCCAGCCCTACTATTTATTTCCCGCCAGTCTTCTGCATATCATGAGAGCCTGATAAAAAGTGGCGCGAAAACGCTATGACCAATCAGAGAGCCGTTGGACCATCGCACAGTGCATCGAACAATGCCCAAAAATAAAGAAAGCAAGTTTCAATTTTATCCAAAAAAAAGTGCGCAATCGATGATTTATAATACAACTGAAATGATAAAAAACATAAAAAACCGGTTTTTGTTGCGGCTCATTTTTTCTCATCCGCGAAACTATTGTTTTAAATCCGTGTCTCTTATCAAGCGTATTAATAATTTTTCTTTGTGCGTGAAAGTGCGCTTAAAAAGTGGAAAGGTTTGCAATTAACCCCCTGGAAATTATGGAGGACATAGATCAAGGTGTGTACTTTAAAACAATTTATTTGCTTTGGGTGCTGGCTTACTTGTATTTTTTTCCTATGCTTAACACAATGCCATCCTAAATCAATACACATTTTTTGGTTATCTATTTTCAAATTGGATTTAAAAAAATTATGAAATATCATTTTGTAGTTTAAGCGTTTTTTTGTCGCCTAATTACTTAGAATTCATATCATGTAGAGTTTGTCTGCTCCTACTTGCTCTTTACTTTTTTATAAACGGTTTTATCTATTTTTTTTTGTTAAGTCTAGTAATTCAATTTTCACCAACTTGTTGTCGACCGACTGATACAAAATTTGGTACACACCTTTAGTTTTGATGACAATTCAATTAGTTAGGTACCTATATGTATTCAGTATCTTCAAAATTGCCACCACCACAAAATGGCGTACTACATATTATTCAAATCCAGTAAAATTGTATGGCCGTATATAGAGAATGAAAATAAAAAAATCCGGACAAGCTGATTTTTTCAGGGTTTGTCAGCGACTGTCTTCTGAGTGTAAAATTAGAAAAATCGGAAACTCACGTTTTAGTGCGAGGCGAAATAAACGAGTAAAAAGGGGGTTCAATTATGATAAATCACCCTGTACGTGGATTTTTTTGTCTTGTTTATTTTTTTCTTAGGAAAGGGTCTTATTTTATAACTTTAAAAATAAAATAATCTTTAGATTATTTTTTTCAAAAATGATCACCAGATTTTCCTAAATTACTAGTTTAAAAACTTACCAATAGGGCATTTTGAGTTAGTTTAGAATATTATATATTGTCTGAAAATATATCCTTTATGATTTTATATTAGATATTACATTTTATTTTATTTATTTTCAAAATTATGGAAATAAAAAATATCCAGAATTTTCTGACCTTAATTTTGACCTCAAATTCTTGATCTACAACCTCAAAAACCTTTGGGTACTAAATTTCAACAAAATCGGATGCATAGTAATAGCGCTATGATTTTTGTCCCGTCATCCTATATAATGCACTGTGCATCGTATCAACGGATAACGGATGCATAAAAATCAAGCTCAATGGTAATGGTACAAAAAGTGACGACAACTTAAGGAAAAACTACAGCAAAAACATCGTTTCCATATTTATAATATATCAAATTTAATGGTATATCAACTTACCTGAATAGGTTGTGGGTGTCTGTCTGCTAGGTCAGGTTTATTGGGATCCACTGGCTTCAGCTCCTCTCCTCTCATGTAAGCCTCAAAATTTCTTGATATAAGAATCAAAGCATCATCAAGAGGCATATTTCTATGTTCTATAAAAACACATATATAAGTGACAACACTAATATAAATGAAGTGATATATAGATATAATCAAGAAAAGTTGGCTTGCATATCAGCGGAAAGGTCAAAACATTACCAAATTAAATTTCTAACCGTTACATCAAGTAAACGAATTGGAAAAAAGACTTTATGTTAGTAAATGTTGCTGGTTGTTATGAGGCTTTTCCTCTGTAAATCTCAATTTACATATTTCAGTTTTCATTTCATATTCAGAAAACTTGCAAAATTAAAATTTGTTTGTGTAATATAGATATAAAAAAATATTTCTATACAGTATGTCCTCAGATTGTTTTTATAAGAGGAAAAACTTTTTTATTATTGACATTTTGAAAAAAATACATTCTATGTAAAAAAATTTTCCTTGTTCTAAAATTTACTCTCGTTTATACTTTTCCAAATATCCATACCGTTTTAGAGAAAATTAAAAAAAAAACGAAAATATGGTTGAAGTCCTAAAAATCAAAAGGCGTTTTCTATGGTAATATAATTTCCATTTTATTCTTTCATAGCTGATTATTATTATTATTCTGATTAACGTTATATTTTTTGCTGTTGTTAAAGTATATCTTCTTATATCTATAATCCATATATTATACAAGGTGAGCCGTAAGTGCAAATATTTTCAGGGCTGGTAGATCTCGATAAAAGAAACATTTTCTCTTTACCGTTTTTCAAATAGGTCCAAAATAACCGAGTTATTTTACATGCAAAATATTTTTTTTGCTTAAATTTTGAGAACCACCGGTACTCGAGTATCAAACGATTGCAATAACCGAGTGATCACTCGAGCGAAATATCGTTCGTATTTAAAAATACGGTTTTATGTCCGTCGCATGTTGTAAGTACTCGTTAATGCCAAGCGCCAAGCAGTAAGTTGCGTGTGCAGGGCACATATTCTTTCGGTGATGAATGGCAAGTAGCAAGCGACGAGCGATTCGCTTGATCGCTTGATTTAGTTTATTTCAAAGCAATGTAGGTCGTAAAATTTTGTCACTGAGATACGCAACGGATAACGTCGTATAAATTTGCTATCTACAACGTATATAGAAAATTCCCTCGGCTTTTTATCAAGTATGTCACATTAAATTTATTTCATTCTAGGATCGCTTGAGTTCGTGGCTCGTTCATAATCGAGCGATGTCGGTTATTTCAATAATCGAGTACTCGAGCGAATTTTCGCTCGAGTTATCCCATCACTAATTTTTAGGACTTAGGAACAAACATTAACTACATTTGCGACAATGTTTTTTAATATTCTCTAAAACGGTATGGAAATTTGGAAAAGCATAAACGGGATTAACCATTTTAGAACAAGCAAAATTTGCATGAAGATGCATTTTTCCCAATATGTGAATAATAAAAGTCTTTCTTTGTATAAACAACCCGGGGACATCCTATACGATTTGTGTCTAAAATTTAAATAAAAAATCGGTAATAAAATTAGCACTGTGAATTTTACTTGGCACTTGTCAAAAGTCAAAGTAAAAAAAGTGGCTGTGGCAACATTGCGACGTGCAATTATCAAACATTTTGATGAAGTACACGCCAACTTTTACTGATTTTCCTGTACCTTGAGGAATAGTGTGCAAAATATTCAAAGTCAAACTGCGATGTTCTTCATTTTGAGGCATGACCAGTATGGCATAAAGACAACCCCTACTGGAAATATTAGCCAACACTCGCCCTATGGGCACGTCTTCGTTTGGAAATAGTAAGTCCACAACGAGGCCTAGCTGCTTTAATCTTGATTCGATAAATTCCGCATATTCCCTGAAATTAAATATGTTTTACATGTGCGTAAAAATAAGTAATTATTAATATACGTCAGTGTTCGCGAGACGACAATAATTTCACAGTCGTTTTTCTCAGATGGCGGTAACGCTACTTCCGGAGGTGGGGGTCCTGCATTGTATTTATCCATAAAATAATAATTGCTGAAATGAAAAAAAATATTTATACAGGGTTGTTCACCACATACGACACGGAGTATTGTGGCTAAACGATTAGATTTTTACAAATTGTAAGTTTTGGGTTCGTTGAAGGACTACTAGAGCTACAAACTTGATTCTTATATCAAGATACGAAGTGTCCCAAATAAGTAAAAAATATTTTAGTTGTATTTTTTCAAATGGAACACCCTATATATTATTCTATTTTTAGATTCTACGATTAAAATAAAGGTAAATTTCATTAAGATTTATCGCACTTAAACCTTACCGTTTTTGAAATATTTACAATTTTGTGAAATTGCAGTGAAAAATTTAAAGCTTCATTTCTCCAAGGGTATTAAAGGTTTTAATACTAAATATTTACTGAAGATTATTTATTGCTCAGATATTATGTTACAATAATAAAAATTATATTACCTTATACAGAGTGTTAAAAAAATTATATTAAATAATTACTAGCTTTCAACGGCAATAACTTGTTTAATTTAAATGGAATACCCTGTATATTTTACGCGAATCAGATGCACAATTTAATTGTCTATCAAATTGTATCATACCAGTTTTTACCTATTTCTTCAAGTTTTCGTAGAAAATGCATTTTCTTATTATTTAGACCTCATTTATCACAATACCCATGGAATAATGATATTTTAGATTTTTTAAAGCAACATATGTACAAAATATACAGGTGGTAAAAATAATAATATTGTAAGCCCATTTGTTAATGATATCTTTGTAAAAGAAAATAAAATCTTTGTAAAAGAGTATACCAATTATTACTAATTATTAATATACTCCGCTTATTATTTCCGCATAACAATTAGTTAATTATATACTTAATTGTTTTAATTAATAAATTATTCTAAACTAGTTGAAGCCGCATCCGCCACGACATCAGGAAAAAAATACTTTTTATTTTTTTTTTAATTAAACGAAAAACAAAAAATCCGGCGACGACAGTTTTTAGAAGAGCCAATTAGCTATCTTTTAGTATAAAAAGCAACTTCTAGAGCTTTTCTTTAAGTCGTTACTTCAGTAGAGACGACACAGATAAACATTAGCATTTTATATATCGTCCCATTGCTGCCAAAAGTCACTAACTTACTTTTTATTACTTCCGAGAAAAATGCGTCAAAAGATGAATTGCATTGCATAAAAATGTTATAGTTAGTAACTATTCGGTATTAAAATACAACATAAATAGCCAGAAATCGTAGTTAATGACTTTTTCAATCGATTCTCCGCTTCAAAATACAGTGATTGAATTTTCAGGCTCGGAAAAATGTTAGTTAGTGACTTTTGGCAGCAATAGGACGATATGTAGGTAAGTGTGGATTTGACTCAGAAATCAATACAATAATAAGTTATGAAAATGAACGTCTCTGTTGTTATAAATGCATTTGTCAAAAAATGAAATAAAATTTATAAGGTGTTACTTTTTACCACACTGTCTAATACACATACAAAATTCAGTTTTTTAGTACTTGGAGTAATTGTTAATCACCGTAAACAGTCAATTAATGTAGTTTAAATACTTGGATCATATTGCTATTTATGTGCTATTTAACAAATATTTAAACAGTTTTTCTTATTTTTTTTAATGAAATAAGCGAATTATATCGACAAGATTAGTATCTGGTACTCTTTGAAAATTTGTTACGTTTTTAAAAATAATCTAAAATGTCAATATTCCATGGGTATAGTGATAAATGAGATCTAAATTATAAGAAAATGCTACTTCTACGAAAACTTGAAGAGATAGGTAAGAAATGGTATAATACAATTTGATAGACAATTAAATTGTGCATCTGATTCTCATAAAATATACAGGGTGTTCCATTTAAATTAAACAAGTTATTGCCGTTTAAAGCCAGTAATTATTTAATATAAATTTTTAGACACCCTGTATAAGGTAGTATTATGTTTATTATTGCAACACAATATCTGATCAATAAATAAACTTCAATAATTATTTAGTATTGAAAACTTCGATACCCTTGGAGTCGCCCTATTTTAATCGTAGAATCTAAAAATATAATAATTATACAGGGTGTTCCATTTAAAAAATACAACTATAATATTTTTAACTTATTTGGGACACTCTGTATCTTGTAAAAATATTTTCAAATTGTAGCTCTAATAGTCCTTCAACAAATCCAAAACTGACAATTTGTAAAAATCTAATCGTTTAGCTACAATACTCCGTGTCGTATGTGGTAAACAACCCTGTATATTGGATGCGTCAGAAAAGTCTCATCTCTATAACTTTTTTTTCAGATAAAAAACGAGATTTGTTATGTTAGTATGACATAAATTAGGACTGACTGACGTATTCAATTGTTTTTGGTCATTTCCTGTTTCAACGGGAACGACTACAACTTTTGATTTTTAAATGACACCCTCGGTATTTTTTTACTTTATTCAATAGAAAATGACACTCTGAATAGAATGACATATCATATGTCAACATTTGACATTTTCGCATATGGTTTATTTGAAATTGTAACATGCGGCTGATAACGACAATTTGACTCGAAATAGCAAGTGTGTGGTACCAAATTATTCGTAAAAAAGGTGCCATCCTTGTTCCATTTGAAAAAAAAGAGGTATGATTAAAAATACAATTTGGGCATCTTTTAACCGGGCAGAACAAGACACGGAAAACATTAGACGACCAAATCTATTTTTCCAAGGGCCCTTGATTAAAAATTACAGTTTTTAAGACAGCCATGGCACTCTAGATTGAAATTGCTGAAATTTAAAATACAATTTTTTTAAGCGAAAATGTAAAAAGTTGACGTATATGTCCTTAATCTTATAAACTTCATATATGTCATTCTATTCAGAGTGTCATCAAAGTTATTCTTATATATTACACTAGCTGAAGCCTGGCGCATCCGCCACAACATCAGGAAAAAAAACTTTTTATTTTTTGTTTAATTAAATGAAAAACAAAAAATCCGGTGACGACAGTTTTTAGAAGAGCCAATTAGCTATCTTTTAGTAAAAAAAAAGCAACTTTCTAGAGCAAGTCGTTACTTCAGTAGAGACGACACAGATAAACATTAGCATTTTATATATGTAGATATCAGAGTTCTAATATCAAAAGGCAGCAAAACTCCACCATTCCTCCACTCTGTTTAAACTATAAACTTCATTGTAAACTTTTGGTTTAGTATCAATTTCAAGTGCAAATTTAATTATAGGAATGGTGGAGTTCACTGCTTTTAATATTAGACCCCTGATATATCTTAATAATATATTATAAATATTATCTTTGTATATGTATTTTTAAACTAGATCAAACTATGACGTTTATGGATGTAAAGCACCAGATGGCGGGGCGTATTTCAGTCTTTTACTACAGAAAAATATTTTTTGTCACTCTGAATTTTGAAGCGAAGAACAAAAACAGAGAAAATAAAAATCGATAATTTTCGTACTGTGCCAATTGGTTACTAATAGACCAGATATACTTTTTGTCTATTAGATATACTATAAAACCTGGTAATTAAACAATTCGACCATTGTAAATATCCGACAAATTCCGCAAAGCTGACGAGGCCGTTATTTTTTACTGATATTTTTTAAAAATTTTTCTTACTTCTTTGTAGTTGGAGTGTAAAACTAGATTAATTTATTAAGTTTAATTATATGTTTAGTGTATGTAGAATACCAGAAATAGTTTAGTAGTGTTTTTATAATTTATTTTGTATTTTTGAGTAGTAGGTGAAGGGTTAATTTGGTTATCTTTTCTTTTTGTTTGATTAATTAGTAAGATTGATAATTTGTTCAGTGTAGAATACAAGTAATAAGAAGTAGTTGTGTAGTGTTTTATAAGAGATTATATTCGTTTATTTTGTACTTGAGTAGTAGGTGAAGGATGGGTGAAGGTTTTTAGGTACTTTTTTCTTTTTCTTTTTCTTCTAATTGTAGTAATTCTATTAAAAGTATTGTGATAGATACACTATATCTTCGTTCAACTTCGTTTAAAAGTGCGTTATTATATAATTTTGGTTTTCTGGTAGTAGAATATACGCAAAAAAAATCTGATCAAATTTATTTTAAATTAAATTAATCTAGTCTTATAATTATTATCTTATTAATTAAATTAAACTAGTCAAATAACAATAATTCTAATCAAAGTTTTTTGAAAAGTATAAAACAACCTATTACTAATAAATATGAATTATTTTAAAAAATAACTTTCAAAATTGAGTATTATTGATAAAGTTTAGCCCATATTTTTTTTTTCAGAAAAATATACCAGTTAGTTTCAAAATACTACATATTGATAGAAGACCATATGAAACAGAATAAAAAATAAGTCTTGCATTATCTAATTAAATTATTTTCCTGATACATTTTTTTAAAGAAAACGAACTTGACTTATTTCAGTTAGACATGTATGCCTCCCACTTTTAGGAAGTTTTAAGGTTTAACGGGCTTTGTGTGAGGTAAAATAATGATATTTTCAGTTTCTATAATTCTTCACTTATCATACAAAGTCAAAGCAAACTTGGTTTTCAATCAGTTAATATTATATTGCTAATGATCAATATCCTAATCAAAATTCATATTGGAATTTGAAACCATAGTAATTTTAAGAATACCAACTTAAGTGTGTTATGAGCAGGTATAACAAACTTATTTAATATTACCTAACATGTTGTTAGGTAATATTACATGTTAAAATTAGGTAATATTGAATTATTAAAACTTACTCTCTCTCTGGAAACAAGTCCCTGGCTGGTTCAAATCTATCACGGGATTTAGGTCCTGCACCAATGCCACCACCACCTCTTCCACCTCTAACCCCTCTATCACGTCCCATATCAAATTTATGGCCTGTACGAGCATTTGGTCCAGTATCCATATTATCCTTGTATAAAGTAATAAATTAAATATATTATATTGTATACTTTTCCCATTTTCAACTATTACCTGCATGTCTGCTTTATGATCTGGAGGTTCAAAATTAATTCTGTCAGATTCACCAGAAGGTGGGATGAGGCTTGGTATACCTTTGCCTTGAGGTGTATCAGGTTTAAATGGCGATGGTCCTAATATAAATGCACAAAAACATTACATTATTGGTTAATTTATAACAAACAGTAATATATTTTTGTGCATTCATCACGTTAAAAAAAAACTTATATTGAATATTTCTACTTGTAAGAAACTATATAACTATTAAGTTTAATTGAAGTTACCATGAATATCTACCTTGATTGAGAGGAGGTGGTCCAATATCTTTATTTGCTTTAGGAGGAAATGCCTGGCGAACAATAATCTTCCTACCCATCATCATGGTACCGTTTTCAGCTTTAATAGCGGCCTGCGCCTCATTTTCAGTATTGTATTGGACAAATGCAAATCCCTGGTTTATAACCAGTCCTAAAATATTCCCGTGTTTGGAGAATTTGCTATCCAAGTCATCAGCAATTACAACTTTGGGGAGACCTCCAATGTATATTCTCGAAGGTGCCGTTGCAGGATTTTTCATAAATTGCTTGTCTGTTCGATACATTTTTATTTAATAAATTAATACAGCCCACTGTTTTTAAAATGCTGGCTAAACTTGAAATATTGTTTATATTGTTGCCGCCATGATTTAACCTACAGTTTTTTCACTTAAATGAGTTAGGAACAATTTAATAAATTATAAACTGATAGTAAACATACAGTATTAAACTATTTCTTGTCGAATAGAAAGTATCAAGTGGAAAAAATATAATAAAATTGATTTAAAAATGCAGACTGACGCCGAATTCTAAAATCGACACCTCCGCGAAAATGACAGTCAACAAATCTAACACAAAACACATACACAAGGAGAAGTGCGAGCGCCTTGCTAAATATTGGAAAGTGAAATTGACGTTTAAATTTGACACTGTTGACAAGTCTACTGCTACTAGCGCCCCCAATATCGCTTGTAGGAACTACGGACTAGATTGTCACGCATGGCGGAATGACCTTGAATAGATTTCCAGTAATTCTATTGGCTGAAACATTCAAAAATAAAAAAATTTAATTCTTCATTTATTTTTAATTATGACATAGATAAAAACACAAAAAATACACCAATTTTTTAAAAATATGTTTAATATCAATATCAAATATACAACAGAAATTAATTTCACCACAATAAATTAATAAAATTAAAAAATAATGTTACAAGTAGATCAAGACACAAAATTAATTATAACAAAACTGAAAAAAATGGCGTCATAGATGGCTTAGAAATGACGATATATATATCATAATTTTGAAAGTAAAATTATATAGGAAATGTCATCGATCATCATTTTGAAGCCAACTGGACGATTATTTCAAACATACAAGCTGAGTTCGTTCATAGTGCTCTGAGAAATCTAGATAAACAAAGAATAATAAATTAAAAGTATTCTAGGGAAAAAGAGAGGAAAAACCTGTATCGCCTCTCTGATATCTGTCAGGGTTTTGTTGAAAGTGTCATCTTTTGCTTTCCCGAAGTTTTCAGGTCGATTAAAAGATGACATTTACAACAATACTTTGCCGTAACTTTCACAAATATCAGAGAGAGAGTACAGGTATTGCCTCTCTTTCCTCTGGGATGCTTTATATCTGTTCTTCTTTGTTTACCTATATTTCTAAGAGTATAATGCCAAACACGACTACAGTATATAATAATTTCAATATCCTAAGTGGAAAGAAAAAGATCACCTTTCTGTTTTGTACTATGGTCCCTTTCTTCCGATGGCTCATCTCGTTGATATTTAGGAAGGTATCCATAAAATATATATTTTATTATCGGTCCTGGGATGAAAAAATATAAAATTCAATTTCATTTGATGATCCTTTTCTGTCACCTAAATCAGGAGAATGACAATGAGCATGTTAAGATGAAAAAAAACTTATTTATCAACACTTACCTCTTACCTACACGTTAGTCCAAGGAGTTTTATCAAAAACCTATATTTGCCTAAATAATTTATGTATTCAATTTACAAAGCAAACTGCAACGTGTAAACAAAAGAAATAAAATGGCGACAAGTCAACGTCAACGACCCGAGAAGGAGAAAAGTGGTGTTCGAATAACAAATTATGGGTCACCAAAAATTGTTTTTGTCTCCTTTCAACGCACACTTTAGAAAGAAAAAGAGATGAACAGTTATACTGAAAGAATGTCAAGGTTTTATCTGTCACTCTTGTCAATAATTTATCGGTAAGGAAGATTCCTAGAAAATCGCTTGTAGTCAAGTTTTCAACCATTTCCAGTTCTCCCATAAGAAGTGTCATCCACCTGAAATCTAACATCTGACAGATGACATGGACAGTTGATGATCGATGTTATAAGAATGTTATTTCTCAAAAAATATCGATATTCGACGATATTTGAGTATATGATTTCTGCTATGGAGTGTTGCTGGTGCCCTGCCCTGCCCTGAGCTGGTTCCAGAACAGACCTATAAATTTTGTAGTAGCTAGGACATGGCTAGGACACCGATACACGCATTTGTTATTTGTTTCTATTCTTTGGTTGTTTATGTTTTTTTTTTGTTTTTGTCATGTCATTTTCCATTTTGTCATTTTCTAACCTGTGTTTCTAACCAATGCCTTCTATTAAAAGATCAGCCTACGGGCGAGATTTATGACGTCACGCTAGTTAGATATAACGGATTAATAAATATGTTGTAGAATACATGGAAAACATAATTATTCCTCAGATTTTTGGTTTGTATTTTAAAAATGATATAGTTTAAATGAAATATACATAATATACAGTTAATAACTACAACATATATACCTATTTATAGTAATAAATACTTTGGCAAATAAACTATGAACCATACAAATGCAGCAATGTTTTACAATGTACAAATAATGTAGGTACATAAGATAATGGGTAAAATGTAAATATATTTTAAATTTTGGGGTTTGAAAATCGATCTAATTTAACAAAAACATTTAATATCTACTAATAGTGATGTATTATTATTTGCATTCACAAAATTTATATGTATATTTTGCAAGTATCAATGTTCGAAAAATTATATTTACAAATAATACAATATTATCTAAAAAGGCGTCAGCGATGGCTATGAAATGAAGATCGCTGGCATTTTATATGTTAATTATTCTAAAATTTTGATTTTCTTGGGATTTTTTAGGTTTGGAAAAACGTTGATTAAGTTTTTCATTTTGTTTTCATTATTTTTATTTGGTTTAAAAAAACGTTTCGGCTAACTATAGTTTCACAGTGTTGTGTCATATGAGGAAAATAGTGTCGAATATAATCCAAAAATTACATATACAATATAATTCACACCTCATAATGTTTACTGCAATTAATAAACTAATATAAACTTATCAAAAGATGACCACATATTTTTTAAAATTATTATTCTTAACACTAAAATTATCTACATTGACTATGGAGTACGCAGTAAACATTATGTGCGTGGTGTGAATATTTTATATGCAATTTTTGGATTATATTCGACACTATTTTTTTCATATGACACAACACTGATGGAGGCTATAATGTTAGCCGAACCGTTTTTTTTTAAACCAAATAAAAATAATGAAAAACCAAATGAAAAATCAATCAGCGTTTTTCCCGAACCTAAATTCCAAGAAAATCAAAAAATTTAGAATATTTAGAATCAAGGTTCAAGAATATCAAATTTTCCAAGATTGTAAAATTCTAGTTAATTATTTTATGTGTACAGTTATTTAGGGAATGGCATCGATGTTCATTTCCAAGCCAACTAGACGCCGATTTTTTCGATGATACGGTATAATTCTTACGTAAAATGTAAATAACATTAGACCAATTAAAACAAAGAAATGAATTTCTTAGTATTTTTAGTAACACCTTTATTCTTAAAACTTAATTTTGTATTATGCAAATATACCAATTTTATTGTAATTTTATTCATATTGTATTCAGCCATCACTTAAATATTTGATATTAATTTGGTATTATAAATAATCAATACTATTCATTAAAAATTACTGAACAAATATATGTTATGCTTAACATACATTATATATTATCAAACAAAACACATTCTTCTTTTTAAACTGTATCAGTCTTGTCTTTACAAAATCTTTTTAAAATTTGAACTCAAAATAATAATCTTTTTCATGATCTCTAATACACATATTCTTTATTTTTCCCTAGATCATAATACCTACTTACGTGTTTGAATCTATTGAAGCTGAACCAGCAACACTTGGAGTGGAGATTCCACAATATGAATAAAATAAACATAATTGTCCAGTTTTCATTAATACCATCATGGGAGAATATTATTTTTAAATTTATTAAAGATATTTTCAATAAAATTCTCTTGATTTATAACTCGTACCCACTTTTCTTGCTCTTCCGGACACTTTAGGCTGCCTAGTATAATAACTATCCTTAGTAACTATCCTTTCCACCAGGAACACAACAAAGATGAGGCATAGCACCAATAACACACTCCACTTAAGCTTTATTGATGAATTGTTAGAGTCTTAAAAAACACACACAAAAATCACGATAAGTAAAAAATGTATGGGCACTTTTAGGTTAAATCACTTGCACAACGTGTAATTTTTAAAATTTCTATTTTTTTATGCGAAACCGAGAGTGACCATATATCTGGTAGTAGTTTTGTCACTTCAACACCAAAATAATTAGTTTTTTGCACTACAATAATAAATAATACCAAAAATCAAAGAGTTAAAACCAAAAATCAACAGACAAAATATGAAACGGAATCTAACCCAATATCTAAGTATGTACAGCTGATGAAGTAAACAAAAGTCCGCCCGTAGGCTGATCTTTTAATAGAAGGCATTGTTCTAACTAAATTTAGGTCATATTTAGGTTATCCATGGTTATCCATCTACAATCCACATTTGAATAACAAGAAAATGATTATAAAATCTAAATTTAGAAAAGGATATCAAATTGTTAGTTGTTTTGTAAGGCAAGTTTCAGGTGTTCACAGTTTTGAATCTGATTTTGAAAAATCACATTGTCCAACAAATGATTTTCAAAGATCTGTATTAACTTTGGGCTCAGCTGCAATATCGCTTTTAAATCCTCACAGGGGTGATATGATAGCTTGTCTTGGCGAAACTACTGGTGAACAAGCACTAAAGTATATGAAACGTTGTATGGAAGCATCAGTTGAGGGGTCAGATATACTTCGCGAACAACCTAGGATAAACACAAAATCAGTTGATTTTGATTATTTAAAAAGTCTTCCTAATGATACTTTGGGATATATGTATTTCAAATTTATACAAACAAATAAAGTTACTCCAGATAGTAGAATGGCTGTGCAATTTGTTGACGATATAGAATTGGCTTATGTCATACAGAGGTATAGAGAAGTACATGATTTGATCCATACTGTACTCCAAATGCCCACCAACATGTTAGGTGAAGTAACAGTTAAATGGGTAGAGGCCATTCAGTTTAAACTTCCTATGTGCATTGGCGGTGCAATATTTGGACCTTTAAGATTAAAAACAAAACATAGACATCTCTATTTAAATTATTACTTGCCGTGGGCAATTAGAACTGGAACTGATGCAAAATTTTTGTTAAATATCTATTTTGAAAAGAGGTGGGAACAAAAGGTGCAAGACTTCTATCGGGAAATAAATTTAGTACCTTTACAATTAGATACAATCAAATGAAATCTTTGCAGTAATTGTATTGTATATAACTTTTATTAAATATTTTTAAGAACAAAAATGCATTACTAAATGAATGTCCTGAATAGGAAACTGTGTTTAAAGCCCAATTATAAAAAAGTGAAAATTTCATGCAATTTCTATAAGTTATAATAAAACATTCTTTGATTTATGAAAAAATAATTTTATTATACTAATGATTGTATATGGCAGTATAATTGCATTGAGTATTAAATAGACACTAAATTAGCATTAGCAACATTGTGACTTAAATAGTGTTATAATAACTAAAAAAATCGTTTTATTTTAATTATTTCGATTATGATTAGGATGGTATCTTTTCCTGATGAAGAGAAATACATTTTTTAACGTCAAGTGATTTTTGTTGGTTTAATAATTAAATCTGTAAAAAGAAAATATTACGGGAACCCAGGAATATCAATAAAATACCTAAAGTTTATTGGGAGAAGGAAAAAGGAAATCAGAAATCATCTCTATAATTTTTATTTACTTTTTAATTTTTTTTTGAACTAGACAACCAGTAATACACATTTTAAATATACAAAAAATGTTTTTAGGCACCCACCAATACGTTCTTTTCTGTCATATTATTGACTTTTTGTTTTTGTGCATTTTTGTCTGATTTTTGTGTTTGTGCTTGTGTCGAATAATGTAAGTATTTTATTAATTATTATGCTTTTATTTAGTTTATATTTTTTAAAATTTACACTTCTATGTTATATTAGTAGATCGCATGGAATTCTGAAACATAAAGTAGAGGGACTTTGGCTATGAATTCATAGGCAGCTGAAATAATAATTTGGTTTTGGTGATGCCTACACTTTCCTTTAATTATGCTACCGGATACAAATTTATTGTTTAAAACAGGAAATAGTGTGAGTATTTTTATAAAACTGAATTTACTCTGCATAAAAACTATTTTTTTAATTACCGAAGGTTGTTGAAAGGTTAGCATTGTTTATTTAAGATGTAAGATATTTTTAAATTTTTGCTAAATTTATGTAGGATAAGTAAATCTATATTTTTATAACTATATAGTTTATTATATAAATAGTAGTGTTTAGGACTATGGTACTAACTCATTAACATAACTTAAGTGTAGCAGGGTATTTTTTTTATCTATAAACTTTTATTTATCGTCATTTTTAAGGCAGCTCTAACACCAATTTTTTTTTTGTTTTGATCACATTATATTTTATCTATCAAATACAGATTTATTTATACTAAAATCACTGGTTTAGATTTTAACTTATAACAATGGAGAGATAATTGAAATTGAAACATGCTAAAAAGAGACAAAAATATACCTACATTTCTATTATAAGTATTGCCAGCTTTCCCGTTAAGGTATTAAAAATAAATCAAAAAGGCTATGCCGAGGGCTATGCATATTAATGCATTGAGTCCTAATAAGATTGAGTTTTAGACCAATAATATATCTACAATTAATTAATCATTTTGTTGTAGTACAAATACATCACATAATGTTGTACATTCTATTGGTTTATCCGCTTAAATTCAATTTATCTATATTTCTATCTCTTAATTTTTAATATTAGAGCTTATCACATGTAGGAACCAGCAAACCTGTATTTCTTTGTAGCTCTCTCTATCAATTGGTTATAAAGTGACTTACCTATCTTTATCTTTGTCTTACTATTAAAATACAGATCGTCGAAGATTTAGGACAACCAGACCAGTAGGCTAATTGTAGTAATAATTAAATGCCAATTTTCAAAATTAAACTTCTACAAAATATTATATTACAAAAAAAGACAAACAATATTACAAAAGGCAAAAAAAAATTTTGAGGTCTGCTCTTCAACAACAATATTACAAAAGGCAAAAAGAAATGTTGAGGTCTGCTCTTCCTTGATGGAAACTTCTTTCTTATATTTATGGGATTTTATATAAAAAAATAAGGGGAACAGTATAAAGCAGTCTATATGAAAATCCAACAATTTATTTTTCGCTGCTAAAATCCCCCCAAGCCTATAGGATATCATATACTTGCAAATCAGCTGCAAACCAAACCAAATCAGGTTAAACAAGTTCTTAGTGTTTAATTCTTAAATTTGCAATATTATTATTTCTTAAATGATTTGAGATACTAGTATGGTTGTTCTTAGGACTCGAACACACTGACGACCAGGTCGCACCGGCCAGGCCGCTGCTACCTCTAAGACCATTAAATCAAATGATACAGCGCACACTAACGTCCTGGCCGTCCGTTGGTTGTTGCGACCAGTAGACTGCACTCAAATACGTTTAAATAAAATATTTTTTTTTTTAGAATTTAGAATGAGTGGGAGGGGGGTTAATCACTTCGACCTTACAGATCCATTGTGTCCCCCTTTCTTGAATCATAACTCATCATACAGTCCCAGGGCTTTGACAAAAGCCAGTATCTGGGACGGTTTTATAGAGGGTAGTTCTCCATGTCCAATATCAGTCGTACCAAAATTCATGGCACGAATGGTTGTCGTCTCGGCGCACTCAGTGATGAGGTGTACTGGTGTTTCCCCATCTTCCCCACAGAATCTGCATTCGCCGTTTCTTCTTAGTTTCAATCTACTGAGGTGTTCATTGAGGAGACAGTGTCCTGTTAAAAACCCCGTGACAATCCGAAGATTGTTCTTACTCAGACCCAGGAAGATCTGTGATTTTTCTTGATCATAAGCCCTCAGAAACTTCTTCGAGTGTCTTAGACCATTGCAAGATTTCCATTCCAGGTTGCGGATGGAATCTTCCAAGTTCTTGAGTTCCGCCTTGAGTTGGTTACCACTTGGAAAGCAGAACGGTTCTGGTCCAGTTAGTGGAGTGTTCGCTCCTTTCCTAGCTAGATTATTTGCTTTTTCATTGCCTACTATCCCTTGGTGAGCAGGCACCCAGTGTAGGAGGACTTTGTTTTCTTTGCCTAATTTATTCAGCTTCTCTATGCATTCTTTGACCAATTTCGAATTGATTTATACTGAGTTGATCGCCTTTAACGCTGCTTGACTATCAGACAAGATGGCTATTTCTTGTTTCCGATAGTTCCTATCTAAGATAAGTTGTACGCATCTCTCGATAGCGTAGATTTCTGCCTGTTGGATACTAGGGTAAGTGCCCATTGGTTCGGAGTAATTAGCTCTCGGCCCAAACACTCCGATCCCTGTTCCCGTATTGGTTTTGGAAGCATCAGAATACCAAGTTATGGTATGGTCTTTTAACTGCTGGGCAAGCGTTTCGCTCTTCCAATCCTTCTTATTGCTCAATACTACATTGACATGTTTGTCAAAGTTGTACGTTCTTGGCATATCGTCCACTGGAGTTTCAGGAGTGGTATTTCCTTTTTGAGGGTGTTCCAAGCCCCTGATCTGACAATTCTCCCAGTTCTAATTCCGTTAGTGACCATTCTAATCATTGTCGCATGGGCATCTCTACCAATGACAATGTGCAGTGGTGTTAGATCTAGAATGACCTCCATTGCTGCTGTTGGACAGGTTTTCATGGCTCCTGTGATACAAACGCATGCTAGTCTCTGGACTTTGCACAAGTTTAGCCTTGCCGTCCGTTGCTCTAGTTTTGTGAACCAGGCAACTGCTCCATAAGTAATCATGGGTCTTACTATCATGGTATACATCCAGCGCAAAGTGTTAGGGGAGCAGCCCCATCTATTTCCGGCCAGTCTTCTGCATATCATGAGAGCCTTTATGGCTTTGCTGGTAGTGTTCTTAATATGCCTGTTCCACAGGAGTTTACTGTCCAGGGTTATTCCCAGATATTTAACTTCCTGTGTTGGCAGTATTACCTTTCCATCTAGTTGAATTCTTTTCAAGTTTTTCAGACTTCGCTTTCTGGTGAATGGCACTATCGCGGTTTTGTCTGAGTTGATACTCAGCACGACAGTCCTACACCATCTCTCAGTGATACGGAGTCGTCTTTGGATAATATTACACAGGGTGCCTTTTCCCCCGAGCGATGATGACTATGTCATCTGCATACCCAATGCAGTGTATTCCCGCTAGAGTTAATTCGTCTAGTAGTTCATCCACTACCAAGCTCCACAGCAAAGGGGAGGTTACTCCACCTTGTGGAGTTCCTTGCGTTGTTTTAACAGCTACAGTTTTGGTGCCCATCTGAGCCTCTGCTGTTCGTGTTACAGCATTTCCCAAAACCAGCGAATAATAGTTCTGTTCACCCCTCTTGTTTCTAGAGATCGCCTGACCACCTTATGTGGTATATTGTCAAACGCCCCCGCAATATCCAAGAAGGCACAAATTGCTGTTTCTTTGCTATCCAGACTTGTCTGTATTAGCTCCGTTAATTGGTACAGAGCAGTTTCTGTGGATCTGCCCGTTCTATATGCATGCTGACTATCATGCAGTGGTTTAACCTTTAGATGATTTTCTCCAATATGGTTGTCAACTACTTTCTCCAGCGTTTTTAGTATGAACGATGTGAGACAAATAGGCCTAAATGACTTGGGATTTGTCCAGTCAGTTTTGCCTATTTTGGGTATGAAGATTACTTTTGCTCTTCTCCATGTGGTTGGTATATATCCCATCGCTAGACTGCTTCTTGTAATGCTTAGTAGATGGTGAGTAGCTATTTGCTGACCCTCCTTTAGAAGGGCAGGAAAGATCCCATCCACTCCTGCTGCTTTATAGGGCTGAAAGGTGTCGATCGCCCATTTCAGTTTTTGTTCTGTTATTACTAGCTTGGCCACTTCCCAATCTTCCCTGCAAGGATTGTGGGGTTCAGTGGGAGCTACATGAGTATCAATAGGTATGCTACCTGGAAAGTGTGTATAAAGTAGGAGATTTGCTCTCTCTTCCTCTCCCTCCGTGTAGTTTCCGTCAGATTTCTTAAGTGCCATGTTGGGGATAGATCCACTCTTGGCCATAGCTTTGTGTAATCTAGCTGCATCAGGAGTAGAAGTGATGTTTTCGCAAAAGGATCTAAAGTCAGACTGCTTTGCCCTTCTTATCTCCTTCTTATACTCAGTTAATTTCTCGCTGTAGAGCTGCCATTCGCCACTGGATTTAGCTCTATTAAAAAGTCGTCGGACCTCCGATCTAAGTTTGGCCAACTTTTTGTTCCACCAGGGCTTGTTGTTACTTTTCTGTATGCCTTTACTTGCGGGGCAACTAGATTCATATGCATCCAATATTGCACCGCTGACTTCCCTTGCGTACCATTCTAGATGCAGATGGTTTCTGGCCCTACTTGCATCTATACGGTTTAGGTTGTCCACGAGATTGGTGTTATATATGTCCCAGTCTGTTTTTCTTGGATTCCTTCGGGTTTCTGTTTGGAGTGTGATTCCTCCTAATTTGAACTCGATGATTCTGTGATCTGATAGGGAGGGTTCCTTTGAGACCCTCCAGTGTTTCACTTAACTGATTACACTAGCACTCCCGATTGTTAAGTCTAATACTTCTGCCCGCGTTTTTGTCACGAACGTGGGGCTGTTCCCTACATTGAGAACTTCAAGATTGTATGCTAAGAGGAATTCAAGTAAATACTCACCTCTAGTGTTAGTGCTTCCCCATACCTCATTGTGTGTATTGGAGTCGCATCCCAATAGCAGAGGTAGTCGCCGTTGGCTGCAGAATCGCACGAGCTCCCGTACCTCCGGAGGCGGTGTCTCCCCGTCACCCGGAAAGTAAGCAGAGGCAATCACGATGTTTTTAGTGCAATCCTCGATATTAAGCTGAACCATGATAGGAACAAGATCTCGGGTTGTAAATTCTGAAACACATGTGTAGTTAATGTCCTTTCTTAAGTAAGACTACAGGCTCTAAATTCCTGCCTGTTATCATATATTACCTTTGAATTTTTTCCAGACAAACCTCTAATTTGTCCCTGATACACCCAGGGTTCCTGGGCTAGTACCATTGCGTAATGATTTTTCTCAAAGAGTCTTGCTATTGTAGCGGAAGACCCTTTTGCAGGTGCAGGTTTATTTGGGATATCCCATGCATGGGGGGGGAAGGAAGAAAGGATTAGTTCGGGGTGGGAAGAGGGGCTGGAGTAGGACTTTGGACCTGGTTTAGGTTACTGGGGTGTGTGAGGATTCTCCCGTTGTAGAGGGGATAGGGTATTCCTCATCTTCCTCTGACAACGGAAGTTCCTCCTCCCGAGAAGTGGCCATCAACCTTCTCCGAGGATATACACCCTTCCACGGTTGGGGTTTGGCCCTCCGTGCCCTTCACAGTCGAGGAGCTAGTCTTCGGCTGAGGTACCTGTGAGGTAGAGGCTGGAGGATCTGTCTCCATTTCTCTACCTGTTTAGCTTGGTCTCTTCTTAGACCTGATACCGGTGTTGTCCCGAATCTATAGTAAAGAGTGTATCCCTCTTTCTCTATTGCCTCCTTGGATTTGAGGTCAATTCCTATTGTGAGGACTTGGCCGTGGCCCTCCTCCCTCGAGTTGATGATTCGCCGACACGATGTCCTTACATCGGAGTTCTGACCCTGGATAAGGTTCAGCAGGTAGGTGGTGTCTTTCCCTTTGCTCCTCGGCAAAAAGACCGTGATGGTCGCCTCCTTAGGGATGTTTTCTCCCTTCAGAGCAACCAGTCCTGGCCCCTGCCAATTCTTAAGTTTAGGTGCCGTTTCTATCAACCAATCCGCCGATTCTGTAGATACACAGTCTATGAGGAGCATGCCCACCCGAAAGTGAATCCCCGCAAATCGCATTTGACCCACATTTTGTCCGTCGTTGTGTTGCTCTCCAATCGCCACTACTTCGTCCAGTATCGCCTCTTCTAGAGCCGTTTGCTGGTCGGTGGTCAGTACAACCTCTGGGTAATCCTGGTAGCACTGCCATTTTCACTTTTCCAGCAATAGAGGCAAAGCTGGTGATATGTCCCTGCTTGCCTCTCGGTGTTGGACGTCTTTCCATCCTGGCTTTTTTCTCTTCTTGCCGGAGCAGAGGTGAAAGGTTTTCGCTCTCTCTTTTGCCCTTTGGTGGAGATGCGCCGGCCTGTTTCTTGGTTCCTTTACCTTCCCCTCTATGGAGGAGTACTTTCTCTTTTGCTTCCTCTGGAGCAAGTCCTGCGTCGAGCAGTCGGAGGTATCTCCGTGCTTCTGCTCCGCTAAGACCCACTCTCAGCGGATCGTCCAACCCGCCAGGTAGGTTGACCCAGGCCAGGTAGACGAAACGGTAGTCTGTGTCGCCTGTTGGGTTTAGAGGTAAGCTCCCGACCCTTGCTAAAGGAGGTGGTAGCTTGAGTGCCACTAGCGCAGGACGGTCCCGCGCAAGTGTCAGCTACCTCTCCTGTAGTTTTCTTTGGGGGGTTTGACCCCTTGGAACTTTCATTGTTCCTGTTCCCAGTGTCGCCAGGGGGTTTCCCCACAGCTTCTCCGGTGGTGTTTTTATTAGTGTTATTACTGGATCTCATAGTGTTCCCACGAGTCGCTAGGGATAGTCAGTCCACTTCTACAGAGCCCCGCATGTAGAAGTAAGGGGTAAATACAATGATGCCCCAAGGTTGAGACCAGTAATGGCTAGTCCTCTATCTAGCCACGCATCCCTTTGACCTGGCCCCGCCATCGTAGGATTTAGGTTTTTGGTGAGGTTGTTTCCTCTTGGTCCAGGCGGTTAAGCCAAGACCCCCCCACACCCTCTACCCGCGAGACTTGACGACAGACAGTAGAAGGTGCCTGGTTTAAATGTCTTGGTGCAATTCCCTGGCCACTACAGCCAGAGACAAGACAATGAGTGAGATGCTTCTTGGACCGAGCCAAAGTGCTAGAGGAGATTCTGCCAGCACCTGACAAGGAGCTTCCCCACCAACGACAAGGTCTTGCATCTCCTAGGGGAAGTAAATAAAAAAAAATATACGACGGCCTCTCCATAAGAGCAATGAGAGGATTTACGTCCCAGTATTGAAGGAGGACAGAAAATCGAGTCGAATGGTTTCAAGACATAGGTTCATCCTTGTTTAGTCAAACCTCCTACAACACAAGGATAGACATATGTAGGAAATGCATTGAAATTCTCTAGCCATCCTTCAATATCGGGACAGGAATTTAAGCGGTACCCTCCGTATACTTTATTTTAAACGTATTTGACTGCACTAAAATGTTATAATATTATTTTCTGCTGCTTGTTGCCGGTTTTCTTCCAAACTAATAATTTTTCAGATGAAATCCCTCAAATTCAACGCACAATATTTTATTTTCTATAAGATATAGTGTTTTAGTGCAGTTTTTGCACACGTGCAGAAAATCCAAAGATAGTATACAGACTGGATCAAAGGGAAACTTAAATCTAGTCCCTTTTTTTATCAAGGGTCGATTCTATTAAAAATTCAAAACATTTTTATATGACATACTCTATTTATGGTTGGTATGATACCTGTTATTATACCTTTGAGTTTCGATGTTAAAAAATAAAAAAAATCATATTTAAAGTTTTTCTACAACCACTTCTTTTTTTTTATTAAATTAGTTTCTTTAGTTGTATTGTAGTCATGTACCTACAAAGAGGACAACTGTATTTTAAATATTATATTTAATTTAACGTTTTTCAAACAGGGTCCATTAGACATATTTCTACTAGGTACATTATTTTAAAAAAAAATTAAGAGTAAAACTTAGACATTCATAAAAATAGAAGTATTTACTGTGGTAGATTCTCAGTAACAATAAAAAAGAGGAATTTATATTGTAAACATTGAAATAACTAGAAGCTAAACTTTCTACCTGCTTATATTTAGAGCCAGTGTCTGATGACCTTTTTTTACGATGTCCGTAATATGTTTACTTGTAAAGTCGATAAGAGCCATCAGTAGAAGTCCATATCAGTAGAAAAAAGAAACAGAATATCTCCCTTTTTGTCGGTCGCGCGTACACAATGCTTTTTGTTCGGCCTATTTGTTCTGCTTGTTCGTGCGCGCTTGGTTCGTTCGGGCTAAAATGCTGAAGTCTGGACGCATCTTTATGAACAATACTGTCTTTGTCCTTTATTGATATAATGCTGAAAATCTCACGAGTTACATGTCCCACTCTACACATATTAAATTATATAGACGTAGGATGTAGAATATTCTGTTATGAAACGACTGATGGAATAGCAGGCATCGCGGATTTGAAAAACATGGAACTAACGACGTTATCGTGTAGTCGGGGTTGGAGATTTTACTTACTCCATTTACCACACCAGTATTTATTAACGAAAAATCCCAGAATATTTTAAATGCATTATTTAATATTAGAACATTTAATAAGCTCATGAATAGCAACTCCGCTTTTTAGTTAACTCGGATATTTTAAAATTTCTGAAACTTAATTCTTTCTGAAACAATATTTTCTAATTGGTAAAACGTAAAAAAACCTTAAATCTGACAACTCTGTTGAAACTGGTCGTTTATCTGACCGCAGCTATAAACGCAATACATCCGGCCAGCCGACGGCCAGGTCGTTGCGACCTGGTCGTCAGTGAGTTCGAGCCCTATTCTTCATTTTTTTTCACTAGACAATTTGATTTGATTTTATATGATGACTAAAGTGACAAATTGATGGAGATGAAATGCAAGTTTAAATATTTTATTTTTTAGTTATATTAAGGCAGGCATGGATTTAGCTGAAACAATGAAGAACGTACTAGCTAAGGGTCTTCAACAGGCCTCTGTTAGTGACTTACCAGCAGCAGCAGGTACTCATCTTGATATTTGACATGTACATTTTTATGTTTATAATTTGTCCATTTTACTATAATAGGCATGGGCTTTCCTGGGGCTGGGTACGTGACTGAAAAGATTTACATGTTGTTACAACTTTATTTACAAAATAAGGGATGGAATCCTACTGTAGAGTTGTTACAATGTTTTACAGAGTTAAAGGAATCATCGATGTTGCCCAGTGCTACCTATTTACAGTAAGTAGTTTTCACATTAAAGTTGGTTTTATTGTTTTATGATTTCTTAACGATCAAAATAAAAATAAATAAAAAATGTACTTTTTCCATTTTTTGAACACAAGTTCCATACTAACTATGTGCTGATGCGTCGATTTGATTCCGTTCTTTCATGTCCCAAAAGAACCGGGAATTCCCGGTACTTTTGGTACCGGGATTCCCCGGTTATGAACTCTACTCCATGCACGCATAGTGAATATGATGCGGTTTGTCTATGCGACTCGTTAGTTCGTTTAGAAATTCGTCCATTGTGTTACTGATATTTCTTTTAATAGTTGCCCAAAAAACCGATATTCCGCCGAATTGTCGTACAAACCATCGCATCGACCCATTCATTAGCATTCGACGCATTGACGAATCGCATCAGGAACATATAGTTTATGTATATTAATAAATAAATAAATATAAGTTTAATTTGCTAGAAATAATATACAATAGAATCTACATATAAGCACATCAAAAAACTACAAAATAAACTGGGTGCGTAATCACTGAAATCTGCTTGATGCAGATTTGTACGTGGTATTAGGTATTGTATTAGGTATATTATTAGGTAATTTTATAAGTAAGTTCAAAGAATTGGTATAGATGTAAAAAATAATTTGGTATTACCATGATGTTTTTGTCATCAATACAATTACATAGAAACTAACAGTGTTACACAATACTTATGTCTCCAAAAAATCCTATATGGGTATTTCACCACTGCAAGAAAATCTACAAAATAAAATAGTTATTTTATGTAAACACTTCTGCGTTAATCCCAAACGGAAACTACTTGTCAGAAGTTAGGTTTAAAGATATACAAATTTGCCTAAGGAACAAAAAAATGCTTAACGTTTTGGAAAGTTTATCTCTTTCCGTCGTCGGAAGCAAAAAATACAAAGAATAAAGAAAAGAACTATTTAAAATATTTAAATTCAACTATTCGAGAACACTTTAGTTTTTTTAAAAACAGATACGTCTACAAAAACCGTTGACGTTCTGTTAAAAATTTTCTATAAATAATTAATAAATTAAATATTTTTTACCATATTATTTTGCTACGTAGTAATCTACATCTACCATGTTTTATAGAATGATGGCATCACGAGTAACCTTAGATTCACAAGGTCGATTGATTCTACGCGAAAACGGTAAAATTATCTTGCCGTTCGAGCATTTTGCGAACGCTGTGATGCTTAAGCATATGAATGGACCCCATGGCCTACATTTGGGAGTTGAAGCCACCGTTAGAGCAGTCATGGAATCGTACACCATTGGTACGGCGTTGACAATATCTAATCATTAGTATTAATAGTTATCATTTAGGTCGGGAAAATTTTGGAATGGAGAAGGAGTTTATAATCGAAGTGGTTCAAAACTGTCCAAACCCCGCTTGCAGGTACTACAAAAACCAAATGGAATTAACGCAAAAGACTTTGCAGCATCTAGCGCCTGGTTATTTGGGTGATAGGGGACCAACAGCTTCTGATGTCAGAGGCCGTAAGTAATGATACTCTAAAACATATTTGTGTAAATGTGTCGGTTGTAACTCGGAAACCGCCAATATAGAGCTTAAGTTACCTATAAAATATTGAGAAGTAAACTCGCTATAAATTATGTTCAAGATTCAAATTTGGCCGTTAGGGGGCACAACAGCGATCTTCTTCTTCTTTCAGTGCCTATCCTCTATGGATATTGGCAATCATGTTGGTCCACATAATCCTATTAACAGCCGCCCTGAATAAATCGTCGGCTTTATGACGAAAAGGCGTATCTCGATTTTTGCTACTTTTCAGGAGAGCAATTTAAAGAAAATCACTTACTTTATTTGGCCAATAAATGTAAAGTCTTTAATTTTTTAATAGTGTTTTTTAATTATTAACACTTAAACGGAGACATTGAGGAAACGTTCTGAAGATAAATTGTGCGTAAATTCTAATAAATAATTTCTTTTTAGTTGTTTAATAGAGATAGGCCTTTTTGTTATAATAATAATAAATTTATTTCCGAACGAATAGTATACATACGCCCATGTAAAATAAATTTAAAAATGATGGTAAAGTGTTCTTAATAAGGAAAAAAAAAGAATATTCACATTATGGAATACATACAAGAAAATACAATACATACATACATAAAAAATCTGAAAATCACCAAAAAATCAGAAACAAATATTTTTAAATACTTTTATTCGCGTTGGATTAGATCAACTGAAAACAAAGACAATTTTCATTCCAGAAGCAAAGACAATAATAAATTAAAATACACTTATCTAGCTTATTTTAATAATATTGTTTTTTATACAAAAATACATTTTTTTAACTAATATATTTTAGTAATTATTCAATTAATTGAGGGCATTAATACAAGGCATTTAAACTCACGGTCCATTTAATAAAAACCAAACCAAACAAAAACAAAACATGTTTCTTCATTCGTGCCTTTTTGATACAAATAACTGTGGACTAACAGTTTCTGTTTTCCCTGTTCAATAATAACAAATTCGACTTCCATTCTACGTGTTTATGCAGGATGATGGTAGGCACAATAAATAAAATTTTCCAAAAATTGACAGGGATGACAATGCTAATGGCCTCTAACAATAATGAGATAAAAATTATTGTATTTTTCGGGCAAGTTTTTGGTTCGCTAAAATGTTCTTAGGGAAATTATAATTTCGGGAATTTTTCCATTAGGGCAATTTTCGTTTCGTTGTTTTGCTTTCGATCAATTTTTCTTCGGCCATTTATTCTCGGACAATCTTTTACATACCCGATACAGCCATGATACAAAGAATACAAGGTATGGTATTGCGCAGGTAGGTCACTACGTCACAGGTGATAAACGGCACTATTGGTCGGCAAGCTCCGCGCGTCAATTTCAAATTGTCAAACAGATGACACATAATAAATGTGAAAATAATTTTTCAAATGTCAAGCTCGATGATTTGACATAACTTTTGGGGTTATATCCTAATTCTTCCATATTTTAGGTCTTTTTTATTAGTGGCAATTGAACAATACGGATATTTTTTTGTATAGCGTATGACGTCACAGGTGATGTCACTGAATTGGGGCCGCTATCGATCATACCTTGTTTTCTTTGTACCATGCGATACAGCTATATGTAGAGTCTAGCTCATTCTAACAATGGTTTTTGGCACAAAAACAGACTCAAAATCACACTGTAAAAGAGAGCTGCTGCCATGATAACAGTTTTATTTTGTCCCAAGCAACCATCAGAAAATAATTAGGTAGAATGGGGTAGGTAGAATTTTCTCTCGCATGCATTTTCACAACTTAAAACAAAAGGACCTATCTCAAATTCCATCTTTCTTGTAGTATAACAATTGGTATAAGAATTGATATAACAAAGAGCCCTATCTCAACATACGTCTCTTCGTCATAACGAAGAATTGTAGTATTTGAGATGGGGCAAATTTTAAACGAATATAAAATGAAAAAGGTATAATATTGAGATGCGCAAATTTGCTATGTTAAAATATGACCCATTGGGCATGTCATGATGTTGATATCTCAAAATCGCCAAAAATCGAGATACGCCTTTTCGTTATAAAGCCGACGAAATGTACAGTCGTCATTCCTGTCCACTGTCTAATATTTTTCAGCCATGATGTTCGTCGGCGTCCCTGACCTCTTCTACTATCTATTTTGCCCTGCAGTATTAGTTGGATAAGTTGGTATTTATCATTACGCATCACATGCCCATATGCCATTTTTCTCAAATTCACCCTATGTACAATTTCTAGTGCCTTTTGCATTGTCTGGATCACGGTGTTGTTTGTGACATGGTAAGTAAATGAAATCCTGAGCATGCGGCGATAGCACCACATTTCAAAGGCTTCCAAGCGTTTAGATGTAGCATCTGTCAAGGTCCAAGCTTCCACTCCATATAACAGCGTGGAGAATACGTAGCACCTTAGAACCTGTGTTCTTATAGCAATATTCAGGTGCATATTGCATAGGATCTTTCTAAGACGGTTAAAAACGGTTCTGGTTTTTTCTATGCGGCATCTGATCTCTCGTGAGTAATCCCATTCCTTGTTCAGACTACGTGATTGTATCTGCTGTTTCCAAGCTTTCGTTATTCGCCCTAAACTGCTGGTACTGCGCCTCATCATTTTTACTAACTATTATGCTACGTATTCATTGGTGCGCTGCGCCGCGAACGCGCAGCGTTGTCCGCGCGTTGCTTTTATTGTTTTAACGAACATCCCGCGATCCATAGAAATCCCGGGAACATTTGTCTAGTCGTTAATCATATCTCTATCGTCTGAGAGGAACTACGCAATTTTAGTGATGAGTAGTTTGGCTCTTTGAACACTCTATTAAGAAACAATATTCAAAGAAAAACACAAAAAAGGGAATTTATTCAAAGAAAACACACAGTCTCAGATAGGTATCTTCACCGGCCGTCTCAACTGAACAACGAACATAGAATAAAGCGGAGCGTCGAAAAACCGACTGGAGATGGTTCGCGGCAAGCGGTTTGCGTGCGGAGCGCGCGCAACCTGAAAACACATACCAATACAGGCGAATCGACGCACGCGCGTGGCGCGTTCGCACAGTGCTTTGAAGGATAGGGTTTGCGGACAAAAATGAAATAAAGCATAAAAACGGGTTTTTAAAAACATGTTTAATTAAGAAAAAATCTTGATTGTAAATAATAAATCAAATGAACTCAATTGTGAACGAAAACTAAATAAACTGTAAGAAAAATTATTTTCTGTCTCAAAAACCAATCACAAATCACAAAATTCTTTGCTCTACAAAAATATAAACAAGAATAATACATTCGGAAACTATAATAAACTTTAACAAAACTTTTCTGTCTCACACACTAACAAAAAAAATCAGAAAACATTATTGTAAAAAATGTTTATTAATCTAATTATAGAACACATTCGTAAACTATAACAAAGTTTAACAAAGGCCTCATCAGAATATTGACCGACGTTCAGCAGTGATTGGATTTTCAATGAAATTTTATTTTTTCGGTCACCTTTACCACTTGCCATCCACTCTTCTAATAGGTCAATATTTTTTATGGTGTGGTCAGCATCTAAAATAAATGGATCCATGACATCACACCTCCCTAGTATGCTAGCAGAGCGCAATATAATTTGAATCTGTCAAAAACTCCTAATTTTTTTTGTTATAACATGCTTAAATGGTTGGAAAAAATGCGTGTTATAATCTAAAAACCGCATATTGATACGATTTTTTGTTCAGAAGTTACATACTTTTTGAAATTTTAACTGTAAAAAAATCCTTAAAGTTGATGAATTTTAACTAAACTTCATTCGGCTTCTTAGAAGCCCCAACAGTATTCTCCCTGAAAATTTCATCACAATACCTCCAGCGGTTTCGGAGCTCTCGTGACACAGATATACAGACAGAAAAGAAATCATACTAGCATAAGTTGCCAGTAGTTGCAAAAAACCTTTACAATTTCAATAGCCCAAGGTCCACATTATTTAAAAAAACTGAAAGTACAAGATGTTTGGCATAGAACTCAATAAAAGTTTAATCAAAGTTAATTACAACAAAAGACCAGATTATTTTCAGTCATTTTTTACTGCCGTATAACTTCGTACCCAAAAATAAAATTGTATATTTCATAATGTACAAAAATAATACATACCTTGGTTAGCTTCCATGACAGGTTTAGTTTTTTTTAATTGAAAAGACATTTGTTGGTATGATTTCGTTCTAATCACAGTAAACGATTGATAAGACAATTTTATTTCTTCTACATTTTTATCATTTTTCATAATGTTTTGTAACGATATCGAGTATCCTAACAATAAAAGTAATCCTGTTTGTGGAATTTCGATTATTTATCTCTAATATGGAAGCAAAAAAAAAATTATTTTGCACGCAGAATTTTGATTATTGTCCATAGGCGAAGCACTGTGGTTCGTGGCGCAGCGCGCCAATGTATACGTACCATTAGAATTTTGGTCTTCTTGCAGTTAAGCCTCATACCATACATATCACATGCCTCTACTACTCGGCCTATTAATTTTTGCAATCCCTTAGCACTATCTGCTATGAGAACTGTATCGTCCGCGTACCTTAAATTATTGATGGTTTCTCTATTGGTATTTATGCCTTCTTCTGTTTCACTGAGCGCTTGTCTAAACAGTATTTTGAAGTACGTGTTAAACAGAATTGATGACCGTATGCATCCCTGAGGCACTCCCCGACTCACTGTAAATTCTTGGGAGGTTTCGTTGTCTACACGCACGGTCGCTCTCTGGTGCAGATACAAATTAGTTATAAGGCGAAAGTTTTTGTCGTCGATACCATATTCCATTAATATTTCAAATAATTTGTGGTCTTGCACCCTATTAAACGCCTTCTCGAAGTCGATAAAACAAGCGTAGACATCGCAGTTTACGTCTCTGTCCCTCTGTATCAGGACCTGTATAGAAAATAGGGCTTCTCACATTCCCATTCTATTTCTGAATCCGAACTGAACTTTGCTCATGTTTTCTTCAAGCTTTCTATATATGCGAGAGTGGATGATGTTAAGTAGGATTTTCAATGCATGGCTTATCACGCTTATAATTCGGTAGTCAGAGCACCTAGTAGCATTTGCTCTCTTAGGAAGGGGAATAAACGTGGAAACCAGCCAGTCTCTAGGCAATTCTCCCGTTTCGTATATTCTATTGAGTAGCTTTGTCAGAAGTTTAAGTTGGTTGTCTTCCAACAGCTTCAGTATTTCTGCTTGAACATTGTATGGTCCAGTTGCTTTGTTATTTTTTAGCCGTGTTATGGAGTGCCGTACCTCATCTAGTGTTATTTCTGGACCTGAATCAGCATGGACAATGGTTTCCGCCTGTTGCTCCACGTCGAACAGCTCTCTCATGTATTCTCTCCACCTTTTCAGTATTCCTTCATTGTCAGTTATAAGACCACCTTGTTTGTCCAATACCAAGCTACTGCTGCGTGAGCTAGTCCTTCCTGCAATGGTCTTGATTTTCTTGTGCAGGTTGAAGGTGTGATACACAACAGCGATACATCTTCTAAAATAGCAATTTCTTGTTGAGAAAAGAATCCAGAAATTTGTAATGGGATGTATCTGGGGAGTAAAGCTTGATTTTCATGCATCCGTTATCCGTTTGTAAACATAAAGATTCCTATAGAAGGACCATTATGCAAGAGAATTTATTAGAGACATTTTTACCGTTTTCTACAGAATCAGCTTTTATTTATGCTGAAAATATGCATTAATTAGACTATTTCTTATACTATACTATATTTTTTTGCAGGTTTAGGATCTGCTGTGGATTTGACAAGCCAACAAGCATTGGATTCAAAATCCCAATCATCTCTAATGGAACGGTCTAAATCTGTAGCCCCAACTCAGCAAGAAATAACAGCTGCACTATTGCAGCAACAGAGCAGAGTAATAGCCCAACAGAATTTGGACAAAATCAATGCAAACTTGGAAAAACAAAGACAACAGCAAGTGAGTAATATCAGTTATACAATTTTTATAAATATTTAAAAAAAATGGATATTAGCAAACACTTTTTTGAAATCAAATGTTGAAGTATTTTAAAAGCTAATAAGGTATTAATGTAAGTGTAATTATAACCTTTTTTTAGTTACAGCTACAACAACAAATGGACTTAGCAGCTAAAAGGGAGCGTGAGAGAGAACGAGAACAAAGTCAGCAACAACAGCAGCAACAGCAGCAACAACAGCAACAACAGCAGCAGCAGCAGCAGCAGCAGCAACAACAACAGCAGCAACAACAACAACAAAAACATTTTGACATGTCTTTGATGGATCATAAGTTGGCCGATTTTCTGAAGGCAAATCTAGAAAATTTGGAAGGTACATTAATTTAATTTTTGATATTTGCATTCCCTATAATATTTTTCGTAGAATTATACAGGGTGTCCCAGAAATGAGTGCAAATATTTTAAGGGGTGGTAGATCTGGTCAAAATGAACATATTTTCTCTTTACCATTTTTAAAATAAATTGAAAATAACCGAGTTATTTAACTTTGAAATTTTAAAAAAATAATCGCAACATTTTGAGAACCGCCGGCAGATATCGCCAACTACATCCAATTACCCGGATCAAACCCGGATTTCAGTTAATTCGACGCACTGTGTTGTCATATGGACAAGAAAGTATATGTTTAAAAGTAAGTCATAAAATCACAACACCTGAGGAGTTTGCAGAGATGCATTACATTTTTAAGATTGTGATATTATTACATAAAATAAATTAAAAATTAAATGTTTAAAAGTTGAAAAAGTTAAATTAAAAAACTTACCCAACATTAAAAAAGATACTTATGACAGATTTATGTAACTGCGACAGTTCTCTTTTTCGATACACACTTAACTAAAATACACTTCATTGTGCTGCTTTACTTGTACATGCTATTATAAAAACTGCTAAAATAACAGTTCCCATTTTTAACTTAACACATTATTTTCATATAGGCTTCATCACAATTTGAACAACTGATTTACAAAACACCTTAAAAAGCACACATTACACATTACTTTGAATACCTTTCTGAATGAATAAATGTTGAGAATTATTGTCTCTTACCGCCACTTTACGAACTACCTTCAATCTAAGAAAATACATGATTCACTCAACAATTTTAAATACGTATTTTGTTTTTTCGCTATTTTTTCGATGTACTTCGACAATTCCGTCGACAGCCCAACCGTCGGCCAAGACAGCCACGCATCACTGGTTGGTAACTGGCGTAACTGCTCACTGCTCCTTTGTCGCGCCGGCCCGTCGAGCTTGCGCCATGCGAGGTTGCCGTAGTTTCAACAATTTCAAATTCAAGACACTCGAAGCAATCAAATTCTTATTAAATTTTAAAAATAAAACAAAAAAACATGAAAGGAAACAAACAAAACACAAATGAATTGATTATTGATAAGGTCACAAAAAAGAAATTTCTAAAATGTTTATCGTAATTCAGAATTCAATATATCGAAAACAGCCCGACGAATAATCAATTCATTTTTGTTTTGTTTGTTTCCTTTCATGTTTCTCTGTTTTATTTTCAAAATTTAATACGAATTTGATTGCTTCGAATGTCTTGAATTTGAAATTGTTGTAACTACGGCAACGTTGCTTAACATCGTCGTCTGACGCAAGCCCGCCACGACGGCGCGGCTCAAAGGACCTCTTCACACGTGGCACTCTTGGCCAACGCGCGACGGTTGGGCTGTCGAAATACATCGAAAAAATAGCGAAAAAACAAAATACGTATTTAAATTGTTGAGTGAAACATGTATTTTCTTAGATTGAAAGTAGTTCGAAGTGGCGATAAGAGACGGTATTCAAAGTAATGTGCGCTTTTCAAGGTGTTTTGTAAATCAGTGGTTCAAATAAAACAGAGAAACATGGAAGAAAACAAACAAAACAGAAATTAATTGATTATTCGTTGGGATGTTTTCGAAATATTGAATTCTAAATTACGATAAACATTTTAGGAATTTCTTTTTTTGTGACCTGGTTGTCAATAATATGATGAATCATTTTCGTAAACCTCATAAACGTAATGTTTTAGTTAATTTTCGGTGGTATGTGTTAAGTTTTCATTGAAAGGGTAAGTACTAAAAATAATTAATGTGTTTTTTTTCTATAATATAATTATTAATAGGCACTGATAAAAGATTAAATTTAACATTCCTAATTTTTGAGTAGAAATTTGTCTATGAATTTATAAATGTAGAACTATGTAGAATGTGGATAACATAGGAGGTTACAACACTGCAAGGTTTAGATACACCGTAGAGAAATCGCAGGTGAATAAACAAATGGCACTAAAAAGTTTTTTCAAATTTCCCGGAAAATGTCAAGAAAAATTTTAAATTTTCAACATTTTTTTTCTCGCAAAAAAAACCTCATAGGCGTGTTTCTGGGGTTGAACTATACTACCAGTTAAAATATTTGCACTTATTTCTGGGACACCCTGTATATAATTCGGATTTTTATATAACTGAAAAACGACATCATAATTGCCAGAATATTTTTTTTAGAATTGGTTTTATGTATATACTGCGTTAACTAAAAAAATTGCGACATAATAGCGACCCAATAGCAAAAAAATACATGTTTGTGACAACTGTCATCTCAAAAAATTACGGAAATCCCTTTAAAGCTGTAAAAAATAGAGATAAATGACAATATAGGGAAAAGTATGAAAGATAAAAACTGTTCAGAATTGAATTTTATATTTGTTAATACTTTTTTGATAATTTTTCTAAAATATTTTTTGGAAAATTTTTGTACAGTGTATCCCATTTTCGTGTGTTTTATAAACCCTATAAATCGTTTATGATTAGAGATGCAGTTTTCACATCACTATGCTACTTTTTTATGAAACGAAATTTCTGAAATACACTGCGAATTTGAAGATTTTGCAAAAAGGTGAAAACTGAGTTCCGTAGAGCTGTCATTTTTGAAATATGACTCAAACGTATGCTTTTTAAACGTGACCCCCTGTAAAAAATGTTAAAATACACTATACACTTATTTTCATAAATAAGGTAAAAAATAACGCATTTTTAACATAAATCAGTAAATTGCACCGAAAATGAACTTTTGCAGCTTTTAGCTAACACCCTATTAATTAGAGTTATTGATATTGTTGATGCACTTGTGCAATAATTATACACACAGAAACTAGCGTGGAATAGTCAATAACCAATATTTGATGTAGAATAAATTATTTGATTATTTTGATTACTTAATTTGAACCGGCCCACGGTGGGGTATTAGCATGAAAAAGGTGATCGAAATTCGAAAAAGGAAATGGGTTTAAGATTTCCCAAAAAAAGCTAAATGATAAGTTAAATAATGTCTGTCATGAATGGCGTTACCATGGGTGTGTTTAGTTGCATTCATTTGTTTTAACGAAACGTCAAAGTTGTTACTTCTCACAGATAAGAGGTAAATGGCTAAATTCATAGATAAATGAAACAAGTTTAGATTGGAAAGTGCCCATAAGGACAATGTAAGCCCTATTTGGCGCTATTCTTGCAACGGTCGCGACCTAAAACTTTTGAAAATTTCGGAGCGGTTCGGCTTTTTCCGGAATTATATCGCCAACTATTGTTTATTCAAATTTATTATTATTTTCGTTTAATTTTATAAATAAAATACAGTGTGTTGCATACAAGAAACTTTATTTTATACGCATGTATGAAATACCTATGAAACATTGGAAACCGACATTATGCCACGATCCACAATCGTTTTTGCAGTTCACAGTTCACAGCACAGTACAGCTTTTTAAGTTTTTAATGCCACTTTTTTACAATTATCACTGGTTGGAGTAAATAAAACTTGAATTAAACTCACAAGATAGCAATAATTACTTTGAAAATGGACGCTACACAGAAACTAGCGTGGAATAGTCAATAACCAATATTTGATGTAGAATAAATTATTTGATTATTTTGATTACTTAATTTGAACCGGCCCACGGTGGGGTGTTAGCATGAAAAAGGTGATCGAAATTCGAAAAAGGAAATGGGTTTAAGATTTCCCAAAAAAAGATAAATGATAAGTTAAATCATGTCTGTCATGAATGGCGTTACCATGGGTGTGTTTAGTTGCATTCATTTGTTTCAACGAAACGTCAAAGTTGTTACTTCTCACAGATAAGAGGTAAATGGCTAAATTTTATGTTTAAAATTATAAATTGTTGTTGTTCTTGTGCTCTTTTTACTTTTATATTATTGTTTTGATTGAAAATGGCTCAGCAAGCTGCAGGTATGTATTCTACAAAAACGTATTATTTATTTTGATATTCTCTATACTAACGATTTTTTTTGTAACTAAAAGTTAGGCGTTCAGAAAATTTGATTAAATTTGTGACATTTTTATTATACTTAGAGATTTAGTTACGCATTTCGAAGAATTCAGCATATTGTCTATATACGTTTTACTTAGTAAACATTTGGCTTTCATACAGTAGAATAAAATACTGCGACTTTTTGCGACTTTGCTGATAAAATGAGAAAAACATTCTTGGTTTCCTCTAATTTGTCAATCAGTGATATACTAATGCGAGGTGTAAACCGCGATGACATTGTTGTGTACAAAGCGATCGCTTTAGTGCTATTAGCAGTATAGCACAATTTGGCATTAGTAGCGACTTTAGTGGTATGGGCATTGCTCGCTGATCAGTCGTAGCATTAGTAGTATTAGTTGCGATATTACTACTGGTATTAGTGGCATTGACCGTGGAAACACTGGAACAGTGATTTTTCTTTCTTTTTTTAGAATCGACGAATTATCCTTTATTTTGTTTATATTATTTCCTCTTTAATTGAAAATAGCAATAATTTATATAAGGTCTACATAAAAAAATTTCGATCAACTATATGTGTCAAATACCCCACTGTGCGGCCCGGCCGCCTACGCTAAAAAGTTAAATAATGCATTTTTAGCTTATTTATGAAAATAAGGATAGAGTATAATATAATTTTGAAAAGTTCATAACAGGGCAAATATAACAGAAAATGTAGAAAAATGCAAAATTTTAAAATTCGCCTTGTATTTCACGACTTTTCACAACTAAGAGGACTAAGACAAATCTGTGTGTAGCATTTTTTTAGTTTTATAAAAAAGTAGCACAGTGAATTACTATGAAAAAATGTGTAACTATAAATTTTAGGGTCAATTATTATTTTTTCCTCAAGGATTAGGAGCGGCTAATAAGGACCTCCTGGCACTGCACAACGGTGCTTGGGCCACTCCAAACAGCCTGACGTCATCGAACGAAGACAAACGAATCTCGGAAGGGGGACAGGAGAAGATCGTGAGGGCTTTCAGCGAGGTGATGAAGAATATGCAGAGAATGAAGACTTACGTGCGTCCGGCGATGTGTAAGCCTTACGGAAAGCAGTCGGAGGCGCTTCAAAAAAGTAAGATTCCTTGATATTTTTTTTGCCAAAAAACTACTTAGATTAAAATTAACTATAGACTTTTATAAAATACTACTGGTGTTGACATCAGATCTACTTATGACCACTCACACTGTTCTAAATATACAACTCACATTGTTGTAAATATACAATTATTGACCTTGAAATTTTACTTAACTATTAAACTCAACATGGTCTTTAAGAATATGTAATAAAGAAAATATGCTGAACGAGCTTATATTGGGTTGAGCCGAGGTTATGTATTATACAGGGTGAGTCTTAAATAAGTGCAAATATTTTCAGGGGTGGTATATTTCGACTCCAGGAAGTCTATGAGGTTTTTTTCGCAAAAAATGAAAATCGTGCATTTTCTGTTAAATTTCCCTGTATATTTTTCGAAACTCTTTGTTCACCGGAAATTTTCCCAAGGTCTAATTTCTTAACCTCCATATATATAGATATTACCATCACTAAAAACGATGCAACATTACCACTTCCTAAATGACCTACATTTCTAATTATTGCCTCTAAATATTCTGACAAATGCAATTAACAAGTAAAAATTGCTGAAAAGGGGTGAAAAATTCAGAAAAGGTGTTAACAAAATACCCTATATTAAGTTTAGAGAAACTAGTTTGGTTTGGTTTGGTTTGGTTTGCATATTTCGGTTTTACCGGAAATGACTAGACTTTTGATTTTTAAGTGGCACCTTCGGTATTTTTTTACTTTATTTGATAGAAAATGACACTCTGAATAGAATGGCATATCATATGTCAATTTTTGATATTTCGCATATGGTTTATTTGAAATTGTAACCTGCGGTTCATAACGACAATTTGACTTGAAATACCAACTGTGTGGTATCAAATTGTGCGTAAAAAATGCTTTTTCCAAATATGCTAATGAGCCACCCTCGTTCCATTTGAAAAAATTGAGATATGCTTAAAAATACGATTTGGGCATCTTTTAACCAGCCAGAACAAGACACTAAAAATATTAGACGATCAAATCTATTTTTCCAAGGATCCTTGATTAAAAATTTGTGTTTTTAACAAATGGCCATGGCAATCTAGATTGAGATTTAAAATACAATTTGTTTTTGAGCGAATACGTCAAAAGTTGACATATGATATGTCATTCGATTCAAAGTGTCATTATCTATAAAGTAAAAAAATACCGGGGGTGCCATTTAAAAATCAAAAGTTGTAGTCATTTCCGGTGAAACTGAAAGTGACCGAAAACAATCCTAATTTATGTCATATAACTAACATACCAAATCTCGTTTTTTTATCTGAAAAATAAAAAAGTTATAGGGGTGAGCCACTTTTGAGACGTACCCGGTATATAATTTCAAGTATGTAATTATTTTTGATTATTTCTTAATGATGACATTCCGAGGTGAGTCCTCGAGAGCCCCATATGTTGCTTTCGGACTGTGATTCAGAAGCTTTGATCTTATCTGATTTTTTGTATAAAACAATCTAATTTTAACTGTCCATGCTCTTTCACAATATTATTTGTCTTATGTCTTGTTTTGGCAGCTCTAATGGACACTATTCAGCTGATTCAGTCGCTGAGAAGTTTCCTCCCTCCTCCGCATATACAGGTCAGCTCATGGAAAAACGAAGATAAGCACAGATACGATGAAAACTAGTAAAACAGGGATGAACTGGCAACACTGAAAACTTGCCAGCATATGCTTTATTTAAAAAATCAGGTTGGTTGGTGCATTACATTTTTTTTTCTGTGCAATATTCTTTTTTTTACAGAAAATGACCTGTCCGTTTGCGTTTTAGAAAGCTTCTATGTCAATAGCTTAAGTAAAAAAAAAGTTTAAAAGAAAAGAAGTGTATACATTGACAGTGACAGTTGTCTGCAATTAAAACTTGATTTTCATGCATTCGTTATCTGTTGATACGATGGTCCGACGGCTTGGTCATAGCGTTTTCGCGCCACTTTTCATCCATAAATTTTTTACTCCAGCCCATCAGCATAGAAAGTTAAAATAAATTTAACTTTTTGTAGGATAACGGACGTTTGACACTTTTTTGAGAAATTTAATCTAACCTTAATAAAGATATAATAGTACGCGAGCTAGCAACGTCGGGAAAATGTTTAAGAAAGCTGGTTCTTTAATATATCTTTTGATATGATCTCCTGACCACAGTGCGGGCCGTCTAATCTATGTGTAGCATATTTAGTTTCATAAAAAAGTAGCAAGAGTAATCTCCACACTCATAAACGAGAAATCCCATAAAACATACGAAAATGGGATACCCTGTACAGATGCGATGCGCAGTAGCGAACGCAACGTTTATCGGAAGTCAGACGGCCCGCACTTTATTCAGGAGAGTGGCAAAAGATATATTAAAGAACCAGCTTTTTTAAAATTCTCTCTCGAACGTCGCTAGCTTTTAGACTATAAGTAAAACAGCGAAATCGTCATGGAAATGAAAATATAAAATGACACCAATCACAAGCAAATCAGCAACTACTACAGTTTTACTATAGTCTGTCCAACGACAAAATCCTTGACAGTGATAGATGTGTCTGTCATTTTAATTTCAAAGTAGTTCATTTTATTTTACAAAGAAATAAGTTGGTACAACTGGAACGCATAGAAGGAAATTAATATATTTAAAATTTGACTGATACGTGATTACCAATGATTACTTCAAAATATTGTGAAAAAAAGCTGTATAAAACTGAATACATTTTTTCATCGAGTTATTTTATTTAAAAAAACGGTATGTGTTAATACAAAACAAAAAAGAACAAAACACCACATATCAAAAAAATATAAAAAAGAACTATTTCTTACTCTCATGCTTCAAGAAACTTCCCGCATTTATTATATTTATCAATATAACTTACGTACAAATACAAATTTGTAATATTCCACAGGAATAAATAAAACAACATAAATAAAACAAACTTATTACTACAAATTCATTTACCCACTAGTAGATATAAAAAGCATTTTTGGTAAACTCTGACTCAAATAGTTTCTGAAAAATAAAATTAATTTTTTTAAAAAGGTCCGATTAAATTTATATCTCCGAAACTAAAGTTCCAAGAAAAGTCGTAATTTATCTACAAATTCATTTACCCACTAGTAGATATAAAAAGCATTTTTGGTAAACTCTGACTCAAATTGTTTCTGAAAAATAAAATTATTTTTTTTAAAAAGGTCCGATTAAATTTATATCTCCAAAACTAAAGTTCCAAAAAAATTCGTAATATATCTAGAAATTCATTTACCCACTAGTAGTTATAAAAAGCATTTTTGGTAAACTCTGTCTCTAATAGTTTCTGAAAAATAAAATTAATTTTCATAAAAAGGTCAAATTAAATTTATATCTCCGAAACTAAAGTTCCAAGAAAAGTCGTAATATATCCACAAATTCATTTACCCACTAGTAGATATATTATTTTATTAATAATACCACTTACCAAATTTTATACTTTAAATGTTGATTAATTAACTTTAATCTTAATTTTTTTAAACTAGTACCTTTTGACATTATTTTTCTGCAGTACCAAAATCCATTATTTACCTATCGTGTGATGTCGTTATTTTACAGCTACTCCAGTTTTTAGTATATGTTTAGTAATTAGTACGATCCTTGTACCATATACGAGATGCACTTATCTATGACGAGAATATACAAACTTTATTGATGGTAACTTTATTGGTGTATAAGACTTTTTACCTGGGCACCGAGTATTAACTATAAACTGTGCTCTGGGTCTACAGTTAATTTTCCCTCGATTTTTCCTCCACTTGATTTCAAAAGACACAAAACACACGTAATAACACGAATCAAAATGTATCATCTTCCAAAACGCAGATATTTGACATAAGTTGAAAGTTGACACAAAATTATAACCTATAATTTGGCAAGAGTTTGACAATCCTCAAAAATCTAAAGGCGAGTTCATACGCATCGGCGTCCGTTTATTGTTCACCGTTCCGTCAAACCAATATAATTGAAATATGATCTGTCATTTTTGAAATAAACCAATAAAACTGGTTAAAAACAACTAGAGACGACGTTAACTTAAAAAATATTAGAAAATAAATAGATTGGTATGGGACGTCATCTGCTTTTCTTCTGTCATCGTCTGTCGAAATCTTACCTGAGAAAAAAAACAGAGTATATTCACAATAGAAATTAATTTAAGCTAATAGCTCTAGTTAGCCCTAAGTTTTGTCTTAAAAAGACAAAACTTAGGTTTAACTAGAACTTGTAGCTTAATAGTTGAAATCTGATTATAAAAATGGAAAGAACAGCGATTCAAATAAAGGCGGTAATGATGTCGGTAATATGGGTTTCTTTAATGTGCAAAAAACTGTTCCTTATCCTACTAGATGCCGCTAAAATACGGCTCCTCAAATAACATGGGAGTGGGTAATCTAAAGTAATCTATGAAGCAAATCGTACATCTGATGATCGGAGTCAATTTGAATTTATTGCATTTTCATTGAAAATAAATAAATAAATTCAAAAAATAAAATAAAAAAAAGTCAAAAAATAAAACCTCCTAATTTTCTAACTAATGGAAGTCTTTAAATTCAACCAATAAAATTAATGCGTATCATCGTATCGTCGGATAACGGATGCATGAAAATCAAGCTTTAATTTACAGGTAAAGTGTATTTTCTGTGATTTTTTGAATGTTGTCGTTGGACATACTTTAGTTTGATTAAGGCCAGTATTACACTATCAAACTACTTTGTCATAGATCTTTTATAAAAGATATTTGATGAAAAATTTAACATTGTTAATATAAAATATTTTATAAAATCGCACATATTAAACTGTTAAATTCTTTGTTAAAATAAAATATTTGACAAAGATATTTGATAGTGTAATAATAATAATAGCTCCCGTATATAGCGTTTAACGCCTTGGGAGTAGCAAGGTACAGCTTGCTATACTAGAGCCGTTCGGTATACAAGGAAGATAATGTGGCTAGCACTACACGATTCAACCGCCTATTATTACCTCAGGATTCTGAATCCCAAGTACTCATTTAAGGCTGAGTCGACCTAGGTACCCAAACTATTTTTATTTTAATAAAAATAGTCGGCTGATGAAATGCCGGGTGTGGGAATCGAACCCACACCTTGAGATTGGTAGACGAGAGCCTGTACCTCTACGCCACCGGGCACCCTGATAGTGTAATACAGGCCTTAAATAAATGTCTATTGCTAATTTTTCAACAAACGGATAGGTCATTTATTTATAAAAATTTAACAGTTTTACAAGACGTTGATATTTTTTTAGTTCCTTCTCGTTATAATCTACATTTTATATTTATTTATTTTATTTATGAAACAAAAATCAGAAGTATTTTCGTTGTGATATTTTTTGTACTTAGGGCGTTGACGAGAATTAGAAGAAAATTCAGAAAAGTGCTAGTAACGAAATTGGATTGGTATTGGTAGTTAATTCTCGTTAAAAAAAAGAAAATGGGTTTTTGATGGTAGCTAGTATATTTTAAGTAAATTATTAGCAGGTTTAGCGTAAATTTATCTCTTTTAACACTTGTTTCTAAGGGTCAGACCTAATGATAAAAATCTAGTCAAAAAATTTGTTTGGATAACGAAAAAAATTGATTCCTGTGATATTTTTTGAAAGTTTTTATAAATTTTGCATTGGACTTTGGGAGGTCGGTTGATTGGTTCTGGCCTACTGCATTAATGAGACTGTTTTTTTTAATTTTTACTTCATTTTATTCTGTTTTGTCTCTCTTTTTATCATGGCTTATTGAGAAATAGGCGTACACAGTAATAGTAAGTTCTTATAAAGGGATTTTGGATATATGTAAGTAAAATTAGTACTTGGTGTATGGTATAGAAAAATATATCCAAAATTCAACACTTTCTTGCCATTTAGTATACAGGGTGTGGATTTGTATAAGTTGTAGTAATGTGTTTTGCTTTTTCTGGTAGGGCTTACATGTTATGTGTGTTTAGCTCTGTATAAATACTCTTCAGGCATATCAGTAGAAATAGGTATTCTTGTTTAATAATACTTATGGAATATACAAAGATAGTATAATATTTTATGGAATATACAAAGAAATTATCATTTTGGTAGTGTTTTTTTATGGATCAAAATAGAAACATACAATACATTTAAATGGAAATATCTTGAAAACCGTTCACCGGTTTCGAACTAAACAAAGAGCACCAAACTAAACAAAAGTTCTTTCTTGTAAAAACAATCCCTAACCATACTGTATGTATTATTTTGGTCTGTGAGATATTACTAATATTGACTAATTTTTACTGAGACACCCTGTATATGAAGCAGAGGCCTTTTTAGAGAAGGCCGTCCGAGCTTTGCTTAATTTTTGTATTATGTACTAAATGTGAAGTGACAATTTATTTTCTGTATTTTATTTTAAAGAAGTATTTATTGGAATTTCTCAAAACGTGCAATTTTAAATAATAAAATGATACTTTGTCTTTGTGTTTTTTATTTTCCTCTGTATACGTCCTCATTGTACAGTCCTATGTCCCATTTTTTACTGATTGTTTAACTTCTTAAATAGCGATAATAACAGACATTGCAAGGGTTGATAAAATACTACATATTGTTATTTTATGCCCTTATCTGTGGTGCGACGTGACACAGGAAAAAAAAACGATTGCTCCAGAATATTTTTATTCGGAGAAGACGTGGAATGTGAAACAGACATTTAAATATTTTAGAGCTAAACATAGATAGGAAATCTTTCTAGTTAGATTTTATTCACACGTTTGATGAGCTATTCCAACAAATTAGTGAGAATTGTAGAATTAATTTTATCACCATAATACCAGAGTAAGTGGATCGACGAGTAGCGACAGAAACCGTCGCGTCGGCTCTTTTGATGTGG